GGATGCTGGGAATCGAACCCGGGTCGGCCGCGTGCAAGGCAAACGCTCTACCCGCTGTGCTATTGCTCCAGCCCCTCCAGTGGACTTTTTTAAACTGCAAGTTTACTGAAATAAAATTCATACACCATAATGATTCCACCACTTAAAGTGTACAGTGATTTTGTGTGGATTTATTTTTGGGGGGAGCGTGGCAGGAGCTTGCGCCATACCTGGACATTTTGAAGGCTTCCCTCTCTGTGCTTAGGGGTCACTCCTGTTGGTGTTCCAGGGGACCATATGTGGTGTCCAGGATCAAAGTGGGATCAGCCATATACAAGAGATGGTTCAAGGATCCTGTTCTCTATCATGGTTTTTCTTTTTTCTTTTTTTTTTAAATATGATACATACATTTATTCATTTTACAGACTAGGAAATTATCATGGTTTTTCATATATTCATAGATTGTACAAACATCATCACTGTTCATTTTAGAACACTTTTTTGTATTTGTTTTGGAGGTCACACCCCGGTGGGGCTCAGGGCGTACTACTGATTCTCTGCTCAGTGATCAGACCTGGTGTGTTCAGGGGACCATATAGGATGCCAGGGATCAAGTCCACACATGGCAAGCGCCCTCCCCGCTGTACTATTGCTCCAACCTTAGAGCACTTTCTTCAACCCCCAAAAATACCCCTTTGGGCATTGAATGCTGCTTCCATCCTTCCTCAGCTGTAAGTAATAATTAACTAGATTTTCTACCTACTGATCTGCCTATTCTGATTTTTGTTATCATTGTTGGGAGCGGGGACATGGTACCCCTGATGGGACCTGGGGCCTCATACTTGCCAGGCTTGTGCTCCCTCTCCGTGTCACAGTTGCTGCCCCTGGATTTGCCTGTTCTAGACATTGCATGTGGAAGTAGACTCTCATGACTGGGTTCTCCCATTCCTAGAATGTTTTTTTTTCTTTTTGGGTCACACCCGGCATTGCACAGGGGTTACTTCTCCTGGCTCATGCACTCAGGAATTACTCTTGGCGGTGCTCAGGGGACCATATGGGATGCTGGGAATCAAACCCAATTTGGCCGCGTGTAGGGCAAAAACGCCCTGCCCCCTGCCTAGACTGTTTGTAAGGTGTATTGATATCGTGGCATGAATGAGTGCTAATGTGTAGGCCAGGGTTTTGTTTGGTCTCTGTGGATGAGAAGATCACACTGCATGGATGAATTACATTTTGTTTCTTAGTTTATCAGCCAATACTTTTGTTTCTTCCTTCTGTCTGTTGTGTATGAATTTTGTTTCATTTATGTACAAATTGTTCTTCATCCCTGAGGCCTGTACCCAGGAATTCCTGGGTCATCGGTAACTGTTATGAAACCCACACTCTGCTTAAAGAACTGCCAGATTGTTCTCCAAAGCGACTGCACTCCATCACCCCCCCCACCAACCCACCTCCCACCATGTAGGAGAAACCCCATTTTCCCACATCTTTGCCAGTACACATCTAACTTTTTATCAGAGTCATCTTAGTGGGTGAGAACAGGTAGTTCATTATGGCTTTGATTTGCACTTCCCTAATGATAAGCATCTTTTTCCCATGTTCATGACCATTTGTATATCACTGTATCACTGTCACTGTCATCCTGTTGTTCATCGATTTCCTCGAGCAAGCACCAGTAATGTCTCCATTCGTCCTACCCCTGAGATTTTAGCAAGTGCCACATTGGAGCCTCCTTCAGTGTCAGGGGAATGAGACCCATCATTGTTACTGGGTTTTGGCATATCAAATACGCCATGGGGAGCTTGCCAGACTCTGCTGTGCGGGCAGGATACACTCGGTAGCCTGTCGGGTTCTCCAAGAGTGAGAACTAGACAGTAAGAAGTCTCACGGCCACTTCCGGGAGCTGGGTTTTATAGTCCCTGGATCTTGGCTGTTGATGGGATAACATGGCGCTGGGGGCAGTTGGTGGGTATAACGCCTAGTCCTGAGATTTTAGCAAGTGCCACATTGGAGTTTCCTTCAGGGTCAAGGGAATGAGGGGGATGGGGAATCTGGGTGGAGGAGGCCCAGTCCCAATCTGGTCAGGCTTGAAGATCTCAGCCCCGGGTCCCACACACCTAGATTCCTCTGCTGGTTCCTTTATGCGTGAGGCTCGTTCAAACATGTGGAGAGTGGTCTTAAGCATCGCTGTGGCTGGTTCCGGAGGTCTTTAGCTTCCAGGACTCTGCTCGGGGCAGGGAGGTAAACTCAACCTGCCCCCCTCTGAGGGGCCCCAGTGAGGACAGCCAGACATGGGGGCAGGAGACTGTTCTCTTCTGGGTCTCGCGGCCGCTTCCAGGAGCTGGGTTTTATAGTCTCTGGGTCTTGGCTGTTGATGGGATAACACAGCGCCATGGTCAGTTGGCAGATGATTTGTATATCATCTCTGAAAAATGTCTGTTAGATACTTTCCCCGTCGTATTTTGTTTTGGACCATTATTTGGCAGTGCTTTGGGGACCATACACAGTGCTGGGGATTAAATAGGGGTCAATCTTGCATGCAAGACAAGTGCCTTAACCCCTGTATTATTTTTCAGGCCCCATTGCCCGTTTTACATTTTCATTTCCTTTTTTGTTTTTTTGGGCCCTAATCAGTGGTGCTCAGAGCTAACTCTTGGCTCTGCGGTTAGGAGGTCACTCCCGGCAGGGCTCAGGGTATCATATGGGTGCCACAGATAGAAACTGGGTTGGCTGCATACAAGGCAAACGCCCTCCCTTTTGTACTCCAGCCCTGATTTTTTTTATATAAATTTATTTATTGAATCATCGTGAGAGCAGTTACAAAGTTTTTGGGTTTAAGTCACGGTCATGCAATGATGAAAAACACCCGTCCCTTCACCAGTGCCCATTTTCCACCACCAAAAACCCCAGTATACCCCCCCATCCCACACCCTCCTCCTACCTGTGTTACAGATGATTTCCACATTACTCTCTCTCTCTCTACTTTGATCAAATTTTTGACACCAGACCCACCATTATTATTTGGGGTTTTACCCCAACACTCAGATCTGCTGAAAAGGCAACATTAGACAATTTGTTTTCTATTGCTAATTATGAATAAGATATGATGTCTCCGCAGCCATGTGATTTTGGAATTCTGAAATCTTAATTAAATCTGGAAGGATTTCTGCCAAAAGCTTCTGGGTTCTGAGATTTGTTTCTGAGTCTCTGGGATCATGGCTTAAGCAGATTGTTGAGTAGCCAGAGGGCCCGTTCATGGGCTGCGACTCTGGGTCTCTTTGGGGACCGGGGAGGAAAGGGCCGGCGCCACCCCCATCCCAGGAGGCCCTGCGTGTCTCGTCACTGTGGGCCCCTACCTGGCCCCCCATTGGCCTCTGGAAGATGGTGGACCCCGAGCCACTGGGGGAACTGGCAGTGGGTCAGCACCTTTTCCCATCTGGTGACCTGTTCAGCCCTGATGTTTTTCTTTTCAATATTGCTCAGGTCTTGCTGGGTCCCTTGCGATTCCATATGAATTTTAGAATAGGCTCCATAAATGAAATTACCTCAAATTCTGATAGGAATTGCCATGTATCTGTACTACAGCTCAGGGAGCATTGCCATCATAATGACATGAAGTTTCCAATCTGTGTACAGGGACATTTTTCCATGTACTTAGATTTTTTTTTTAATTTCTTTCAGTAGTGTGTGTGGAACATACATTTTTCATTTCCCTTGTTTAGTCCTAAATATTTTATTTCATGCTATTTTCTTTACTTTTGTATTGTACATTGCTGGCATACAGATAGCCCTCATGCATTCTGCAGTCTGTTTTCTGAGGCCCACACATACCTCCCCCCCAGGTGAGTACACTTGCCAGTTGGGTTCTCCATGCCTCTCCACAGTCACAGTCTATGGATTGATTTTGTGGATACTTCCTCAGCACTTAGGAGCACAAACTTTAGTCAAATAGCTTTTAATCCCAGGGCTGGAGCAATAGCACAGGGGGTAGGATGTTTGCCTTGCACTCGGCAGACCTGGGTTCGATTCCCAGCATCCCATATAGTCCCCTGAGCACACTGCCAGCAGTAATTCCTGAGTGCATGAGCCAGGAGTAACCCCTGGGTGTGACCCAAAGCAAAAAAAAAAAAAAAAAAAAGCTCTTAATCCCTATTCTATCCAGTTTTTATTTTTAATTTATTTATTATTTATTTATTTTTGGGGTGTGGGGGCGTGCATACCTGGCTTTGCTCAGGGATCACTCCTGGTGGAACTCAAGGGACCATATGGGGTGCCAGGGATGGAACCTGGGCCAGCCTCCTGCAAGATGAGTACCTCTCCTACTGGAGTGCTCTGGTCCTGGATTGAACACTGGAAGGTTGAAATTAAATGAACCAAGCAGTGTTGAACATGGGAAAGACAGGGATAGACAGCTAGGGGCTGTGCTCAGCCACTCCTGCGTGCTAGTTCCAGGCCTCAATGAGTGCCCCAGCAGAGCCATCACTGGGCCCCACTGAAAATGACATTGGGGTGCCCTGCAGAACGTTTCCTCATATTGGGGGTAGGAGAGGCAGTATAGCAGGGAGGGTGCTTGCCTTGCATGCCACTGACCGGGTTCCACCCCACATGCCCCGAGACCTTCAGGAGTGATCTCTGAGCTCAGAGCCAGGAGTAAGCCCTGAGCATTTCTGGGTGTGCCCCCAGTCTAACAATGCAAAGAGCTTTCAGCTTGCTTGTGGCTGGGGCTGGCAGTGACCAATGAGTTTACTCTGACTTTCCTGTTTCCACTCTGCCCTGAGGGAGTGTGGTATGCCTTCCTCAGCAAACATGCTAATTCCAAGATCTGCATCCCTCAAACACCCGCCCCTGCACCCCCTTCTGCTCTAGCGGGTTTCCTCCCCCAGGAGGACCCACAGGGTCTGGGTTGTGTGGGCCCCCCAGCCTCCTCCAGCCTGGGTTTCGACCTGAGCCCCGAGGGGAGTCTGAGAGGTGAGTGTCTTGGGGCTGCCAGCCACTGTCTTAGTGATGTCTCTGGTCCCCAGGTGTCTACCTACCCCCATCCCCGGCAGCAGCCAGCGATGTTATCCTGGAGGACATAGGGTTCATGACTCTGGCGCCCCTCACTGAAATGCTCAGCAACTCACAGCCTGATGCACTCAACGTGTTGCTGTCTGGCCCGGCCTCACTGCCACTCACCAGCCCCCTGGACACCTCCCTGGGCCTGCCCTCATCTGGCACCCTAACCTCCAGCAGTCCCCTGGCCGGCCACATGATGACGCCCCCTGGGGGTACTCTGCCCAGCTCTCTGGCGGGCCCCCTCTCTATGAACAGTCCCCTGCTCAGTGCCACAGTGGCCCCCATTGGTGTCACTCCGAGCCTCCTGACCATGGGCAACCTAGTATTGCCAGAAGTGCCAAGGCTAAGAGTGGCAGAGACACCCCGGGCACCCAATGTCTCAGTTCCTGCAGTGCCTCCTCTCATCCCCAAAGGTAACTGAGGATCTGGCAGTGGGAGGGATTCTACCCCAGCAGGGAGGGTCCTGTCCTTCTTACCCCCGGGGTCTGGCAAGCTCTCTAACCCCCCAGGGCTCTAAGCCCCTAGGGCCCTGTCCTCCTAAGACCCCCACCACTCCCTTCTACCACTCTAACCACCCCCACCTGTCCTGCCCTTCAAACATCTCCCTAGAGTCCTGAGGCTCTGAACCCCCTCTCCAAGGGTCCTGCCAGCCTTGCTCCCTCCCCCCAGGGTCCTGCAGGCTTTAACTCTTTCCTCTTCTCCAGTTCCTTCCCGCATCTCAGCCCCACCACCCTCCACCGAGCATCCCCAACAGAACCAAGAAACGGAGAACTTCAGCATGACATTTGTAGGTGCACCCGCCAGGACTTCCAGCCCTCTACACCAGGGGGGCATGCCTGGCCCCATGCCAGCTTTCTACAGCACCTCAGATGCCCGGACGCAATCTAGTACCCATCAGGGGCCAGTGGCTCCTGCTTCAATCCCCACCTCCCCAGCAGTTACCCTGCCCGTCCCACCCCCCACCCCTATCCCCCAATATGCCCCCCAGGATAGCCTCTCAAACACCACCCAGAATGCCTCCCACACCCCTGTCCACCCTTCGCCCAGCGTCCACTCCCCTTCACGGGCCCCCTACTCCCCACCCCGATCCTCCTCCTCCCCGGCTTCAGTTCAAGACCCCCGGGGGCCACGCGCTATGGAGCCGGGTCGGAAGAGTATGCCAGAACTGGACCGGAAGCTATCCCCAAGGAAGCTCAAGGCCCAAGGTCAGTGACGGGGAGGGACGGCCCGGGTCTCCTGTGCCCCGACCTGTGGGCTGAGCCCTCCATGCCCACAGAGCCGAAGCAGCTGGCCTGGGAGAGGCTGGTGGGGGAAATCGCCTTCCAGCTGGACCGCAGAATCCTGTCTGGCATCTTCCCGGAGCGCGCACGTCTCTACGGCTTCACGGTCTCCAACATCCCCGAGAAGATCATCCAGGTGCGGTGGCGAGTAGCAGGTGGCAGGAGGGGACCCTGGGTGCTCAGTGCCACCTTCTCCGGCCGCCTTGTCAGGCACCAGCACCCCCAGGGCAGAGTGTGGGCTGGGTTGTCACAGGTTTCGGGGGTGAGCCTCATAGTTGCTTCTCGGGGCCAGGCTTGCCCCCCACCCTCCAGCAGTGGTTCTCTGCCAGTCACGTGCAGGGTGAGAGGCACAAGGTGCTGCTGTATGAGTCTGCTTCTCCCCTGCATTGAATCCCTCAAGTGCCCAGCCATCCTACTGTGGTGGCCTCTGCTGCTGCTGCCCACGGCTTTGCCCCACGATGACCACCGTGGAAACAACTCCTGTGGGGAGGGAGGGGAGGGACAGGCAGTGCCCAGGCTCCTAAAAGGGGCATGCGGCACTGGGCCCGCAATGAGGGAGCATCCCTGCTGCACCCCAGCTCAGCCTGGAGGTCCCCCCAAGGGTGTGACTGAGCCCCACTCTGCTCCCCCCCAGGCCTTGTTTGCATCTGCCTCCTACTCCTGGGTTTTCAGTATGGATTTTAGAACCCTTTTATCCAGTTCCAGGGAAACAGCCCTCTGGCTGGTGGGGCTGTGTGGTCCCCTGGCTGCCTGTGTGGGCTCCTGCACCCTGCTTGACACCCATGGACAGAGCTCATGGCCGGCCCAGCCCAGGGACTGCAGACTTGGCACCAATTTGTTGATTAAATGGGGAGAGTTCAGTTGTCACGCCCACATGCCCTCCTGAGCTGGTGGCAGTAGCACCTTGCAACTTGCCTCTGGGCATCCCAGACCATGGCTGCTGCTGTCACATCCCAAATGACACTCTGGGAAGCCAGAGCAATGGCTCAGCAGGTAGGGCTCTTGCCTTGCATGCAGCCGACATGGGTTTGATCCCTGTTATCCCATATGGTCCCTCGAGCCCGTCAGGAATAATTCCTGAGTGCTAACAGAGGACTAACCTCTGAGAATCACTAGGTATGACCCAAAAAGCAACAGCCCATGACCAACCGAATGACACCTAGGCCATAGCACCTGTGTTAATGCAGACGTGGGCAGTGACAAGCAGCCTCCGAGGTATCTCTACATGGAGACTACCAGAGAGCAGTGAGGAGGTGGATCAGTGCCCCAGACCTTACACTGGCTCTGACTTGCTGCATGTTTCTTCAGTTGGAAGGTCCTGGTGAGACAAAGGAGAAGGGCACAGCACGGTCCCCTGCTCTCACGCTGCCTGGGAGGCTTGATCATGGCCTTCTGGGCCACCTTCCTTAGGGACACCCGGTCCTAGGTGCAGACACTGCCTCCACACGAGCTGGCAAAAGCAGAACAGGGTTTAGGATGACAGTTTAGGGGCTGAAGAGGCTCTGCGAAGACGCATAATTGATCGGTTTGCTCTGCCACAGCCCAGAACCACCCCCATCACTGGCCCCTGAACCGTCCGGGGATGAGCTACAGAGATGGTGCTTAGCTTCCAGACTGAGAGTTCAGGAAGGTACTAGAAGGAGCCAGAACAGGCCAGAGGAACCACTTCACTATCTGTCCATCACCTTAAGTTTTCCTCCCTCCTCATTTGACGTTTGTCTATTCTTGACCACTCCTGGCTAATTTCTCAGGACATATTCCGAGCTCTGAGTTCATGAATCACTGGCTGCCAGAATTGAACCTAGGCCAGTTTACACAAGGCAAGTACCCTACCCGCTCTACAATCTCTCTGGCTCCTGTTATTTTTTTTTTTTATCATGAACAAATATTGAATTTTCTGAACATTTTTTCTATTTTTATTTCGCTGAGAATTATATATACCCAATTCCTCCTCTCAACATATCACCAAGATAGTACAGAGATTAAAGCACTTGCCTTGCATGTGACTGACCCCCACTCAATTCCTGGAACCACATTTGGTCCCCCAAACATGACCAGGGATGATCTCTGAGCACTGCAGAGTGTGGCCCCAAAACAAAACAAAACAAAGAAAAACTATTTTGTTATCAAACCACATGAGGCCAGGAAGATGATTCAAGGGCTGGAGCCCGGCTGTGGCTGAAAACATCGGGTGGCATGACCCCGGCCAGCAGACAGACAAAATGACCTGCCAAACCTCTTGCTTCAGATGCCATGTTTTGATTTTTTTAATTCCCCCCAGCTAAGTCAGGCAGGGCTCTGTTGGAGCGGGGTCGTGGCTGGCTCCTGAGGGCCAGTTCCTGGTGACAGGGCTATGTCCAGGCCTGTCTGGGCTGGGGTTTACCTGCCGCTGCAGTTGAGTTTCCACTTTGCCCCATTTTTTTGTGGAACCTCCATCTAACCTTCAAGTCCTGTCTCATTTCTGCTCTCATTTCCCTCTGCCTCTCTTGGATCACTTTAGTTTTTCGTGAGCACTTAGATCACTTTCCATCTCACTCTCCAACACCTAGGCAGTGTCCCCTAGACTCCCTTGAAACACATCCCTGGAACCTCCAAACCGCTGTCAGATGGTACATATCCCAGCAGGGAAATTGAGGCTTGGGAGTGGTGGTGGCAGCGGTCCCTGGGTCAGTGGTCATCTGGGGTCACCGTGCACAGAGGAGCCCTTTCTCTGCTGTCCGACTCCACAGCCCACGCACTCTCCCTCCTAGTACAGGCTCCAGGGCTTTGTCCTGTGGGGGCAGCTGGAACCAGGGCCATGCATGCAAGGCTGCACTTCCCTCAGGCACCCTCTCTGGGGTCATCCTATCCTCCAAATGTCCATCTCCCATCTCAAGGCCTCATCCTAGCTTGCTTCTCAGCTCAGTATCCAAATAGTACAGGGTGGAGGGGGCTGGCCTTGCATGCAGCCCACCAGGGTTTGATTCCTTCCCAGCACTCTGAATGGTCCCCCTGAGCACTGCCAGGTGTGGCCCAAATACAAAATACTCTCCACTGCCTGGAGACACAAGCTGAGCCCTCTGCAGCCCTGCAGGCATCTCCCAGGGGAGGGGTCAGGCCGTGGGTCCCAGTGCCCCTTGGGCCACTGCCTCTGACACGGTCCTGCGGGTTCTCCCCCTCAGGCCTCCCTGAACCCCCACAACCATAAGCTGGACAAGGATCTTTGCCAGACCCTCACCCAGCGCTACGTGAGCATCATGAACCGACTGCAGAGCCTGGGCTACAACGGGCGGGTGCACCCGGCGCTGACAGAGCAGCTGGTGAACGCCTACGGCATCCTGCGTGAGCGGCCGGAGCTGGCGGCATCGGAGGGCAGCTCATACACCCTGGAGTTCCTGCAGCAGGTGCTGGTGGAGACAGTGCACCCCAGCATGCTCAACGACTCGCTGCTGCTGCTGTCCTGCCTCAGTCAGCTGGCCCACGATGATGGCAAACCCATGTTCATCTGGTAATGTGTCAGCCCTGGCCATTAAAGCTGCAGCAGATCTGCTCTCAAGGTCCGGAACAAGCCCCATGGTGTCTCGGGGAGGCACAAGACCAGGCAGGGGTCCTCTGGACCCCGACAGAGGGCAGAACATTAGGAGACAGAGCCCAGAGATGGGGGCAGGTACCAGGAGGAACTGACCGGACTGGGCCTGGCTGTGGCCGCAGATGAGCAGGGCAGGACAGGAGGTGCCTGTCATCTGGCCGCAGATGAGCAGGGGGACAGGAGTGCCAGCATGGGAGAATGGGAGAGCTGGAGCACACAGGTGCCTGCCTGGGGGTGTGGGGAGCACAAAACTTGGAGCGGTGGTCAGGCAGGGCCCTCAGCAAAGCCATTTCCGTTCCCTTTTGTCCTCTGGCCCGTGGAACCCCAGCTCCACACACAGCTGCACCACGTGGCCTTGACCCCTGACTCCCTGTAGCTCAAGTGGATGCACCAATGAGCAGGATGCGGCCACTGAGCCCCCCACCCTGTGCCTGCACCCCGCGCAAGTGCTGCTCCTGACTGGCCATGGCCGCGCGTGGGTGCCAGGCTGTCCTGGCCGCTGCTGCTACAGGCTTGGCGCCATGCTGCCCAGCGGCCCCAAGTTGCCTGCCGCAGATCTGGACTAGGAGTGCAGGTGTCCGGCTGCGCCTGGCACGTGCCCAATCTGGGTCACATATGCACATGAAGCTGGAACACGGTGCCAGGAAGCACTGGCCTCCAGGGCCTGCCCTCCACACAGGTATCCCAGGGGTGGTCAGGCCGTCCTGGCGGTTGCACATCCAGTGGGCTTCCTGGGCGGGTGCTGTGTCTTGCGTTTTCTGCAATGCATGGCATGCACCTGCACACGCAGAGTGGTGACACCGGTGGAGAGACGGCCAGGTTGGGGAGGACACCCCAGGCCGAGCACTTCGAGGAGGTGGGAGCCTTCAGCGTGTTCTGAACTTGGACAACTGCTCCCCAGGTGAGCAGCAGCTGCTCACGGAGTGCACAGAACAGGGGCACCCGCTCTTCGGCAGCCTCCGGGACTTCTGCCGCTGGTCCTGCGGACGTGCTCACAGCTGCCTGCTTCCTGCACCACGCGCTGGGGGCTGCCCTGGCCGCCACTGCTGCAGGCCTGCTGCCATCCCTTCTAGCAGCACACGGGAGACCCTGGCGCCCCGGCCAATACCAGGTCCTGGAGTGCTCCAGGTCCCTAAGTGCGGGAGTAGGACAAAGGGCACAAAGGGGGCTGGCCTGTAGAGCAACGCCCCCACCCCAAGCCTACCCCCAGGAGGCGGAACAGGTGCCGCTCAGCACCGCCCCTTCGCGTTTCCACGGCCACAGCCAGGCGCAGAGAGACCGACACAGACGCAGTGGGCAGGGCCAGTGGCCCGTGGGAGCTTTACTGCGTGGTCTCACACGGCTTCCTGGGCCCGGCGATACTCGTAGACACTGCCCCGCTCCGCGAAGGCCAAGGGCTGTGGGAGCGCGCCCGCCGCGGGCGCAGGGTCCTCGGGGTCTCCGTAGCCCCCACCGCCTGGGGTGTGGAGGCAGAACACGTCCTGCGAGGCAGACAGAGGGCAGCTTCAGGGGCCCGGAGCCGCAATAAACTCGTTGCCGTCCAGGAACGGGGCTCCCCGGTGGCCATCCTTACCCCGGGATACACAGGCACTGAGGTCTTCCCGCCCAGGTTCACTGTCCGGCCGTCCTTGCGGATCAGGAGGTTGAGGCCGCGGGCGCCGGGCTCGCCCCCTGCGGGAAGAAGAGGGCGGCTGCGGCTCGCGCGGGGGCGTGGGGAGGACGTGGGCGCGGGGCGCAGGGAGGCCGGGGCGCGCGGGGGCGCGGGGCGCGGGGAGGCCGGGGCGCGCGGCGACGGCGGGCGCGGGGAGGCCGGGGCGCGCGGCGGTGGCGGCGGGCGCGGGGAGGCCGGGGCGAGCGACGGCGGCGGCGGGCGCGGGGAGGACGGGGCGCGCAGCGGCAGCGGGCACGGGAAGGCCGGGGCGCGCGGGGGCGCGGGGCGCGGGGAGGCCCGGGCGCGCGGTGGCGCGGGGAGCGGGGAGGCCCGGGCGCGCGGCGGCGGCGGGCGCGGGGCGCAGGGAGGCCGGGGGGGCGCGGGGCGCAGGGGCGCGCGCGGGGGCGCAGGGAGGCCGGGGGGCGCGGGGCGCAGGGGGCGCGCGGGGGCGCAGGGAGGCCAGGGGGGCGCGGGGCGCGCGCTCACCCTGCAGCCCGTAGGGCTGGAAGGCGCGGCGCTCGGTCAGCACTGACAGCAGCGCCTCCTCGCGGAATAGCAGCTCGCGGACCACGCCGTCGCCGCCACGGAAACGCCCGCGGCCGCCCGAGCCGGTTCGCAGCTCGAAGCGGCGCAGGATGACGGGGTACCTGCGGGGCTCGGAGGTCAGCACGGCCCTCCGGGGGACCCCGCCCCCGCCCGCGCCCGCCCCGCCGCTCACCGGCTCTCCAGGATCTCGGGGTCCGTGATGCGCGTGTTGGTCATGTGGCTGTGCACGCCGCTGCGCCCGTGCCAGCTGGGACCCGCGCCCGCGCCGCCCGCCACCGTCTCGTAGTAGCCCATGTGCGCGTTGCCCAGGGTCACGTTGTTCATGCAGCCCTGCCCGGGGGAGAGGCGCAGGGCTCGGGAGGGCTCGCCCCGCGTGCCCACCCGCCTGCCCCGCGTGCACCCACCCACCCTCCCCGCCGCACCTGGGAAGCAGCGCAGGCCCCAAAGGCGCCCAGTATGACGTCCACCACGCGCTGCGACGTGAGCACGTTGCCCCCCACCACGGCAGCCTCGGGGGACGGGTCCAGGATGGAGCCGCTGGGAATCACCACGCGCACCGGTGCCAGGCAGCCCTGCGGAGCGCGGGGCAGCTCAAGGCGGGGGCCGCACCCTGTCCGGCCAGTCGCGGCGAGGCTTCTCCCGCTGCCCCAGCCCTGACACCCGGAGGCGCACCTGGTTGAGCGGGATGTCGCGGCCCACCAGACAGCGCAGACAGTAGATGAGCGCCGACAGCGTGATGGCCCGCGGGGCGTTCAGGTTCCCGAACACCTCGGGCCCAGTGCCGCTGAAATCGAACACGGCACTGCCCTGCCCACCGGGAGGAGGCGTGGTCAGCAGCCGGGCCCGCCTCCGGGCCCGCCGAGCCCCGCCCCGCAGCCGCACCTGGTTCAGGTCTATCTGCACTCTCAGGCGGATCGGGGAACCGTCGTCCAGGTGGTCCTCCGAGGACACCTCGAGGGGCAGGCCCTGGGCCTGCCGGGCAGCCCCAAAAGCCCGCAGCATGTCCCGGACGGCCAGCTCAGCATTGGCCTGCAGGTCAGAGCGGGACAGGCGGCTGGGCAGGCGGTCCTCCCCTTCTGACCCACCCCTGAGGGACCCGCCCCCAAAGGACCTGGCGCCACCTGGATGTGGCCCATGTAGGCCTGCACCACGTCCAGTCCGTACTGTTCGATGAGCTCCCCCACCAACTGGATGCCCTTCTGGTTGGCTGCCACCTGGGCGCGCAAGTCCGACAAGTTGTCGTGCAGGTTCCGGGTTCCACTGCAGCCCGGAATCTTGCCTGGTGCCCGCAGGGCCTCTGTCACAGCTGCAGAGAGGGGACTCCCTGAGTGACCCCCCAACTTCCCTCACACCCCAGCACCTGCCCAGCTCACCACCTTTTCTGCGTGTCTATGAGTCATTCTGTGTCCTCAGTACACTCCACCATCCGGCCCCCCAGGATCCCCTAGCTGCTCAGTGCTGGCCTCATCCTCACCAGCCCCACCCCTTGGCTTGTAGCCCGCCCACTGCACCCGTGGAGGAGGCCCTGGCACCACTCCTGTGGCAGGCATGGCTGCTGGAGGAAGGGAGACCCCACAGATCCGCCAAAGCCCCCTCACACTCCCCAAACAGTGGCTCAGACCCAGAAAGTTCTCTAGGAACTCTCACAGACCTCAGACCTCTCACAGCCTCTGCCCACCCCCAAACCACTGTGGCCTGTCGGGCCTGAGCAGAACTCGGTGCAGCTCACTGGCCCTGACAGTGACCCACAGCACCGCCCCACACCTGCCCCTCATGCTCACCGTCCTCCTGGAAGACGCCCCCCTGCACCAGTTTGAAGGACAGGAAGACAGCGCCCTCCTGCTCCAGAGACGTGGAGTGTGGGGGCATGGAGCCGGGTGTTATGCCCCCGATGTCTGCATGGTGCCCACGGCTGGCCACATAGAACACGGGCCTGCTCTGCCCAGGCCAGAACACCTGGAGGCGGGGCAGGGGATGGGGTGTGAGTGTCAGAGGCACCGGTGGGCCTGCCCGGGGGCACTGTGGTGTATGGCCCTCACCGGTGTGATGACAGTCAGGTCAGGCAGGTGGCTGCCCCCTGCACGGGGATGGTTGCTCAGAAGCACGTCCCCGGGGTGCAGGTCAGTGCCCAGGTGCTGGATCTGAAACCAAGAGTCAGGAGCTGAGGAGGGAGCCCGGGTCCACCACACTGGGAGCTCAGTGCAGAGACCGAGGGATGCTGGAGCAGAGACAGAGGCAAGGGAAGGACAGCTGAACCTGGAACTGCACGGTCTCCTGCATGGCACCCAGGTGCACGGGAATGTGGGGGGCATTGGACACCAGCCCCCCATCAGGTCCAAAGAGGGCACAGGAGAAGTCCAGGCGCTCCTTTATGTTGGTGGAGATGGCTGTGCGCTGCAGGATACGGCCCATCTGTTCTGGGGGTGCAGAGGGATAGGAGGTGCCCGATGATCTGGCCCTGCCTGTAGATGAGGCCCCAACGCAGCAAAGCCAGCCCTTGTGCGATCCAGCCAGAATCCCCCTGGAGCCGCAGCCTCCCCTCCGTGACCCTGACCCCCCTGCCAGACACAGGCCACAGGAGATGCCCTCCAGGCAAACAGGCAGTCACCCCCCCCCCCCCCGCCATGCTCAAGGAAAGCTCTGGGCCACTGACCAGCAATGCTCATGAACCGGTGTGAGAAGATGGACAAGTGGATGGGGTCCAGCTGGGCGCCCACAGTGCGGGAGAGTTCTGCCCCCACTGAGATACGGATGTCCCCTGTGTCTGTCACCTCTGCCTGGCAGCTCGGCTCGACCAGAATGGTGCTGGGGAGGGGTGCAAAGGGGCTAGACATGCTGGCCAGAGCTGAGGGGGCCAGTACAGGGGCCTGGCAAAGCCCCTCTCCTTCCCTTCCAGCAGCCTTGAGCCAGAGAAGCCCCCTAGGCAGACCACAGCCCCACCCCACCCGGGGGGCCTCCATGCCAGCCAGGCCTGGGCCCACCTGTTACTGTCGATGATGAGGCAGGGCCCCTGCAGCTTGTGCCCAAAGCCCAGCTCTCCCAACAGGTACACAGGGGTCTCTTGGTACCCCCCCTCAAAGTAGCACTGGGTCATCTGCGGAGGGCATGTGGATCAGCACCCTCTCTGGGTCTCCCTGTCCCGGTGTCCCATGGGCTCCACTGGGCAGGCCACGACAGGGCCACCAACCTTGTGGACCTGGGGAAGTCCAGTCTGCACTTTGGGGACATCTGTGAGGCGGAGGCCGCTGCGACCGGTGCCCCTCACCCGCACATCGTCCACCACAACAGGCCGCTCAGGAATGATGAAACCGAACTCCCTCATGTACCTGCAGAGACACATGGGCGCCAGCTGTCAGGGGTGGTCGCCAGCTGGCCCCCAGGCCCTGCCATCCCTGCTCACGCACCTCTCCACGAAGGCTGCCCGGAAGTCCCCGGCGCACGGGGAGCAAGCAGTGGCCGGGTGCTGGTGCGCGGAGACCATGAGGGCACAGTCTGTGCCCTGGTAGCGCATGTGCAAAAAGCTCTCCGTGCTAATCTGGGACCTGCAGGGGACACCCACAGAAGCTGAGCCCCCCAGCAACCCCGCCTGGGCTGGATTGCCCGTGGGAGGTGGATGCAATGAGCGCCCCTCCCTCGTACCTGGGGAAGCCCTGGGCCTGCAGCACGTCCACACACTCCTCCTCCAGGCGGCTGAGCCTCTGGTCCAGCTGCACAAAGGTCTCGGGCACGTAGGGCAGGGCGCAGGGCTCCTGTGCCTCGTGCACCACATCCGCCAGGGCCAGCCCCAGAGCGGACAGCAGCCCGCTGTGCCTGCAGGACAAGTCGGGGCCAGGTGTGAACTCTGCGGCCAGACCTACCCCAGCCACACCCCACGCGGGCAGCAGCCCCACGCACCTGTGAATGTGCACCGTGTCCATGCCCAAGGCCCGGGCGATGGCACAGGCGTGCTGCCCACCAGCTCCTCCGAAGCAAGCTAGCACGTGGGCTGAGGGGTCATGCCCCCGAGCCTGTGGAGCCAGAGGGATTCAGCAGAGGCCCCATCCAGCTCCCACACTGTGGGAGCGTCGAGTAGGGGGCAGGAGGGCAGGCCCACTTACCTGGGTCAGGGCCCTAATGGGCCGGCACATGGCCTCGTTGGCCACACGCACGAAACCCATGGCCACTTCCTCTAGGCTCAGTGGAGTGGCATGTCCCGGCCCTTGGGCCAGGAAGTTGTTGACCTCGGCGGCCACGGCCTCCATGGCTTTTCTGGAGGCCTCGGGGGACAGTGGCTGGTCCTCGCCAGGTCCAAAAATGCAGGGAAATGAGGCTGGCAGCAGGCGGCCCAGGAGCAGGTTGGCATCCGTCACAGTGACAGGTCCACCTGGGAAGAGCCACTTCAGGGCAGGGGCAGCAGGAAAGGGTGGCTGGGGATTCCTGGGAGCAGACGGCTCTTACCTTTGCGGTAGCAGGCAGGACCAGGGTGGGCACCAGCCGACTCAGGCCCCACCACAAAGAGGCCTGACCTTGGGAGATGAGAACCGTGATTGGAGGGGGCTGGAGATGGGAAGGAGGGCTCCTGACCAGAGGAGGGGGCACGCTAACCTAAAGAAGAGGCGGGAGCCCCCACCAGCTGCCACCGTGTTGATGTCAAGCTGAGGGGCTTGGAGGGTGACCCCAGCTGTGCTGGCCTCAAAGACGTGTTCAAATTCGCCAGCGTAGCGGCTCACATCAGTAGAGGTGCCTGGCGAAGTGGGGTTATGAGGCACCTCAACAGGTGCCTGGCCCCCTCCTCCCACCTCCCCTTGAATCCTTACCTCCCATGTCAAAGCCAATAACAGGCTGTCCACCCTCTGCTCGGTAGGTGGTGGCTGAGTAGCCCACCACGCCCCCGGCGGGGCCCGAGAGCACCGCCCGGGAGCCGCTGAAGGCGTCCATGGGTGTCAGGCCACCATCCGAGCGCATGAACAACACCTGCACGTTCTGGGGAGCAGTGAGGGACAGGTCGGGGGAGGCAGAGGACAGGGCTGGGTGGTACAGGTTTGGGGTGAGCCTGGGTGGCCAGAGGTGAGAGGCGCTGGCCGCTGAGCCGGGAGCCTGTGGGGGCTCACCTTGAGCTGGCCCTGAAAGCCCCGGCAGAATCCCTGCACGTAGCGCTGGATGGTGGGCGTGAGGTAGGCGTCAGCGCAGGCCGTGTGGCCCCGCGGCACGATGCGCACCATGGGCATGACCTCCGAGGACAGCGACACGTGCTGGAAGCCCAACTCCCGGGCCAGCGTGCCCACCTGCTGCTCATGCTGGGCCCACCTGGACGACAAGCCAGGTAGGCTGCCACGGAGCCTGGACCACACACCCGGCCGGCCACGCCCCCACGCGGTGTGGGCCACAACGTGGGAGGTGAGCCCCGCCCTCACTTGGCGGGTGGCCCAGAACCCGCCCACCGCCTCCACCCCTGCAGCCCACGCTCACGTGTAGGAGTGCATGAGCACGACCGCCAGGCTGCGGATGCCCCGCGCCAGGAGCTTCTCCAGCTGCCCGCGCAGGCGCTCCAGGTCCACCGGCTGCTGCACCTCCAGCAGGTCCCCCGTGCGGCCTGCGGGGGAGGGGGGGACGTGCACAAGCCGATCAGCTGCTGTCCGCAGCCCCCGCGGGGCTCTGCCCGCACCCGCGCATACCTTTGACCGGCGTCCCAGCGCCCGGCTCGCCCCGGTAAAGCACCATGCGTTCCTCCACCTCCAGGACCTCCTCGTACAGCACGTGGGGCATGGGCACGGCCTGGGCAGGAGAGACGCTGAGCGGGCGGCCGGCCTGGCTGGGGCACGCAGCCAGGGGACAGGCCCCCTGGACAGGACGGCAGGGTGCCCAGGGAGGCGCTGTGCCCTGTCCCTTAAAGCGGCAGCTCGGGGAGCCCTGCCAGTCGGTGCGAGGGGGCAGCACATCCCCGAACGCACAGAGGCCAAGGGGGCGGACGGCAGGCTCACCAGATCGAAGAGGTCCCTCCGGGCCTGGGTGCCCACGTGCAGCAGGTCGCGGAAGCCTCGTGTCACCAGCAGCCCCACGCGATCCCCCTGCCGCTCCAGCAGCGCGTTGGTGGCCACTGTGGTGCCCATGCGAATGCTGGCGATGAGGCTGGTGTCCAGGGGCCGGTCCCGAGGCAGCTGCACGCCCCCCTCCTGGGGAGCAGGGTCCGAGTCAGGCCTGAGCTGAGGGGCCCCTGACCCCAGCCCCCGCCAGGCCCACCTGCTCCAAGATGCGGCGGATGCCCTCGGTGGGCGCATCGGCGTAGTTGGCGGGGTCCTCGGACAGCAGCTTCAGGACGCGCACGTGCCCCCCGGGACACTGGGCGAAGACGTCGGTGAAGGTGCCCCCGCGGTCGATGGCGAAGTGGAAGCGGCCTTCGGGGCTGCCCATCGTGGCCGGGCCGGAGTCCGGCGGTGAGTCCTCAGCCAGGGCTTCTGGAAGGAGTGGACAGAGCGGAGGTCACGGAGGAGAGGGGACCGCGCGGGCCGGCCGGGTGCTGGGGTCTCTCCGCCCGGGACATGCGCCGGCCCAGGTGAGCAGCGCCCCGGCCCCCACCGCCCGCCCGACCTTGGGGCTGGCGGCCGACGGGGCGGGTCGCGGGCGCTGGGGCCCGGCGGGGGTGCGGGGCCGCGGAGGGGGAACCCCGGCCCACCTGCGCCACTCGGGCGCTCCGGTAGCGGCGGCGGCAGCTGTGGCGGCGGCGGCCGGGTTACGCGCTCCAGGCCTCGGGGCGGGGCCTGCAGGCGCGGCGGAAGCGGACCCGCCCCCGCACGGCCGGTCCAGCGTTCAGGCCAGAGCTGGCTTGCCCGGGGCCCCGCCGCCGCCTGGGCCCGCCGCAAGCCCCGAGCCCCAGGGCCTCGCAGCGGCTGCGCACCTGCTGCTCACCAGCACCCGCCGCAGCCGCGGGCCCGGCTGGACCCTGAACGTCAGGACCATCTCAGCCTCCCAAGCGCGCTGCATAGCGGCACCCGCGCGTGCCCAGGGTGGGACGGCGGGGCAGGGACCCCCGCCCCGCCCCTCCGCCCCTCCGCACAGCAGGCAGTGCCTGAGCTCTGCTGAAACCGCTAGACACAGTCTGGCCGTCTCCGAAATCACCCCCTGCCCTGTGACGGAATGACTCTGGGCCCTCCTGGATTCTGCAGAAGCTGAGGGCACACGTGGAATGGTTCCAGTTTCTGGGACCAGGGCCAGGATGGGCCGCTGACCTTGGCTCTCTCACCCAGTGCATCGCCCAGACCCTGCACCCAGCAACCCTGTCCACCCTTCCTGCTAGCCTCCGGCCCTGGCCCAACTGCTTGAGCAAAGTCCCTTTGTCCAGAGTGTCCCCTCCCGGCACCTGGGCAGCACGAGGTGTCCCTGAGCACCTCACTAGCTATCCCACTGTCCCCATCCTAGTCCTCACCCCACTGCTTCCCAACCTGACTGCACCCCACTAGCCTTTGTCCCTGCTGCTAGCCTTTGCAGAGCTCACAGCCACGCTGGCCACCAGCTCTTCACTGCACCATCAAACAGCACTTCCTGCCCACCCCCACCTCCAGGAGAGCTGAAATCCCTCACAGTGGGAGAAAGCTTGGGAGTTGGAGGGCAAGTTTTGCACTCAGCTAACCTAAATTCTACCCATGGAACCTTCCAGAGCAGCCCTGACTGCCAATTGTGTTCCTAAACCAAACACTAAAATAAAAATTAGAGCAAAACAGCACCATAGTGATAGAACAGCGGGTAGGACATTTGTCTTGCACATGGCCAACCTGGGTTCCATCCCTGGCATCCCATAGAGTCCCCAAACCCACCAGGAGTGATTCCAGAGAGCAGAGCCAGGAGTAAACCCTGAGCATCACTAGGTGTGACCCCAACGTTTATAATGAATTAAATTTTTTAAAAATTTAAAGCAGTTAGAAAAGATGAAGTCATGAAATTTACATACAAGTGGTACTACATGGAAAGTATGCTAAGTGAAATGAGTCAGAAAGAGAGGGACAGACATAGAAAGATTGCATTCATCTGGGGAACATAAAGTAACAAAATAGGAGACTAACACCCAAGAATAGCCGAGATAAGTACCAGGAGGTTTATCCCATGGCTTGGAGGCCAGCTGCACATGCTGGGGGAAAAGGCAGCTCAGATAGAGAAGGGAGCACCAAATAAAGGGTATTGGGGGAATCCTCCCAGGATGGGAGAAGCATGCTAAAAGTAGACTATAGACTGGACATGATTGCCACTCAATGCCTCTTTTGCAAACCACAGCACCCAAAAGGAGAGAGAGAATGAAAGGGAATGCCCTGCCACACAGGCAGGGTGGGATGGGGGGAGATGGGGGATGGGAGGAATACTGGGATCTGTAGTGGTGGAGAATGTGCACTGGTGGAGGAATGGGTACTTGATCATTGTATAACTGAAACCCAAGCACAAAAATTTGTAAGTCTACAACTGTACCTCATGGTGTTTCACTAATAAAAAAAAAAAAGCCAAAGCCGCAAAGCACTTGGTTGCCCTCCTTAACTCGCCTCAGGAATGGTGCGTGTCCGAGAGGGCCCCTCTGCTGGAACTGCACACCCACTCCTGCCACCTTGCACAATACTCTGCCTGAGAGATGTGTCCCAGCTTTGCCCTGACGTCACTTCCTCTCCCACTGGCACTTCTGCCCCTCGCCCCTTGGGACCACCTACCTGCCGTGGAGGGTGGAGTGTGGGTACAGGCACTGAGCTGGCTGCTGGTCATTGGCTTGATATCCACCAAAAAAATGAGACCTCAGCGCCACTCACCTCTTTCTGCATTCTTGGACTTGATGGTTCCGTGCTGGAGCAACAGAGCGCTGGCAGCCCCCTCAGCCAGGAGAGGGTGACGGGAGAAGCCAAAGCTGGCGGCCCAGGTCTTGAGCATCAACTTTAGCTTCTGGTTCTCCTGAATGAGCTGCACCAGGTGCTGCAGCTCTTCATTCTCCTCGGCCAGCCACTGGATCTCTTGCCGCAGGCTCTCATAGCAGCTGAGGAGGGACATGCCCGGCCACGGGAGGGGTAGGGGGACGGGGTGGCAGCTGCCAACGGGCAGGACAGTCACTCCACCATTGTGAGGTCAGCGGCTGTCCGTTACATTCCGGCCTCCAGAGCCTGGACCCAGTGCTTTCGGCAGTTCTGTCCTCTGGTCTGTGGCCCACTGGGGACCCACAGCTGCCCTGGGTCCTGTGGCCCTCCCAAACCCTTTCTGGAGCATGCAGCTTCCAACAGGGAAGAGGAAGTCACCCAGCAGCTGTTTGCCTGAACATGAGAGCATCTGAAGGGCCAAGAGGGAGATGTGTGAGCTCCCAAGGGAGACCTACTCCTGCCCAGCTGCGGGGACCAGACAGTGGGGACCAGCTGGGCAGGACCGAGCCATTGCTCTGAAGAGTGGGGAGTTGAGATGGCGCTGGTGACTTGGGATCAGCACAAAGTGGCCTTGCCACTGGGAGACTGGTGTCCTGCTAGAAGCACCACATTCAGAGTCACAGCCTGGCTAGGAGGGGGCAGGGGGCAGGGACCTGAGAGGAGAAGTCTGTGAGCCAGGCTGGGCTCTGGCATTAGGAACAGAGCAGGCATTTGCTGTGAGTCGTCTGCTCCAGCTGCTCCTGTTTTCTCACTCTGTCTATCTCCACAGCTGGTTGAGGGTGGTCGCACTCTCTGGGTCACAGCATTTGAGGGACTGGGCCCATCTGCACTACATTCCAGGGCCATCACCCCAGTTCTTAGACTTCTGGCCCCAAAGGTGACAGGCCGGACCCTCAGTGTCCGGGGCTCTGAACTCCACATCGGGCATGCCCAGCCACTGGCACAGAGATCTGACGCTGCTAACCTACCAACAGGCGCACAGACTAGTCTCTTCCTGTTGGGAGAGGTGTGAACTGTGACCCCAGGCAAGGAACAGCCCCGGGGTGAGGGAACGTGGGCAGCCTTGAGGAACGAACACTGGAATGGAGGAAACCGCAACTGTCCCTGGAGGAGCATGAGACTCCATCTTGGAGAAGCCCAGGGGAGGCCTGGGGGCTGTGCTCAGCCCTCTGCTCTCAGTCAACACTGGCAGTGCTTGGCACGGCACTGTGTCTCCTCATGCAGTCGGTGCCCGGCCTGCTGTACTCTGCAGCCTCTCTAGAAACCTGGAAGCTGTGCAAGGCTGCCAGAGAGGAAGCAGGTAGCCACAAGATGGAAAGGGTCTTCGGGGGGGGGGGGGGGAGCTTAGGGCAGGCCCTTGGCACAGCTGCTGGCAGGTTCCCCACTGCAGATGCCCCCATCCCAAGACAGAACTGCCAGATAGTCAACCTGCTTCCCAGTGCTGGCCAGACGCATTGACTTGGGAATTCAAGCATCACCTTTATGGCCTTGGGGTGTCTGGCTGCATCCCAGGATGGAAGACTCCAAGGACTGATCCAGTGTGGTCCAGTGACCAGTAACTGGACGTGGGACCGGCCACCTGTAATTCAGAGTCCCTTCACAGGAGCAGATGGGGGTGGCAGCTGGCACATCTGGCCACCTCTGAGTATCCATAGCCCAGCACCACGTATGGTTCCTGCGCACCTCCAGGAGTGATTCCTAAGCACTGCTGGGTTTATCCCCAAAACTGAAGATCAAAAACAAAAAGAAAAAAGAAAGAAAATGCTGGAGAGTAACAGCAGCATGTCATGGTCTGAACAAAGGTGTGTGAAAGCTGAATTGTGCTCTTGGGGAAAGACTTGCCTTCCAGGTTTACCCCTCCCCACAGTCCCTATCCTGGGGGTCCATCCATCTTTGGGAGTGGGAAGGAGGCAGGTTCAACCTTGTGCTGAGGCATCCTGTTTGGGCCTCCCTCTTAATCTAAGTCTCTGGAACATTCCCTACAGGACACCACCGTTTGTTTCCATCACCCAGCTACAGATTCCTCCCTTTTATTTCTCAAGGAGTTCCTAGTTTCAGCTCTGGCCTCCAGTTCTCCTGAACGTTCATCCTCACTTTACTTTGTAGGCATTATGGAGGAAATATCCCATTGTGTACATGTGGCTAATAAGAGTTTAATGGCTAGTAAAGTATAATAGCTTTGTTCTGGGCCCAGACTGAAAGACCTTGAGCTTTATCTGGGTTGCCGTGTGGATAAATTCTGCTTTAAAGGCTTTGTGAGTGCTGGTTTTTTTCCAGTTGGGCTGCGTCAAAATCTCGAAAGACATTCTTCAAGTAAAACCCCCTAGACTGGCTCTGCCAGTAGAGCCCTGTTAGGTCCACTCCCACAGTGATCAAGTTAACTAGCCAAACAAATTTCATCAAGTTTCCCAGCATCATTTGCACGGACTTTGAAAGTGCGAAACAGAAGTGTTCCTAGCGGCATAGTACAAGGGTTAAGGCACTGCTGGAGTGACCCCAGAGCACAGAGCCAGGAGTAGCTCCTGAGCATCGCTGGGTTTGGCCCAAACACACACACAAAAAAAAAACAGAAGTGTGCATTAGAACGGCCCCACGTGCCACCTCCTGTATTTATGCACATTTTCTATGTGAGTACTGAGAGACATATTTACATGTGCAAGACATATGCAGGAGGATGAAAGGTCATGTCAAGATGAAAAAGGAAATAACTGCTCTGAAAGAGTATGACCAGTATCTGGAGAGAGAATACAGGGCTTGAGGCACCTGCCTTGCATACATCCGGGGTTTTACCACCAGCACCACCTGAGCATCGCCGGGAGTGGCGCCCAAACAAACAGACGAAAGGGCGACTCAGGTAGAACAGAGTTGAGTGTCTTTTCAGTGGATAAAAGAGAGCAGAAAATAAGTCGCGGCACGAAAGACACTACGTTCAGGACCGGTGAGGCGGCCCCTGGACACGGCCGAGGCGGGGAGCCCGGGGATCCGCCTCCCGCGGGTATGCACCCCGCAGCCGCAAAGTCTGCGGGAAAGGAGGCGGGCTCCCGGAACCGGAAACGAGGAACTTCCCGCCCGGACCGGAAGTGTGGCTCCCGCACGCTTCGTGCTCGGCCAGCGGAAGTGGGGACAGGTGCCCAGGAACTGGAGTAGCCCGGGAACTGTAGTGCCCGGAACCGGAGTAGCCTGGGAACTGTAGTGCCCGGAACCGGAGTAGCCCGGGAACTGCAATAGCCGGGAACTGTAGCAGCCCGGAACTCTAGAGCCGAACTGTAGCAACCCGGAACCGTAGCAGCGGGCACTACAGCCCCCGAAAGCTGCGCGCGCGGACGCCGAGCGGCATGGCGGGGCTGGAGCTGCTGTCGGACCAAGGCTACCGGGTGGACGGGCGGCGCGCCGGGGAGCTGCGCAAGATTCAGGCGCGGATGGGCGTCTTTGCACAGGCCGACGGCTCGGCCTACATCGAGCAGGGCAACACCAAGGCGCTGGCGGTGGTGTACGGCCCCCACGAGGCGAGTGGCCGCGCGTTCGCGCCCCCATCCCGCCGGGGTCGGCCCCACGGTACTGCCCCGCCCTCCTGCACCCGTGACCCCTCCACCCGTACAGGGCTCCGCGTTCCTTTCTCATCCCCGCCGCGACCAAGTCCGGGATAATGGGGCCTTTCAATAAAACTGACCCCAGAGCTCCCGGCGCTAGTGCTGAGAGGACAGCCGCTTGCAATCAGTGCCTGAGAGCACAATTCCCTCGTCTTTTCTGGCGGGGAAATAGAATCAGGCCCGCGGGGCGTATGCCAGCACCGAAGCACGGCATCCTCAGCAGGAGGACTGCTGCAGGGGGACTCTCCGCTTAAGAAAAGGGACCCATAAGTTAGGCCTCTGTGGACCAGGGACCAGATTTGCTATTTTGGAAGAAGTAGATCATCAGGCTTGGTACTTGTGAACTGTCTGGAGTGCTAGCACAGCGGTAGGGCGTTTGCCTTGCAAGCCGCGGGCCCGGCCGAGCCAGGTTCCATTCCTCCGCCCCTCTCGGCAAGCTACCTAGAGCATCTCGCCTGCCCGGCAAAGCCTGACAAGCTACCTGTGACGTATTCGATATGCCAAACACATCAGACATTAAATTGATGAACAACGGGAGGACAGTGCTACTGCTACAGATCATCAGGCTTGGTATTTGTGAACATGTCGTGATGGATGGCAGAGGCTATCTGTAGGCTGACGGGAGGGGGGGAACATGGCAAGGAGTCATGTGAGCGAGATGGGCTAATGGGTCCAGAAACCTAGGGTTGGAGAGTGTGGGTGGGGGTATGGCTGTCCTGATGTGTCCTTCCTCCACCAGATCCGGGGTTCTCGTTCTCGAGCCTTGCCTGATAGGGCCCTGGTGAACTGTCAGTACAGTTCTGCGACCTTCAGCACAGGAGAGCGTAAGCGGCGACCTCATGGGGACCGAAAGTCCTGCGAGATGGGTCTACAGCTGCGCCAGACCTTTGAGGCAGCCATTCTTACCCAGCTGCACCCACGTTCCCAGATTGACATCTATGTGCAGGTGAGCAGGCTGAAGTATCTCCCTTCCAGTGGAAGGGGGGAATCAGGAGGGCTGCGGCGGGGCGGGGGGAGCTGCCTCGGGTACTGATGCCACTTGGGGATCCCTGCAGGTTCTCCAGGCAGATGGCGGGACCTATGCAGCATGCGTGAATGCAGCCACACTGGCTGTACTGGACGCTGGGATACCTATGCGGGACTTCGTGTGTGCCTGCTCCGCTGGCTTTGTGGATGGCACAGCCTTGGCCGACCTCAGCCACGTGGAAGAAGCAGCTGGCGGTCCCCAGCTGGCTCTGGCGTTGTTGCCAGCCTCCGGCCAGATTGCGCTGCTAGAAATGGATGCTAGGCTGCATGAGGACCACCTGGAGCAGGTGCTAGAGGCTGCTGCTCAGGCTGCCCGGGATGTGCATGCCTTGCTGGACCAGGTGGTCCGACAGCACGTACGTGAAGCCTCTCTCTTGCTGGGGGACTGAGCCTCTGTTCACTCAAGGCCACAATAAAGCCACCCATAAAGCCCCTCACACATGAACTACATTGTCATTGCAATATCAGGATTCTAGTTGCAGGAGAGGAAGGGAAGCATAACCCTGGGGAAGGCTGCTTGTGTCAGGGAGAGGCCCCACAGGAGCTGGGGCTCTGCAGCCCAGCAGCTGCGTTGCACGAATGGCGCCCTGGCTTCCCATCCCTGTCACCCAAAGAAAAGTGTCCCACACAGCTGGGTTTTAGATGGGCCTGGCAGGGTGAGCTTCAGGGTCCTGTCGTCAGAGTAGGGTGCTCAGCACTCAGACTGCCATGGTCAGTCGCAGAGGCGCGGATTGCCCTGCAGCCTCTGGATTGTGGTCGAAGTGAACGGCCGATTTCCCTGCTTGGAGGACTCCTACACAAGCCGGCTCACCTGCAGCCTTTATGCTCGACCCTTTGCATAGGAGCGCTCCCCGCTCCAGAAACTTCCGCACACACAGGTGCACCTTTGCCACTCTGCTGTCCAGCAGCTCTTACAGGCTGCCCCAGCCCCGGACATCCCAGGCCAGGTTAGGAACGCTTGACACTTGACACTACACGGGTCCCAATTGCTTCCAAGTCGTAGTCCTCAGTACCTGCGCGTGGCCTCGGTGACTTGCATCCGCCGACCTCTAGGTGGCTAAAGCGCGGCTTGCTGCTCACCGGCACGCTGCAGGCATCAGGGGAGGGGCGGCGGGGACCGGAAGCGCGCGCCAGGGGCCGGGCTGGGGACCGGAAGCGCGGGGGGAGGCGGAACCGGGAGCCGGGCCGGAGCGGCGCGAGCGGCGGCGTCCCCAAGCCGGCCGGCCATGGGCCTCCTGTCGGACCCGGTTCGCCGGCGCGCGCTCGTCCGCCTGGTGCTGCGCCTCAACGCGCCGCTCTGGTGAGCCGCGCCCGGGTGGGGGCGGCGCGCTCCCGCGGGGCCCCTGCTCGGCCCGACTTGTGCCGCTCACGTCCCGCCCTCTCCCCGCAGCGTGCTGAGCTACGTGGCTGGCATCGCGTGGTTCCTGGCGCTGGCTTTCCCGCCGCTGACCCAGCGCACCTACATGTCCGAGAACGCCATGGGCTCCACCATGGTGGAGGAGCAGTTTGCGGGCGGGGAGCGCGCCCGCGGCTGGGCCCGGGACTTCGCCGCGCAGCGCAGGAAGTCAGGGTGCGCGGCGGGTAGGGGCGGGTGGGCAGCGGCGGGGCAGGGGGGCAGCGGGGCGAGGGGGCAGCGGCGGGGACAGCAACGGGGCGGATGGGCAGCGGGACGGGGGGCCCGGCGGCCCGGCTCAGGGGCGCGCTCTCTGCAGGGCGCTGCCCGTGGCCTGGCTGGAGCGCACCATGCGGTCGGTGGGCCTGGAAGTCTACTCGCAGAGTTTCTCCCGGAAACTGCCTTTCCCAGATGAGACCCACGAGCGCTATGTATTAGGGGGGATCCCCAGGCCGGGGGGCGGGGGACGGGGCCGTGTCTGGGCGGGGCCCTGACCCGCTCCTCTCATCCACGCAGCTGGTGGCGGGCACCAACGTGTATGGTATCCTGCGGGCGCCGCGTGCGGCCAGTACCGAGTCCCTGGTGCTCACCGTCCCCTGTGGCCCGGACTCGACCAACAGCCAGGCGGTGGGGCTGCTGCTGGCGCTCGCGGCCCACTTCCGCGGTGAGACTCCGGCTGCAGCTGGCCAGGGAGGGATTGGGTGCCGGAGCCGGTGTTGATGCTGCTTCTGATCTCCAGGGCAGATTTACTGGGCCAAAGACATCATCTTTCTTGTGACGGAGCACGACCTGCTGGGCACTGAGGCTTGGCTGGAAGCCTACCACGATGTCAACGTCACTGGTGGGTTCCTCTGCGGCCCCTGGGCAGCGTCTCCCGAAGCCCTGAGCACCCTGGCACTCATGCCCCTGCCCCTACAGGCATGCAGACGGCCCCTCTGCAGGGCCGGGCTGGAGCCATCCAGGCGGCAGTGGCCCTGGAGCTGAGCAGTGATGTGGTCACCAGCCTCGACGTGACCGTGGAGGGGCTCAACGGGCAGCTGCCCAACCTTGACCTGCTCAACCTCTTCCAGACCTTCTGCCAGAAAGGGGGGCTGCTGTGTACACTGCAGGGCAAGGTGGGCCTCCTGCGGGTGGGGCCCAGGGCATGCCCCGTGGGCATCACTGACCTCTTCCCTCACCCCTCAGCTACAGCCCCAGGACTGGACGTCGGTGGATGGGCCCCTGCAGGGCCTGCAGACGCTGCTGCTCATGGTCTTGCAGCAGGCCTCGGGCCGCCCCCACGGCCCACACGGCCTCTTTCTGCGCTACCGCGTGGAGGCCCTCACCCTCCGCGGCATCAACAGCTTCCGCCAGTATAAGTATGACCTGGTGGCTGTGGGAAAGTGAGTGCCTCCCATTGGACACCTCTCTGGCTTGCAGGGTGGGGATGGGGGGGAGCCTGGCCGGCCTGACCCCTGTCCTGCCGGCAGGGCTTTGGAGGGCATGTTCCGCAAGCTCAACCACCTCCTGGAGCGACTGCACCAGTCCTTCTTCTTCTACCTGCTCCCCGCCCTCTCCCGCTTTGTCTCCATCGGCCTCTACATGCCTGCCGCCGGCTTTCTGCTCCTGGTCCTCGGTCTCAAGATATCCTCTCCCACTCCCTGTGGCCATCTCAGGTCCCCTCCGCCCCACCTGGGAGAACCCCGTGTCCGCGTGTCAGGGGATTGGGGTGGGCCCTGGCTCCCCACCACAGCTGTCGTCGGGGTCCTTGACCAGGCCACGCTCTGGAACTGTGGATGCATCTGCATGAGGCTGGTGGGGGCTCCGAGGAGGCCGGTGACACCCCTGGGCCCAGCCCTCCCCTGCCCCCAGCACAGGTGAGGGGCTCCTGTGCTGTTGGGGTGGGCCCCAGGGCCCCAAGGGTGGAGGCGAGACTCCAAGTGTCCCTGTGCCCTGCAGGGAGTGGGGCTGGCCTCGCTCGTGGCACCCGTGCTGATCTCTCAGGCCATGGGGCTGGCGCTCTACATTTTGCCGGTACTGGGCCAACACGTGGCCACGCAGCATTTCCCTGTGGCTGAGGCTGAGGCCGTGGTGCTGACTCTGCTGGCCATCTACGTGGCAGGCTTAGCTCTTCCCCACAACACCCACTGGTGAGGAGCTGAGCTGGGTGGGTCCCGGCAGGGGGACCTGGCTTGGGCAGCTGCCTCTGAGCATCTCATCCTTCAGGGTGGTGAGCGCGCAGGCCCCGGATAGGGGCTGGATGGCCCTGAAGCTGGTGGCCCTCATCTACCTGGCACTGCAGCTGGCCTGTGTCACCCTCACCAACTTCTCGCTTGGTTTCCTGTTGGCCGCCACCATGGTGCCCACTGCTGCCCTCGCCGAGCCCCGCGGGCCCCGGTATGTGCTGGTCGCTGCCCTCCCCCCATGCCCCCCCCCATGTGCCCAGGCACCTTGCTAGACCTGCCGCCTCTCGCCCGCTCTCACCCCAGGCCACTGTACGCCGTCCTGCTGGTGCTGACGAGCCCGGCGGCCGCGCTCCTGGGCGGACTGTTCCTGTGGCGGGAGCTGCAGGAGGCCCCACTGGCGCTGGCCGAGGGCTGGCAGCTCTTCCTGGCGGCGCTGGCGCAGGGCGTGCTGGAACACCACACCTATGGCTCTCTTCTCTTCCCGCTGCTGGCACTGGGCATCTACCCCTGCTGGCTGCTCTTCTGGAATGTTCTCTTCTGGAAGTAATCCCGGGGGCCCCCTGGTGTCCTCGCATCCCTTGGAATAAACAGGTCTTTGGTTTCTCCTCTTCTGGGGCTCCTGACCTGGGCTCCGGGTTGAGCGTCTTGGGGCTGACTGCCTGCTCCACAGGAACACCTCAGGAGCGGGGTCAGTCCTAGAGAGCCTCTGCCCTTCTGGGGCCTGGAGGACTGAGTACATGGTCTGGGCTTTGCACAGGGGAGGGCGCCTGGGCAGCAGGAGCACAGACTGATGCCACAGCCTGGAATGGGATTGGGGGTGAGACCAGCCTCCATCCAGAGCCTCAGCCTGGAAGGGCTGGAAAGGTCTCCTCTTCACATGGGGTTCCAAGGTGCCCCCCCCCCCCCACCAGCACTCCCGAGACCAGGCAGGCCTCAGTGGGACCTAGGAGATTGGCTGTAGATCTGCCAGCCAGGCCCGGGGGTGCTTAAGGCTCATTCCTGCAGTGCTGGAACAGTGACCCTTAAACCGTACCAGGGTGTCCTGAGGAGGCACCATGTCTCTGTGCCCTGTAACCAGGCTGTCCCCCCTGGGGGCCCTGCCACCACCCAGGGGCTGCCAACCCTCGGGGTCAACTACTATCACCCCCCAGAACATGTGCCCTGGGAGCTTTTCTTTCTTAGAAGCCACCATTGGCCCCAGTGAGTGGCTTCTTCACCCTGGGGGCCTGAGCTGTGACCAGACACTCACTGCTATCCTCGGGGCCACGAGCTGCAGACGCTTTCTGGAACTGGCTTCTTTGGTCCCCTACTGGGCCCTCCTAGATACAGAGACAGCACTTCTGTTCTGGAGCCTGGCGCCCATGGGGGTATGGGAGCATGGGGGGATGGGCTGAGCCTGACTTGCTGACCTGCAGGCTAAGGCTGAGGGGCTTGGGGCAGGCACTGCTGCTGTTTCTGCTGTGGGCCCCCTACACATTATTTTGGCTTTGGGGCCACACCCAGCAGTGCTAGGGGACTCGAACCCAGGTGTCAGTGGGTAGCAAGACCAGCATCTTAGCCCTGTGCTGTCTTTGACCCTGCCATGCATCTTAAAAGAAGCACAAAGATACTGGGCTCGGCTACCAGACATTACAGCAGGTAAGGTGCTTGCTATGCACATGGCCATCCTGATTTTGATCTCCAGAATTCCATACGACCCCCTTAGCACCACCAGGATTGACTCCTCAGTTCAAAGCCAGAAGTATCCCCTGAACGTCGGCAGATGTAGACCAAAAAACATCTCCCTGCCCTCCTCCACCATCTCCCTGTCCCCCAAATCCTTGCTTGAGCCCCTAGTAAAGAATCCAGGACTTAATTAGGGGAAACAGGAGTTGTGTTAGCTCTACACACATGACAGAAACCTACGCCCTGTTGAAGCCTCATCCCGACCATCTCAAGGTGAGCAGCAGGAGATGGACAGGGACAGCGACCCACAAGAAGATTGGCGTGGGGAGTGGCCACGCCTGTGGTAACAAACCAGAGCATTGGCCAGCCCCAGCCGGGCCTCCCTAATGCCTGCGCCTGAGTGAGGGAGCAGCAGGGTGGGAGGAGCCAGAGACCTTGCTCATTGGAGGACAGAACCAAAGGTTTGCTTGTGAGGTGGGGTAAGGGCTGAGAATCCAAGCCGAAGCCTCCATCGCCCTCAGATACCCACTGCACTCTCCAGGCCTGACCCTGTACAGATGGCAGACCTCGTGTCTCCGCCCACGTTTGCCAGAGCTCATCTCAGATCTGCTCAATGCCTGATCTTCCCAATCCTCCCAAGAACTGCTCCAGGCTGCGCTCTTCATGATGCACCACCTGTGGAGCTACCAGCGCTCCCCATGCACTAATGCAAAACTAGAATTGTTTACTTTTTTTGTTTTGGGCACACCCGGTGGTGCTCAGGCTTACTCCTGGCTCTGTGTTCAGGGATCACTCCTGGTGGGCTTGAAATCCACCTTTGGAACCCCCGGGGATAAAACCAAATGGTACAACCAACACCGCAACCATGGGACCAAATACAAGATGACCTCACCATGTATAGAAGGGTCACAGGAAATTATTTAGCATCTGCCTAAGGGGCAGGTTGGGGTGGTGGTTGGAAGGTGCAATGGTGGTGGGTTTAGTGTTGAAATATTGGATGTAAATGATTATTGTGAACAACTGAAAATTTTTAAAAAGTAACGCAGGGGGCTGGAGAGATAGCACAGCGGGTAGGGCATTTGTCTTGCACACGGCCAACCCGGGTTTGATTCCCAGCATCCCATATGGTCGCCTGAGCACTGCCAGGAGTAACTCCTGAGTGCAGAGCCAGGAGTAACCCCTGTGCATCGCCAGGTGTGACCCAAAAAGCAAAAAAAAAAAAAAAAAAACGCAGAGTTTATGCCTGCTTTAATCAGTTTAATTAGTGGCTGAATAGCAGCACTCCTACATAAAGTAAAGGGGTCATAGGTCATCATGAAACAGCTTAGCTACACCTTTAACCAAAGTGACTGAAGATTTACAGAAAGGCTGAAGAGAGTGCTGATGTTAACTTCCTTGCATGCAGCAACCCCAATTTAATCTCCAGTACTGCTTACAGTCTCTTGGGCACTACTATGAGTGACCCCTGAGCACTGACCTAGGAGTATCCCTAGAGCACTTGCTGGGGTAGGGTCCAAAGAACAAAAAAAATTTTAGGGAAGGGACAAAAAGTCCCGTAGCAAATTAACTTTAGGAAAACACAAAACCTTTGCTTTCTAGGAAGAGAATCATAGTAAAACCTTTTAAAAATTTTATTAAGGGTAGATCAATAAGCTAAGAAAATACAGTTCTTTCAACAAAGAAAACTAAGTTCTAGGGGCTGGAGCGATAGCACAGCGGATAAAGAAAGCACTGGCCTTGCAAATGGCCGGCTCGGGTTTGATTCCCAGCACCATGTATGGTCCCTAAGCCCTGCCAGGAGTGATCTCTTGAGTGCAGAGCCAGGAATAAGCTCTGAGCACAGCTGGGTATGGTCCAAAAAGAAAAAAAGCGGGGGGGAGAGGGGAGTGAGAATAACTCTAGTTAGGTAGTTAGGTTCCATATTACTGTATTGTCCCCCCAAAACACTACCAGGAGCAATCCCAAAGCTGTAGACTCAGTAGCCCCTAGCAAACTGGGAATGGGCTCCTCACAAAAAAGATCTACTGGGGCTGGAGCAATAGCACAGTGGGTAGGGCGCTTACCTTGCACGCACCCGACTCAGGTTCGATTCCCAGCATCCCATATGGTCCTGAGCCCTGCCAGAAGTGATTCTTGAGTGCATGAACCAGGAGTAACCCCTGTGATCGCTGGGTGTGACCCAAAAAGAAAAAAAAATCTACTTAAAGTTTGGGGTTACAATACTTAAAAATAACTAATAGTGTGATGGGACATTACATTGTTAGAGATTAAAAAGTTTAGATTGGGCTGGAGCAATAGCACAGCGGGTAGGGCGTTTCCCTTGCACGCGGCCGACCTGGCTTCGATCCCCGGCATCCCATATGGTCCCCCGAGCACCGCCAGGAGTAATTCCTGAGTGCAGAGCCAGGAATAACCCCTGAGCATCGCTGGGTGTGACCCAAAAAGCAAAGAAAAAAGTTTAGATTATTGGGGGCTGGAGCAATAGCACAGTGGGTAGGGCATTTGCCTTGCATGCGGCCGACCCGGGTTCGATTCTCAGCATGCCATATGGTCCCCTGAGCAATGTCAGGAGTGATTCCTGAGTGCAGAGCCAGAAGTAACCCCTGAGCATCACCGGGTGTGACCCCCCAAAAAAAAGCAAAAAAAAAAGTTTAGATAATTTTGGGAACTGGAGAGATAGTACAAGGGGTCACATGCTTATATTACATGTGACTGCAGGGTGTGACAACAGCCCAGAACCAGGAGTAGCCCTAGAGCACAGCCATCTGTGGCCCCCAAAACAAAATGAATAAAACAACTTCATTTAGAATTTTTTAAAACTTTTTGGTGTTTCGCCCACAGTCATAGTTCTCAGAGCTTATTCCTGCTGGCTCTGCATTCAGGGATCACTCTGAAGCGATAGGGCTTGGAGGACTCTATATGGTGCTAAACTTAGGTTTGGCCACCTGCAAGGCAAAATCCTTACCTTCCAGGCAAGCAAGTGATTGCTGCTGGCTGCGCTGTGGGTACTGTGAGGTGTTGAGGATGGAACTCAGGCCTCCAAGATGCAAAGTTTGTGATCAGCCCATCGAGTGATCTCCCCGACCACTAGCTGTATATATTTTTTTCATTAAAGTTGACAGTACTCGAGATTCAGTTCTTTTTCCCTGCACAGGATACCTAGAATCAGGGCTGGAGTGATAGCACAGCGGGTAGGGTGTTTGCCTTGCACGCAGCCAACCTGGGTTCAATTCCCAGCTTCCCATATGGTCCCCCTAGAACCGACAGGAGTAATTCCTGAGTGCAGAGCCAGGAGTAACCCCTGTGCATCGCCGGGTGTGACCCGAAAAGCAAAAAAAAAAAAAAAAAAAAGGATACCCAGAGTGTTTGATTTCCAAAGTTCTGAAAAAATTGGTATTATTTTTTCAGTCTTCTCTGCGATCCTTTGCCTGCCCATACCTGTCACTCACATTCAGGATCCGGCGTATGACAGCTTCTACACCTGATACGTGGATGATGACCGAGCGTTCAGGCTAGAGAGGTGCCATGCTTTCCCCTGCGTGTGTGTGACTGCTGGGTACCCAGCGCAGCTCCAGAACCACCTTCGTGGGCCCATGGCCGGCCCTGGTCTTGGAACCAGTTCGAGCCCGCCCCGCCCCGCCCCGCGGGCAGGTCCCGCTCAGACCCCGCCCCCACGCTAGGCCCCGCCCCTCCCGCAGCAGGCCCCGCCCCGCGCGCCAGCCCGGTTCAGGCTCCGCCCCAACCACAGGCCCCGCCCCGCTCTCCCGGATCTCGCGAGCTTGCACGCCCGCTGGGCCGACGGGAGGGCGGCCGCGCTGCAGACGGCCAAGATGGCGGTGGCGGCGGCTTCACTGCGCGGGGCGGCGCTGTGTCCGCGGGCCGCGGGGCTGCCGGGCGCGCGGGCTCGGGGCCTGCTGTGCGGCGCGCGGCCCGGGCAGCTCCCGCTGCGGACGCCTCAGGTGAGCGCCGGCCCGAGGCCTGGGCGACGCAGGACCCCGTAGCCCCGCAGCCCCGTGAAGGTCACGGCGGGAGGCTGGGCGCGGGCGGGCGGCTGCGGGCGGGGAGGCCCTCGGCGCCCCCGGCCCGTCCCCAGGCGCCCTCCGACCGTGGGCTGCGGGGCTCGGGCGGCGCGGCTGGGCGGGACGGCGCGGCGGGGCGGGTGGCGCGGAGCGGGCACGCGCTGCGGGGGCTGCGGGACTGCTAGGGGGGTCGGCGCGGGCCCCGGCCCGGCCTTCCGGGCGCGAGCTCCCGGGTGACCTCGAGCTGACCTCGCGGGCGGTGACCTTGGCCCCGGCGGGTCCGGGGCTAGCGCTGAGCACGGCTCTTGCAGGCAGCGGCCCTGTCGTCGCGGGCCGGCCTGTCCCGGGGCCGCAGGGTGGCGCTGACCGCCCTGGGCGTGCTGGCGGCCGGGGGCGCGGGCCTGGCCGCGGCGCTGCACTCTGCCGTGAGCGCCAGCGACCTGGAGCTGCACCCGCCGGGCTATGCGTGGACGCACCGTGGCCTCCTGTCCTCGCTGGACCACGCCAGGTACTGGGGGGCGCGGGGGCGGGCCGGGACCCGGACCCGGCCGCCGCCGCTCACGCGCCCGCCCCGCCCGCAGCATCCGCCGCGGCTTCCAGGTGTACAAGCAGGTGTGCTCGTCGTGCCACAGCATGGACTACGTGGCCTATCGCCACCTCGTCGGCGTGTGCTACACCGAGGAGGAGGCCAAGGCCATGGCCCAGGAGGTGCGCAGGGGCCAGGACGCCGGGATGCCGGAGCCGGGCGGCTGGGGGCCGGCGGGGGGCTGACGGGTGTCTGTGCGACAGGTGGAGGTCCAGGACGGCCCCAATGATGATGGGGAGATGTTCATGCGGCCGGGGAAGCTGTCGGACTACTTCCCCAAGCCCTACCCCAACCCCGAGGCTGCGCGGGCTGCCAACAACGGGGCGCTGCCGCCCGATCTCAGCTATATCGTAAGAGCCAGGTAAGAGCTGCCCAGGGCGTGTGGGAAGCTGGCGGGGCCTCCGTGGGGGTCTGAGCCCAGCCACTGCTCCCAGGCACGGCGGCGAGGACTATGTCTTCTCCCTGCTCACCGGCTACTGTGACCCACCCACCGGCGTGTCTCTGCGCGAGGGGCTGCACTTCAACCCCTACTTCCCCGGCCAGGCCATTGGGATGGCTCCTCCCATCTACAACGAGGTCTTGGAGTTTGATGACGGTGAGCAGGTCCTACCCTGCAGATGACAAGGCTGGACCCTTTCCCCAGGGCCCAGTTCCCTGGCTGGTTGGGCCAGGATCCCTAGCAGCTGCCCTCATCTCTTCCTGCACAGGCACCCCAGCCACCATGTCTCAGGTGGCCAAGGATGTGTGCACCTTCCTGCGCTGGGCATCTGAGCCCGAGCACGACCATCGCAAGCGGATGGGGCTTAAGGTAACACCAGGACTGGGGCAAGGGGCCGGGAAACAGGAGGGCTCCCTTTGGCTCCTCCTCTGAGCCTGTCTCGCCCCCCAGATGTTGATGATGATGGGCCTGCTGTTGCCCCTGGTCTATGCTATGAAGAGGCACAAGTGGTCAGTCCTGAAGAGTCGGAAACTGGCTTATCGGCCGCCCAAGTGATCCTGCCCAAAGCCTGCTTGCCATCCCACCTGAACAGGAGCCATCCTGGGCCTGGTTGGACCTCAGCTGGCCACCTTGGCCAAGACCCTCTTTTGGGGGGACAAGGAGAGAGGGGGCAGGAGCCTGGGCTCAAACTCCAGAATCTTCAGCCCTAATCATGGGAATAAATTAAGTTTCTCGAGTGTTTGCTTGATGTGATGTGGATTTACAGGGGAGTCCAGGCTCAACAGACCTTTAGGCCTGGACCCACAGAATCCCAAGGATATCTGTGGTGGGCAGCATGGCAAGTGGGGAGGAAGCTGCCAGGGCACAGGTGAGGATGGGACAGAGATCACCTGGTCAGGGTGGGAAGGCTGGGTTGGTGCTCAGGGCAGAGGTCATTGACAACCTTCTGACAACCTTCGGCCACTGGGGAGGAGCTTGGGCACCATGGCCTCCTGAGAGCAACTTCCTGAGCCTTTCAGAAGCTTCCCAGGAGTGCAGAAGGGACCTCTTGGCACAGGGGAGAGGTGGGAATCCAGAGGAGGGAGGGAAGGGTGTGCCACAGTAAGGCGGGAACTGAAACCAAGACTGCTGTATACACAGGTATACTCGCTGGCTCAGAGCATCTTTAATGTACTCATTCCCAGGTTGGGGGGCTTGACCCAACCAACCATGCTCAGGGATGACTTCTGCCTCTGGGCTCGGAGAACTCCTGGGGGGCTTGGGACCATATGGGATGCCGGCGATGGAACTTGTGTTGGCTGTGTGCAAGGCAAGTGTCCTCCAAAACGCTATCGGCTCAGGCTCCTCCAAGCATCTTTAATGACAGCCGCTGGCCCTGCCCTCTGCATGGGATCCTAGGAGTATTCAAGTGGAGGTCCAGGGGCTGCAGGCCTGGGGGAAGAGAGGCCCCTCTCCCTGGAACTCTCCCACCCCCTCTCCCTTATTTCCCCCACCCCCTACCTTGGGGGGGTATCCAGGTGCAGGGCCTCTGGGTGCCACACATCTCACAGCCGGGACGGCTTGGGGGGTTGATGTAGGTGCAGGATGGGCAAGACCAGCCAGACTGGGGAGGGAGGTGTGAGGACAGTTGCCCATCTGCCCTTGCAGTGCCAGGGTGCCCAACTGCCCACCCTCTCCAGTCCGTGCTCACCTGCAGGGGGTTAGGAAGGCTGTTGCTGGCCGGTTGTAGGGCGCGGGGCAGCCGCAGCAACTGAGGAAACCAATGGCCTAGCTCCCTGCTTGTCTTCCGAGGGTGCTGAGGGCCAGCTCCTGCAACAGGGGTGATTTCAGGCCTGACTGGACACAGGGCACTGTCCTCAGGCCCCCCCCCCCCCCCCCCAAGGACTGACCTGGGGCTTCGTGTGGGGCCGAGAGCAGGTAGAGGAAAGCGGGGTCCCCATCCTGGCACACCCCATAGGAGGCAAGGCTGAGCTCAGGTACACAGAGACATCGTCCAATGACCCAGCGCTGCACAGCCGGCGGGAAGCCCAGCTCTGAGAAGACCTGGAGCCAGAGTGCAGGGTCAGAGTGTGGTTGGGTGCCCTCCCTCCCCGCGGGGCCCCCACTCACTTACCTGCTCCTGGAGGGCTGCTACAGTGTGGTGGGGGCAAACCCGCAGCACGACATGGGCTGAGGACGAAGCATCCTCCACAGTGACCTGCAGCCTGGGCCAGAGTCGGGTCAGCACAAAGCAGGGCCCCGGGGGTGGGGTGGGGGGGTTGGACACGGGGGTTGGGAGCGGGCCAGGTCTCACCTGATGAGTCCAGCAGGGAAACTGGCCTCCTGGAGCCAGACACTGAGGGCCACGTGGTGACGGGCCAAGATGGCAGCTGCTTCAGCAGCCCTCTGCCTGTCCCCATCGGCAATGGCGCGGGCCAGGCGTTCTACCAGCTCCTCTGCCGAGAGAGGGGAAGAGCTGCACAGATGGGCACAAGCCACTCCTGCCACCCCAACACCTGCCTTTACCTTTCTCCACCAAGTCTTCAGGGCTCCAGAGAACGTCCATTTTGGGTGGGGGGGCTTTGGGGAGCCCGGGCAGAGAAACAAGACTTGCTGCTGGGCCAGGGAGTGAGCTCTCACCACCTGGGAGGGAAGAGCAGGCAGGTGGGCCCTCACCCCTACGTCATCACCAGATCTCCGTCCAGGACTGTCCCCATCCGCCCTGACTTAGCTCCCCGCCAGCAGTAGGCTCCCTCAGCTTCAGGGGACCGCTGGCGCTCCACCCTCACCTCGGCCTGTGCGTGATTCTATTGCAGTTTTGGGCCACACCTGCCAATGTTCACATTACTTATGGCTCTGTAACTCAGGAATTACTCCAGGCAGTGCTCAGGGGATCATATGGGATGTTAGGGATAGAACCCAGGTTGTTCATGTGCCAGGCAAGCCCCTCCCTGTTATACTCAGGGTCTAGACCCTGGTGTGTGGTTCTTGAAAACCCCCAAGTCTTCCACAAGCACAGCTAAGGCTGCTTCACGCCGCAGACCCTCTGCCCATCCTTCAGAGCGGGCTGCTGCCGTCTCCCCACGCCTCACTGGCCCCAAGGGTCCTGAGCTGTGCAGGGTGCCTGCACCCAGGACCAGACTTGCACTACCAAGTGTTCTGCAGGGAACCCAGCTTGAGAGACACTGCAGTGCTCCTCCTGCTCCTCAACAGGCCTACCTGGGTGCCCACACACGGCTGGTGAGGAGCAATGAAGCATCTGCCTCCTTTGCCACGTGTGAGCTACCTGGGCCTCGCTTCCATACACCGTGTGCTTTACTTTCTGACCCTCTGCAAATTCTGCTCTGAGGAGCGTCTTCCAGTGGCTGCTGCCAGAATCTCTTCTCTCACTGCATCTTTCCTGGTGAACCTGGTTGGCCTTTTCATAAGCACACTTCGCCTCACCGAATCCCTTGCTTCTGGCCAGATCCACAGGACCTGTGGCCACTTCCACCCCTTCCCAGCCAGGTCTGTGATCTGGCAGCAGCTTGACTGTCTCTTCACTCGCCTTCTCATGCCAACCACCAACTTTCATCAGTCATGAATCTAGCTGGGCCCACCCATCACTCCCCATCTCTCCAGCCCTATTTTTTTTTCTTTTTGGGTCACACCCAGCGATGCACAGGGGTTACTCCTAGCTCTGCGCTCAGGAACTACCCCCAGCGGTGCTCAGGGGACCATAGGGGATGCTGGGAATTGAACCCGGGTCGGCCGTGTGCAAGGCAAACGCCCTACCCTCTGTGCTATTGCTGCAGCCTCTCCAGCCCTATTCACCACCTCACTAAGTGCCCTGGTCGCTGCCATTTCTTCTCCTGGGCATTTTTGGGTTCCACCCAACGGTTTGCTCAGGAGCTGCTCCTAGGTCGGTGCTGGAATTGGACCCTGGCACCCCAAAGGCACTGCATGAGCCTGCCGCTCCTACCCAGCACCTCCCAGTGTTCACCCGCACAGCCCCTGGCTCCCCACCCTGTTCTTTTCTCCACTCTTTGGAGACTTCTCAGCACCTCAAGCAGAGTGGGGAAAACAGACTCCCACTTGTCCAACCCTCGGGGCCCGTGGAGTACAGGTGAGCTCAGCCGCCCCTGTACGGACCGTTCTGCCCCTCCACGGTGGCTCCTCGGAGCAGGGCGGCCCACTGCTGCGCCTCCAGCGGGTCGGGAAAGTCTAGGCTGAGGGTCCCCGGGCCTCCGGGGGGCGGCCGCAGCTCATGCTGGTGGGGACTTCGGATGGTGTAAGAGACAGACTCCAAGGGCCACTCCAAGTTGACCTGCAGGAGCAGAGGGCGGGCTGAGCACCTCCCCTGCAGGAAGGAACTTCACCAGAGACCAGCCGCAAACCCCTTCTCTGGGACCCCACCCACTGCACCACCTCGCTGCCCGTCCCGCGGGAAAGGGAAGTAAAGGCCAGCAGGCCAGAGCTGGAGGCGGCAGAGCCGGGCGCTCGCCCCGCGGCCCTCACCCGCACTCACCGCCCGGTGCCCCGCGACCCCGCCCGCACTCACCGCGCCGCGCCCCCCGCCCCCCAGCTGCAGCCGGAAGCGCCCGGGCCGCTCGGGGTCCGTGCTCAGCTGCAGCCTCCGCAGGGGCGCCCCGGCCTCGGTTCCCGCGCCCAGCGGGCGCACCGCGGCGTGCACCGCCAAAAGCACAGCGGCCGAGTCCGGGTCCGGGTCCGGGTCCGAGGCCGCCGCGCCACCCGCCGGCGGCGCCATCTCGAGTCCGGGCCCGGCCCGGCCCCTGCCGCCGGTTCCCCGGGCTCGGGCCGCCGCGCGCCGCCGCCGGCCGGAAACCTGCTCCGCGCGCCGGGAGTTCCGGGTGCGGCCGGGGCCTAGGCAGACGGCGGGGGCAGCGCCGGCCCATCCCTCCGGCCTCTCCGACAGTCAGGACACGGAGTGACGGGACGCGGGGACGCCGGGGGGGGTCTGGGCGCCCGGACGCCGGGACAGCGCGCCCGGCCCGATCCCCGACGCTGCCCGGCTACCCCGACTCCCGCCCGCCGAGCAATCCCACCCGGCCAGCTCGGGGACCCAGGCCTCGCGGGGCGGAGCGGGCCACGGCTGGGCCAATGAGCGCCGAGGAAGGGGCGGGCCCGCGCCTGAAAGGCCTGACGGACAGGAGCCCCGTCCAGTAGGAGCGGAAGACGGGGCTGAGCGGCGGCCGCCGCGTCCAATGGTTGTCCTGCTCTGGATTCCGGGGGCGGCCGCCGGCCATTCAGAGGTGTGGGGCCGGACCTGGCGGACGCTTGTTGTTGTCCGGCCCGGGGAGACAGAGGTCGCTCGCGGCTTCGCTGGGGGACTGGGGGCGGTCGGCTGGCAGGTCGGTCGCGAGCGTCGGGCACCGTGCAGGGGCGAGGCTATGTCGCGGTGGCAGCCCGGACGGGCCGGCTGGGCCGGGAGTAACGGGACGTCGCCGCGGAGCTCCTTCCCCCGGATACCGTGCGGCCCGAGCTGTGGCTGCGGCGCCGCCCCCCGGCCGTGAGCAGCCCGCGCCGCCCTCTCGGCGCTCCGCGACCCGGCGCCGCCCGATCGAGCCCGGCCCAGCAGGTGGGTGAGCGCCGGGGCCGGGCGGGCGCCGATTCGGGCCCTCCGGGACTACGGGCCCCAGCAGGCCGCGCGGCGCCGCGCCTGCGCGCCGCCCGCTCTGCCCCCTGGGACCCGAAGTGCGTCGTGCACGGGCGGCGGGTGCCCCAGGGGCCGGGCGGGAGGCGGACGCTGCCCAGTGGCCAGGCAGCGGGCGCTTGCAGGGACCGTGGCTGCACCGTCCGAGCCTCGGCCGCGACTGAGCGTCGGTTCTTAATGTGGTTGGGGGATTGCAGCCGAGGGGCCTTGGCGGGGCCACAGTGGCCCCCGGAGCGGGAGGGCATCTGGCAGGAGATGGAGGCTCCGTGTGCGAGAGGTGTGGCCGACCTGGGCCCGCACCTACAGCCCTCAGGTAACTGGACACCACCCTGGCCCAGGGCGTGGGAGTAGGCCCAGAGGGAGCCCGCTTGCTGCAGGGGCTTCTGCTCTCTGGACTGGCCAGCGCCCATGGAGTGGCTTCTCCCCTAGGCAGCAGCAGCTAGTTCCTCTGCGCGCGGGACCTTCTCCGAAGACATGAAGCTGTTGGAGAACTCCAGCTTCGAGGCCATCAACTCACAGCTCACTGTGGAGACGGGAGATGCCCACATCATCGGCAGGCAAGGCCAGGGTGCAGGGTGGCGTGGGGGCAGGCAGGCCCTGGGTGGCTGGTGACTCCAAGGCCCCTCTGTCCCCGCCTGAGTGGAACCTTGGTGGGTGACCAGCTCCTCGGCTGCCCGTGTTGCAGAATCGAGAGCTACTCGTGCAAGATGGCCGGCGACGACAAGCATATGTTCAAGCAGTTTTGCCAGGAGGGGCAGCCCCACGTGCTGGAGGCGCTGTCCCCACCACAGACCTCTGGCCTCAGTCCCAGCAGGTGAGCCAGTGCAGAAGCTGCTCCGGGGCTGCTGGGGAAGGGCTATACTGGACTGATTCTTCTCTTTGTAGACTGAGCAAGAGCCAAGGAGGAGAGGACGAGGGCCCGCTGAGCGACAAGTGCAGCCGCAAGACGCTCTTCTACCTGATCGCCACACTCAACGAGTCCTTCCGGCCTGACTATGACTTCAGCACAGCGCGGAGCCATGAGTTCAGCCGGGAGCCCAGTCTCAGTTGGGTGAGTGTAGGGAGGACAAGGCACCTGCTTCCCCTCCGCTGTCTCCCCCTTCTCCCACTCTGCACGGGGCCTCCCGTCTCAGAACTCTGAGCCCTGCGTGTGGCCGGTCCAGGTGGTGAATGCAGTCAACTGCAGCCTGTTCTCGGCCGTGCGGGAAGACTTCAAGGCCCTGAAGCCGCAGCTGTGGAATGCTGTGGACGAGGAGATCTGCCTGGCAGAGTGTGACATCTACAGGTGCGCTGCATCCTTGTGGGGCTGGGGTCAGGGGGGCCTGGGACCTTACGCTGCCATACTCCTCAGCTACAACCCAGACCTGGACTCGGACCCCTTCGGGGAAGATGGGAGCCTCTGGTCCTTCAACTACTTCTTCTATAATAAGCGTCTTAAGAGGATCGTATTCTTCAGCTGCCGCTCTATCAGGTTGGCCCCTGCCCATGCCCTCCAGCCCCCACTATGACCCTTACTGTTTACCCAGTGGTTCCTGCCCCTCTCCTGTCTCTGCCCTCCCCGGACACCCTGCGTGGGCTCGGTGGCGGGTCCTAAGGCAGTTCCCCCACCTCCCCCAGTGGGTCCACGTACACTCCCTCTGAGGCGGGCAACGAGCTGGACATGGAGCTGGGGGAGGAAGAGGAGGAGGAGGAGGAGGAGGAGGAAGAGAGCGGGGGCGGAGGCAGCGAGGGAGGACCTGAGGAGAGTGGCGCCGTGGAGGAGGACAGGTATGTTCTGCCTGTGGTGACCCGGCCCCTGAGCCTGGGGTGGCCAGGACAACCTGGGGCCCCCTGCCTGGCCCTTCACAGCCTGCTCTGTGTCTGCTCCTGCCCAGGGTCCCAGTGATGTGTATGTGAGGGGCAGGAGCAGAGACCCCGGCTTCATCCAGCTTCGACCAGTGCCTGGACCTGCCCACCTGCTGCTGACCCGACCCTGGTGCTGCCACAGCTTCAGCACCACCCAGGTCGTTTTGACTTGGCCCTTGGCCTCCTGCATATGGACATCCACTTGGCCCACAGGCTTCTGCTGCCCACATGGCGGCCGGACTGGACCATATCGGGCCTGTTGGGTAGAGCCTCTGCCCTGCCCTAATGAGCTGACTGGACAGGGCTTCAGGACCATAGAGTTTATTTTTGTATTTTGTACTGGCTTGGGCCTGGGCCTGCACACTCCAGTCCCAAGACCCAGCAAGCAGGCTGCCCAATGGTCACTCTTTTGGGCCTGGCCAGTCCCGAACGCCCACCTGTAACCCCCACCTTGCCCACTGGGCAGTGTGCACTGAGTGTCACTTTGCTGCAGCTCGTTTGTTTCCAATAAAAGTTTGTGACTTCACTGGCATGTGGGTTCAGCTTGTAGGGGGCGGGGCGGGGGCGGGGCCTGGGCGGGACACCACGTGCCCTAGCAACAGTTGGCCCTAGCAACAGTGGGCTGTAAGCGCTGTTGATCCGTTAGGGCCAAGAGGTACATACACCTGAAGACGTTGGAAGTACTGAAGAAGAAAGTGAAGGATGGAGGATGGACGCAAATGGCTCCTGGTTCAGAACGCGGGCTAATGCGATATCTGACTTGGGGGCGGGGCTTGTGGCAGCACGTGTTTTAGCAACGGTTGGTCCACGGAGCTGTTGAGTCGCTGAGCCCGGGACCAATAGACTCGTGGGGCAGCGGAGACAAGAGTGATGGGTGTGTGCAGTCCCCTTCAGTCTAGCTCAGGACATGAACTGGGAAGCCAGAGATAGTACAGGTCTTCATGCAGGAGACCCTTGTTTGATTTCCTGGTGCCACATGCTCCCCCCAGCACAGAGCCAGGAGTAGGCTCTGATCTCTGCAGGCTGTGGCCCAGATTCCCCTAAGCCTCCCCTCCAAAACCAGGACATGGGAAGGTGACCCTCACTCAGGAGCTGGCCCTGCCAGGAATCCCAGCTCCCAGGGCAGTCTCACCTGGCAGAGCTGCTGGGATGGGGGGCCCAAGACTGAGTGAGCATCTGCCTGCAGCCTCATCGTCCAGCAACTCACAGCAAGTGATACACCCATCCTTGGCCACCCGTGGCTATCAGCTCTGGCAGCTGCTCCGTAACAGCCTCCACAGCGTTGTGGAGAAGGTGTGGCAACTGCCTCCATGGCCTCTGGGATGGTCTGGGGCCCCCTAGGGGTCCTGAAGCAGGCAGGCCACTAGCTCCCCCTGCAACCCCCCCTTCCCCACAGGAGAAGACGGCTGAGCTGCGTGAAACACACTTGACACATGGGCTGGAGTCAGTGCGCATTCTCAAGGTGGCAGCAGGGGTGAGGTCTGTGGTGCAGGGCTTGGAGGGCAGCCACTTTGTGGTGCTGGATGGCGCAGGCTTCCTGCACCTGTACTGGGACAGCGGCATTGTGCAGAGAAAAGTCAAGGCCCCCGTGGCACTGGCAGGGCTGGTGATGGTGCCAGGCCAGCTGGATGCTGTGAGTGGCTTTGTGGGCTGGGGCCCCTTCGGGTTGGCCCTCCTGAGGCCGGATTTCAGCCTGCTATGGCTGAGTAAGCCCAGGAGGAAGCGGGTGCCTGAACACAACCCCATCTACTGCCTGCTGGTGCCAGATCGGGAGCAGCTGCTGGTGGCCGAGGCAGGAGGAGGCCTGTCCCTCTGGAAGTTTCATGCAGGGGGGCATCTCCTGGTGCCCTTCAGACCATTACTACAGCCAGAGCTACATCCTAGAGGTACACTTGTGCGGCTGGTTCTGGGTCCTGAGACAGCCCAGGGCTCCTGCTGCTGCTTCGCTGTGTTCAGCTCTGAGGTGTTCACCTTTGATTTGCACACCTGGGCCTTCACAGATGTGCGCCGGAATCTCCATAAAACGTGAGGAGTGTGGGGCACCAGGCCAGGTGTCGAGGGTCAGCTGGTGTTGGAGCCTGGCCGCACTGGTGCTCTGGGTCCACTGACTTCTTGGCCCACAGTGCCATCATGGACCTGGTACACTGCGGAGAGCTGAAGATCACAGTGACAGCTTCCCGCGACAGCACAGTGAAGGTGTGGGAGGCAGACTGGCAGATCAGGATGGTGTTCCTGAGCCACACAGGTGCACCATGCCGCAGGGTTTTGAGACCACAGACTTCTACCTGCCCAGGAACTGCCTTCTGCCCCCACCCGTGCCACAATCCTGGCCCCGCTGGCTTTCTGGGGCCAAGTCTCCCAAACATCCTTCTTGCAGGCCCGGTTACAGCTCTGGCTCTGCTTCCCGATACGACCCTGGTGGTATCGGCCTCACAGGACGGGACGATGCGCACGTGGGACCTGCAGGAAGCGGCGCAGGTTGGCGAGGTGGTGCTGGATTGCCCGGGACCAAACCAGCCGCTGGGGCAGGTGACCCGCCTGCTGCCGCCCCCCGACCTGGGCCGCCCGCTGTTCTCTTTGCGTGACTTCAGCGTGCAGCTGTGGCGTTTGCGCACGCTGTACTCACCCTTGGCGCAGCTGTCGGCGCCTGTGCTGCACCTGCAGGTAGCACCCCCGACGCCAGGGCCGATGCAGTCCCCGCTGCAGCCCCAGCTGCCGGTGCGCCTTGTGTGCGCCTGCGCCGATGGCTGGGTCTACCTGGTGTCGGTGGCGACGGGACTGACAGTGACCGCGCTGCCGCTCCAGCCCGAGGACTGTGCAGCCGCAGTGGCCTACTGCCTGCCGCGGGAGATCCTGTGCGTGCTGACGCTCACCGGTCACCTGGTGTTCGCCACTTCGGCCTGCTGCCCCATGCGCGTGCTGCACCGAGAGCGCCCGCCGCCGCCCCCTGGCCCCCGGCCCTGCTGCCTGCACCTTTATAGCCACCTCTCGGACCCCAAGAGCGCGTTTGACACTTGGGAGATGGTGCGCCAGCGCAGGGCTGAGGTGCGAACCTCGGACGTGGCTGGTGCCTGGAAGGACAAGAACCGGTGGGTGCCAGGGTCGGACAGTACACGGGTGGAGGGAGACCCGCGCTGGTGGGCGGGGCTAAATGGGCGTGGCTGCTGTCTGGGTGAGCGGGGCAAGCGGAGAGCGCCCTAAGGCTACCGGCGCCTTCAGGTACCTGACCCTGGTGGGACGCACAAATGGCACGCTGGCGGTCCTGGACTTGTTCTCCTGGAAGACCACCTTCCACACAGACGCACACTGCCCTAATCACGTCACAGCCATTGAATCCACCTGGAACAGCATTGTCACCTCAGGTCAGTACCACCAAAGGTCAGCTCAGCCCAGTCACCTCGGTGCAGTACCACCAAAGGCTCAGGCACCCTTGCTTCTGCTGCAGGGGGAGACCTGACGGTGAAGGTGTGGCGGGTCTTCCCCTATGCCGAGGAGAGCCTCAGCCTGCTGTGCACCTTTGCCTCCTGCCACCCGGTGGTGGCACTGTGCGTCCTGGGCAGGACCATTGCCATGGCCTTCGAGGACCCCAACAATGCCACCTATAGCGTGGTGCACCTCAGTCTGGACCATGGCACCCGCCATGACCACCGGCCACAGGACGACCCCACAGACCACATCACCGGTGAGGGAGCAGGGCATAGGGGCAGTCTTGGGTCCAGGAGGCTCTGGCCCTTGACCCTGAGCCCCCACCTCTCCAGGCCTTTGCTGTTGCCCCTCACTGAAGCTGTACGCCTCCTCCAGCCTGGACTGCAGCATCCGCATCTGGACAGCAAAGAACCGCCTGCTGCGGTGGGTGGGCTGGTGAGAGACTTGGGGGGGCGGGTCCCAGAGAGCTGTGGCCACAGGGACAGGGGCTAACATCTTGCCTCTCAAAACCCCTCCAGACTTCTGTTGCTGGATGGGCCCCCTCAGGCCCTGACCTTCTGTGGCAACAGTGGGGACCTGGCATTGGCGCTCGGCTCCCGTCTCTGCCTCATACCACACAGCCTTTACTTGCCCACATTCTACCTGCTAAAGGTATGCAGGAGCAAAGGGGTGGGGGTGGGGGTGCAGGAGCACAGTGTGTGTGTGGGTGTGTGTATCTGTGCATGTATGTGTGTGTGTTCAGGAGCACAGGATGTGTGTGTGTGTATTCAGGAGCACAGGGTGTGTGTGTGTGTATGTGTGTGTGTGTGTGTGTATTCAGGAGTAAAGGGTGTGTGTGTGTGTGTAGGAGCATAGGGTGGGTGGGTGTGCAGGAGCACAGGGTGAGGATGTGTGTGTAGGAGCACAGGGTGTGTGTATGTATGTTTGTGTTTGTGTGTAGGAGCACAGGATGTGTGTGTGTGTGTGTGTGTGTGTGTCTGTGCAGGAGCACAGGGTGGGGGTGGTGTGCAGGCAGATCAGTGCCCAGACCAGCTTGAGGCTCTTTCTTTCTGTTTAGAAACTGTGCCAGAAAACCCCCAAAGTGGTAGATGACCCTCCATTGCCCCTTACCTGCCAGGCGTCGCTGACCACAGTCCAGCTGCAGAGGCTCACCCTGCAAGGGACAGCCAGCTGCAGACATCCCAGCAGGTCCTCAGAGCTGGCCCTCAAGCCCTCGCTCAGCACCTGCGGGTCTGAACCAAGCAAAATACCCTGATACCCCCAGGGCTTCGGGGTTCCTGAGCCACTACAAACCTGCCAGGGCCCTGGTGGGGAGTGACCAGACAGCCCAGCACAGTCCTATGGCAGCTCTGCCCACGTCCACCTGAGCTAACTTTCCACCCGCAGCACTGCCTTGCCACCCGGTTCCACCACACTTCAGCAGCCTGAGCCTGAGGAGGTGAACTCAACCTGCCCATTCCCCTGGGGGTGCCTAGGGTTCCCATGGAGGTCTGGGGAGTCTGGACTGACCCCAGTACCCTGTGGCAGGACTTGAAAGCCCTGATCCGCCGGGACTACGACCTGCAGAAGCTGAAACTGGGGCTGGTGTTTCCAGTGCAGCAGATCATGCTGTCCTTGTGGCAGCACCAAGAGGCCTTCGAGAACTACCTGAGCGCCATCTATGGCACTGACCTGAAGGTGGGCGAGCAGCCATCCCCACCAGCCCAGCTTCTGGTGGCAGGCAGGAGGCCAACAACTTTTCTGCCACCCTTTGCAGAAACTGTCCCCAGGTGATGAGACCCAGGGTTGGCGCTCCATGAACCTCTCCCTGGAGAGTGAAGCCAGTGCCAGCTCCCTTTTCCCAAAGGCTGAGGACCACCTGGCCCCGGAGGCCGCAGGGGTCCCCAGCACACCCTCTGACCACCCTCTCAGAGTCTCCTTTCCCATCACCCCCACCCCTCAAGAAGTGCACAGCAAAGCATCCCAGGTGAGTCCCTATCCCCTGCCCCCTGCCCACCAGCACTGCCCACGCTGACTCTCCCTCCCACCCCCAGCTGCTGGCCTGCTCCTCCCTGAGCAGCAGCCTGCACCTCAGCCTGGACCTGCAGCTCCAGGACTTGGATCGGCGCCAGGAGCGGAGGAAGAAGTTGGAGCAGCTCATGAAAGTCCCGCTGCAGAAACCAGTGAGGGCCCTGCAGAGGGCTGTTGTGGTGGTGCCGGCGGGCGCGGGCACCCTGCTCTGTGCTGAGTGTCTCTTCTCTGCCCAGATCCCCCTGCTGCTGAAGAGGAGACCTGAGGAACTTGTCTCAAAGTTTCAGGGCTTCTTCCCTGCCATACTTGGGTCCAGCGCAGTAAGAAAGCTCCGTCCTCCGAGCCCACCTCTTCTGTATACTTCACTTCCATTCCTTTGCTAAAAATAATTGTGTTGGGGCTGGAGCAATAGCACAGCAGGTAGGGCATTTGCCTTGCACGTGGCTGACCCGGGTTCGATTCCCAGCATCCCATATGGTACCCTGAGCACTGCCAGGGGTAATTCCTGAGTGCAGAGCCAGGAGTAACCCCTCTACTTCGCCAGGTGTGACCCAAAAAAGAAAAAAAATTGTGTTGGCATCTGACCCACAAGGCTCCCCCGACCCCCCATTACTCTTGGTTAGGGATGAAGCAGGGGATAGTGCTCCTAGCACCTGCCCAGCTGCCAAAAAAGGAACCATGTGATAGGGAGCCCACCCTCACAGTCCCCCAACCTTTCCTTCATCCTCCCACCTGCCCTCTCCCCTGGTGGCACGTTTCTCCACCCTCCAAGCTGCGACCCCAGTCCCTGCCCTCTTCTTATATGGGGGACATAAGATGTCAGAACCCCCCAGAGACATCAGCACTCTGTCCCCAGTGGGGGCTGCTGGTGCTGAGTGTGCAGTGGGCAGCTGAATTCTGGGCCTGCCTGAGCACCCTTCATTCTGCCCACCTGCAGAAGCCCCCGTTGCCTATCCAGTTCCCGGGCTGTGTGCCCAACTCGGTGGTGCTGCAGCGGTTGTGGCTATGTCGGGAGCTGAAGGAGCTGACATCCCTCTCGCAAATGCTTCTCTGTCACCAGCTTCCCAACCAGCACCAGGCAAGGGGCTGGAGGGCAGGGACAGGGGTGCTCCCTCACGACCAGCAGGTGGCTCATGATTTCCTGCCTACAGATGGTCAAGGTCTGGGGCAAACTTTGGCCGTCCCTCAAGAGGTGGCTTTGGCGGCGGAAGTTGATCCTGTACGAGGATGAGGAGGAGGAGGAGGAGGAGCAGGTCTCCTTGGACTCGGGGAGCATGAACGTGCAGCAGGTCACCATGGAGGGCAAGAAAGAGCTACAGGTGGGCCTCCCAAGGCTGGTCTGGACCGGGGGTGCAGGGCCAGGACAGGAGGGTGGTCAGGCTTTACCCGCTCTCTCCCCACAGGTCCTGGAGCAGCTCCTGCAGAGACAGACCCATGGTGACAGCTCCTTGGACACCGCTGAGCGCCGCCAGCATGCCCTCTCCTCTTTGTGGGAGGACCGCTATCGGCATCTGCCCGCGTTCCTGACTTTCTTCGTCCTCCAGAACTGGTTTAAAAGGCTCTTCCCCACCTTCACCCTGGAGGTCTGGGGAACCCCGACCCCCTAGGGGTGAGTGGTATGGGGGGGTCCTTTCAGAGTGGGTGCTCAGCTGGCTGCAACGGTCCTTGTAGGCATACCCCGAGATGGGCACAGTAGAAGGCCTGGCCTTGCAGTTTATGGACCTGTTAGGAGAAGCGTCCTGGACTGACCGTATCCACCTTCTGCACGCGCTGCAGAGACTGCTCCCCAGCATGAGCCAGAAGCTGCGTGACCGGCTGTACAACCTTGTGGTCTTGATGCTCAACCAGGAGGAGCCCCCCCACCTGGAGGTGCGCCCCACATTGTACTGCCTACATCTGATCCTCCAGTCCTTTTCCTGTCTCTCCACCCTCACTCTGGCTGCCTTGAGTAGGATGAGACGCAGAAGAAGTTCGTGATGCTGGCACTGCAGCTGCTCCTGTCCTGCTCCCTAGAGTCCAGAGAGGTGATAGTGCAGCTCTTGTCCTACTTCCTCTACTCGCCAGTCTCCTGCTGGTGAGTTCTGCACTCTGCCTACTGCCGCTGGGCAGGGCAGAAGGGGCGCTGCCTCTGAGCTGCCTATACCCATCCCAGGCCTGAGATCCAGAGTTTGCTGGCCAAGCTAGGCCTTCACGACCCACACGGATTCCTCTTCAAGGACATGCTGACTTGGGTGCAGGGCCCAGACTTCTTTTCCAAGGCCATCCTGCACAAGCGCTGCCAACAGAAGCTGGAGGAGCTGATGCAGAACATGGAGGTGTGGGCAAATTCCTCACAGCCTCCAGAGGCCAGGGGAGAGCCAGGCGCCTCCTTCATCCTCCCTCAGCCCTAGCTGGTATTCTCGGGTGCTTCCAGTGACAGTGTGCCTTGGGCACTGTCCTGCCTTGCAATGTGGGGTGGGGCCTCTGAGTCTTGGGTAGTCACCTCCTGCATTGGCTGCCTCCCTCTCAGATGGCGGACACCACACCACCACTGCCGGACACGACATCAGAGCTGCTATCCACTTCAGCACACCCCCGTCTTTCCAAGGACACTCTGCTGCCATCCATCTCCGAGGCACCCACTCCCACCTCCCTGAGGCCTACAACGGTGGCCTTGCCCAGGGAGGTGGAGGAAAAGCCTGGGGAGATACAACTCCTGATGCCCTTAGCCCAGCCCCTCAGCCTCAGGCCCACCCGTCACAGGCTCTCGGAGATTCTGGGGCAATTCTCCGCGCACATCTCGCCCACCTCCATCCTTGAGGATTCCCTGCCGCTGGAGCACTCAGACTGGTCACGTATGCAGGTGCTGGACCTGACGGCCATGGATGCACTCAACTTCTACTGCGAGCAGATGGGTACCCGGGGGGGTTTCTTCCACCCGCAGAGGCTAGAGAGGAGGTTCCTGGACCTCCACGTCGATCACAGCGCCAAGGTGGTGGTGCCCCAGACCAAGACGGGCCGCCGCAAAGGGTAAGAACGTCTTGGATGGTGGTGGTGGGAGTCCAGGCCTGCAGGGGCTGGGCAGAGTCTGAGGGCGGGGCGAGACGGTCGGGGGTGGGGCAATGTTTGGGGGCGAGGTCAGCGGGCAGGTGGCAGTGTTGGGGAGGGGCGGGGACTTGTGTGTGTGTGGGGGGGTGGCCGAATGGGGACGGGGCTAAACCTTGGGCGGGGCGGGCGGTGGGCGGGGCTTGCAAGGCCAGCTGGCCAATCCGCCGCCTCGTCGTCCTCCTCCAGGCAATACCGCATTCACCGGCTGCAGGAGGTCCAGGCCCAGGCCCCCAGGCGAACCAAGGCGGTGGCTTGGCAGAGAGGTACGTGGGGCCTTCCGTTCCCTCTCTCTTTCCTGCGCAGTCCGAACGCCCCTCTTGACTCCTCACTGCCCTGCTGCCTCCCAGGCCCGAAGCCGACTCAGCCCTTGGGCCGCATCCGGGTGCTGAAACTGCCTCTGCCGCGAGCCGAAGTGCGGCCCTTCCCCCCGGGCTGGCCTCGGCCGGCCAGCCCGCTGCCCCCTCTGCTGCTGCAGCCAGCCCTGCAGCGCTACTTTGCGCCCCAGAGCTCCGACCCTGACAGATACACCTAAGAGCTGAGGCCTCCGACTGGACCCCAGCTGCCCCAGAGCCCTTTCTGCCCTCTGCCTGGCCAGTCGCCCCTGATCATGCCCAGGCTGGAATAAAGAGCAGTGATCACACGCTGCCAAACCACGAGGTGTCCTCTCCTTCTCTTGGGGTCTCCTGGGCTGGACAGGAAGGCCTGCTCTCAGGGAGGCACTGTGGGATTTCACTCGTCTGCCCCAGGGGGACACCCCCAATGTGAGCCTGGTACACAGCCCAGACTCCTGGGTTGACTGAGCAAGAGATCTCTGTGCTAGAGGGTGAGCCCGGGAAGATCATGTATCCATTAAAGGGAATTGATTTGTACTTGAAAGATCTTTGCAAAAAGAGAATCCCAGACCCAGAAGACTTCAATAGGGACTTCTAGCAAATGATTTGGAAGGAGACACTCATTTTTTTACAAACTTTCAGAAAACTGGAGGTGTGGGGGCGGGAATACTTCCCACCATCCGGAGGCCAATAAGCAGAGAAGGACCTCACAGGACAACAATGCAGAAAGATACTTGCCCTGGGTTTTGATGCAAAAATCAGTCTTCAACCAGATGGCAGCAAACCAAACACAACAACTCACAAACACAAGGCCTCTGGTGACAAACAGAGATTCTTCCAAGAACACAGGCTGGTGGAGCTTCGCATTTCTTGAGAATGAGTGCTCCGATTGCAGTGAGGCTGGAGCCTGACGGGGTGGGGGGTGGGGGGGAGTTCAAGCAATAGTGCCAAAGAGCTCCCAGTTGGTGGTGGTTCTGGGAGTTCTCTTCTTAAACTTTGCAGCTCTTTCCCCCTGCTCTCTGAAGTAGAATTTTGCACGAAGGAGACGGTGGTCCCGTCCTGTTTGGAATTTTGATTTTTAAAAAAATTTTTTGGGGGGCTGGAGCGATAGCACAACGGGTAGGGCGTTCGCCTTATAAGCGGCCAACATGGCCGACCCGAGTTCGATTCCTCCGCCCCTCTCGGAGAGCCCGGCAAGCTACCGAGAGTATTTGATATGCCAGACACAGTAACAACAAAGTCTCCTATGGAGACGTTACTGGGCCCGCTCGAGCAAATCGACGATCAACGGGAGGGCCTTTACCTTTACCTTTACCTTTTTTGGGTCACACCTGGCAATGCTCAGGGGGTCACACCTGGCTCTGCACGCAGGAATTACCACTGGCGGTGCTCAGGGGACCATATGGGATGCTGGGAATTGAACCTGGGTTGGCCGCGTGCAAGGCAAATGCCCTACCTGCTGTGCTATCATTCCAGTCCCCCCCGTTTGGAATTTTGGGACAACAGCGACATCGGTCATGCAAAACCGTCGATTGAATATGATGCGGTCAATTTTGTTGTGGAACTGTCCACTGGGAGACTCCCATGTCCAGTGTTTAGATTCGGCCTTCTGGAACTGTGAGTTACTATGGATGGTCTTGGCCGACATAATAAACTCAGACAGTCTCTCACCCTGTTTGTTCCATTCTTGGCCATGGGTCCTGATGTGAAGTTCTTCGGCTGATCTTCTCGGTCATATCTTGGCATTAAAATCACCGACAAAGATCTTGTAGAAGGTATGGTCTTCTTTATAGAACTTCTCCAGCTCCATGTAGAACTTCTCAATTTCTTCTTCATCATAATTGGATGTTGGTGAGTAGATAACAAAGATAGAAATTGCTGGCAGTGAGCCACATCTATTCAAGTGTGTGTAAACTCACACAAGGGGGGCTCGGCACCCACAGCGGCGGTGGTTCTATCTCTCCCGCCACCCGCGTTCGGTAGTCTCACCCTTCTCCCACCCCGGAGAGGTCGATGGCGATGGTCAGGCGGAGGAAGGAACGAGGGCCAGGCTGGTAGGTATTCGTCTAGTTTATTCTGATTCTCTCTTTATCTGTCTCTGCTCCTGTCTCTCTCTGTCTCTCCTCGTCTCTGCCCCCCCTGCCCAATCTACAGTCTCCTTATATCTCTCTCCAAGAGAATGGGGGAAACAATTACATATAGGTGTGGTCACAATCAATAGGGGTGGAGATCAACAGGGGTAGAAATCTTGGCCTCAGGGAAGACTGCTCCTAGGACAGATCCTTCCTCAGCAGGAGGACCCACCCTAGAGCATAATCCCATGGGCGTGCCTCTCCTCTCCTTATCCAACAAGCATGTAAGAATATAATATAAATCATTTTGTATGGATACAGTAAGAAATATCTTAAGGTAAAAGGTAAAGGCCCTCCCGTTGATCGTTGATTTGCTCGAGCGGGCCCAGTAACGTCTCCATTGGAGACTTTGTTGTTACTGTGTCTGGCATATCGAATACTCTTGGTAGCTTGCCGGGCTCTCCGAGAGGGACGGAGGAATCGAACTCGGGTCGGCCATGTTGGCCGCTTGTAAGGCGAACGCCCTACCGCTGTGCTATCGCTCTCTTAGGGCCATCTCGATCTCAGACTACAGTGCTCAGGCCAGATAGTCTTTCCCACCCCTAGCAGGATCCTAGTCTCATCGTGACCTTGGATCATGACAGCATTTGTCCATGATCAAACTCTTAACTTATAGTTAAGAATCGTGGCACTTTGGCCTGGCTCATTTCGCTGCCAGGGTAGCTCGCCGCTTGCCCTGGGTCCATTCAGTCCCTCGTCGGGACCCTGCTTTTGGGGTGTTAGGAACTACGGGCAACTGAGGTTTAAGTAGAAAAAGCAGATGCCCAGGAGTGAATAATATTCAAAGCCAATCAAATCCTAAGTTACAAAGCATAATGTTAACGGTCTTCCTGTATCTATACAAAAAGGATATTACTTTAAAGTAAACTGTTCATAAGGCATAAGGAGAGGAGAAAGGCAATATTTCACTTATACATATAAAATCATAGATTTCTGGGAAACTGATCTTACAAATTAACAAAGTCTGATTAAGGGGGAAGCTGATTAACTGGGTGGGAAGGAGAGCATAGGGAAGACTGTTTACAGATAAACACAATGGAAGTAGAAGTTCTTCAGGAGCACTGTGATGGGTGTAACCAGATTGATGGGTGTAACCAGATAAACCTAAGCTTCTTGTAGAGGGACAAAGCAATGTTACCCAACAAAGTGTAATCATCTGATTCGGGTTGTTAGGCATTCAAATGAATCAATGATAATGGCCAAGTTCGTGTTGACAAGGACACCAACACCAACACCTATTTTGTCGCATGTTCCAAAGAACAGTTCTTCTCCAGTGTCGAAAATGGCAGGATGTGGTTGATGCCTTCTCATCTCAATCAGACCAATAATGTCGTACTTGATCTTTTGCATTTGCACCATCAGGTCCTCGATGGATGCATCCGATGACAGCGTACGTGCATTGAAAGTACAGTACTCATTTTAGTCCTTCATTTTGGCAGCCTAGTTCGGCCTTGAGATTTTACCAGCCTCTCCTTCCTCATCCTTCCTAATGCTGCCGTATTGGTGGCTCTTTCAGGGTCAGGAGAATGAGACCCATTGTATTTACTGTTTTTGGCATATCAAATATGTCATGGATAGCTTGCCAGGCTCTGCCGTGTGGGCGGGATATTCTTGGTAGCTTGCCAGGCTCTCCGAGAAGGATAGAGGATCTTAGGATGGCCTCTAATCACCCTTGCAGGTGTTCCCATGGTTTAAACCATATTTGAACCCCATCAAATATGGTGCGGTAATCTTGGAAGATGGGTATTAATTGTCTTATGATGTGTCCAGACAACTAAGACACTTAATACCCATCTTCCAAGATCTGGCAAGCTACCAAGAGTATCTTGCCCGCATGTCAAAGCCTGGCAAGCTACCTGATGTATTCAATATGCCAAAAACAGTAACAACAAGTCTTACAATTTGTTGTTAGATGTTCCTGGTGCCTGCTCAAGCAAATCGATGAACAACAGGACAGTGTTACAGTTCTATGATGTGTCCAGAAAGCAGCCTGGAGCATGGCGGCAGCTGGGTAGTGGAGGTAGTGTAGTGTGGTTAAACATTATAACAACAGATAGACTTATAAAGCCCTTCCTTTAGGGGAAGTTCTTCTAGGACATGAACTCAAGGACAAAATCTCATCTGGGGGGTTCAACACTCTAGATTACTAGATCTGCTCAAGGGCAGGATTCCATCTAAAGGCATTTTGCTTTCTCCTTAGCTAGTAATCCATTTAAACAATCATATTACATTTTTACTTACGAATATTTCTAGACTTTTGTATGAACACAGCAAGAGATATATTAAGCTTAAAGGATGGCTCTTCTTGTGGACCTTTCACTATAGCTTACAGTTTTCCCTGGGTCCATCCAAGTCCCTCGCCAGGATCCTTCTTTTGAGGGTGTTAGGAAGTAAAGGCAACAGAGGCTTAATGGATGCCCAAGAATAAATATTATCTGGAGTCAATTAACTCACATGTTACAAAAGCATAGCACTGTCTTCCTGTGTAAAAAAAGAACATACAAAAAAGGACATTACTAAATCATGCAAAGGACATAAAGGAAAGAGAAAAGCAATATAGGATTAGGAGTGTCTGGTGGAACTGGTTGTGTCTTGGGAGCACTGTGTTGGGTGCAACTCAGTAAACCTTGGCTCTCTCTAGGAGGAGCAAGGACAAACTTATGTTATATAACAGGGGGTGGGGGGGCAGCAGGGGTCTCTGCAGACTCCCAGGGGCTAAGGTCCCAAAGAAGAGTGTTTTTTTCTGTGTGCAGAAGGTATGAGGCTGCAGGATGTGCCCTCCATCTGCTCTTCATCAAAGGAGTTCATAATTAGAATTTCCTTGCTTTTGTTTTAGGGGGGCTGTCATACCGGTCATGCTCTGGGATGCTCCCACAGTGTCTGGGGGACCATATGATACTTGGCATTGAACCCAAGCCTCTGTAAAACATGTGCTCAGCCTGTTGAAGCATCTCATTGCCCCAAGGTTTGTTTGCTTTGAACATTTGTGAAAGGTTCTATTTATGTATTGTTTTGTTTGGGGGCCACACCTGATGATACTTAGGGCTAACTCTTGGTTCTGTACTCAGGGATCACTTCTGGCTAGGATAGGGGAACTTGATGCCAGGGATCAAGACAGTATCAGCTGCATACAGGCAAGTGCCCTACCTGCTGTACTAACTGTCTTCCTGTGTCAAAAAAAAGAACATACAAAAAAGGACATTACTAAATCATGCAAAGGACATAAAGGAAAGAGAAAAGCAATATAGAATTAGGAGTGTCTGGTGGAACTGGTTGTGTCTCGGGAGCACTGTGTTGGGTGCAACTCAATAAACCTTGGATCTCTCTAGGAGGAGCAAGGACAAACTTATGTTATATAACGGGGGGGGCAGCGGGGGTCTCTGCAGACTCCCAGGGGCTAAGGTCCCAAAGAAAAGTGTTTTTTTCTGGTCCTTATCGCTCCAGCACCCACTCAGAACTTTTTTTTTTTGTGGGGGACATACCCAGTGATGCTCAGGGCTTACTCTTGGCTCTGAGTTCAGGGATCACTCCTGATGGTGTTCAGGGGACAATATGGGATGCCAGGGATTGAACTGGGTCTCAGGTTCAAGTAGGCAAGCACCCTACTTGCTTTACTATTTCTCCAGCTCCCTGCTTTTTTGTTGTTCTATGTTTTGTGTCATACCTAGCACTGCTCAGGTCTTACTCCTGCCTCTGCAGTCAGGAGACCATATGTAACATATGACAGGGCCCTGGGGACCATATGTAATGCTGGGGATTGAACCTGGGTTGGCCATGTGTAAGAGAGGGCCAAGAAGGGGCCATCTGTGTGCACTGCCTGGGTTAAGTGCAAAAATCCTGTGGCCTTCAGTATGCTCAGGGCCGCTCTAGATACCCTTATCTGTCTGGTCCTGTGTCCTTCGAATTAGGGCACGCTCTTCTGTGTGTGCGCGCGTGTCGCAGTGTCGTTTGAAGAGAGGTTTGGGGATGGAGTCCTTTCGACAGAGACGTTCGGTGTCCGGTGGGAAATTCTCCTGCCAGGTGCAGGCAGGGGGGATCCACGCTCCCTTCCCTCTGCGGCTCTGAGAACCGTGCCAGAGGCAGGGAGGGGCAGGGAGAGCTGTGGGTCAACAACGGCGCTCATTCGCAGGAGATGAGTACCCAGGTCCAGAGAGATGCTGAGCCCAGCAGTCCCTGGAGCCAGACCTTTGGGCCCCCTGGTGCGACATACCCAGTCGCTATCTCTGTCCCTTGCCACCGCACAGGCCCTAACCGCGGCCTGCACAGCCCTCTCGGGGCGCTCCTGATCCAGAGGCAGCCGGTCCCAAGCGTCCAGGGCATGACCGACCCCGGAAAGAGCGGGGAACACCATCTCTGGGAGGGTTACCACCTGGCCCCACAATGCCAAGGTCCCACCCGGCCCGCCCCGCGCAGCCGGAAGTCACCGCGACTTCCGCTTCCGACGCCGCGGGGGGCGTGGCCCGGCCCCGGTGGCGGCGGCTTCGGTGGCGGTGGCGGCGTCGGCGATGCAGCAGCAGGCGACGGGCGAGTCGCCGGTGCCCGCGGCCGGGCCGGCGGCCGAGGTGGCGGAGTTGCTGCCCTTCCTGGCGCCCGACGCGCGGTCTGACCTGCGGGCGGCGGCGGCGCAGCACGTGCTGGCGCTCACCGGCTCGGCGGCGGGCCGCGCGCTGCTGGCCGCACGCGCCGCGGGGCTGCGGGCGCTGCTCGCGCTGGCGGCCGCCCCGGCCCCGGCGCCGGCCCGCGACGCCCTGCGTGCGCTCGTCAACCTGGCGGCCGAGCCCGGCCTGCACGAGCCGCTGCTGGCGGCCGAGCCCGGATGGCCGGCCCAGCTGCTGGGCCGCACGCTGGACCCCCAGTGGCCCTGGGCCGAGGAGGCGGCCGCCGTGCTGGCCAACCTCAGCCGCGAGCCGGCGCCGTGTGCCGAGCTGCTGACGGCGCTGGCGGCGGCCGGGCCCGGGGAGTCGGGCCTGGAGCGACTGGTGCGCGCGCTGTGCACCCCGGGGTACAACGCCCGCGCGCCCTTGCACTACCTGGGTCCGCTGCTCTCCAACCTGAGCCAGCAGCCCGCGGCGCGCGCCTTCCTGCTCGACCCGGCCAGGTGAAGCCCGGGGCGCCCCCGCGGGAGAGGGTGGCCGTCAGCAGGCACGGCACTGAGCGCTCCCTCCTCCTAGGTGCGTGGTCCAGCGGCTGCTGCCCCTCACCCAATACCCCGATTCCTCAGTGCGGAGGGGCGGGGTGGTGGGGACCCTGCGCAACTGCTGCTTTGAGCACCGTGAGTGCTGGTGGCCGGGAGGCGTGCGGAGGGCGGGGAAGGGGGAAGCCCGGCCTTGGGCGCTTTCCGGACTCGACCCCATCCCTCTCCTCCCCTCCGCCAGGGCACCATGAGTGGTTGCTGGGGCCCGAGGTGGACATCCTCCCATTCCTGCTGCTGCCCTTGGCGGGGCCTGAGGACTTCTCTGAGGAGGAGATGGAGCGTGAGTGACTTGGCACAGTGGGCTGCGGGAGACGGGTGAGGCGGTGTCCAGACCTGTGTCCCTCTGAACCTCACGCTGGGTGTGCAGTGCTGGGAGGGGTCTTAAAAAGCGGGGTCTGGTCCTGCAGCCCAGGGCAGGGCCTCAGTGGTCCCCGGTCCGCTCGCAGGGCTGCCTGTGGACCTGCAGTACTTGCCCCCGGACAAGCTGCGCGAGCCGGATGCTGACATCCGCAAGATGCTTATTGAGGCAGTCATGCTGGTGAGCGTGGGTCCCACCTCCCAAACCCTCCTCCCTGCCCAGCCCCTGGAGGTTTGCCTAATCTCTGCTTTGCAGCTGACAGCTACAGCCCCTGGTCGGCAGCAGGTGAGAGACCAGGGGGCCTATTTGATTCTTCGGGAGCTGCACAGCTGGGAGCCAGAGCCTGACGTGCGGTCAGCCTGTGAGAAGCTCATCCAGGTGTGTGGGGCTGTGAGAGGCGGGTGCAGGGCCAGGGGTGGTGATGTGGATGGAGACCAGCCGGCACTTCCCTTGCTGCCCACTGCTAGGTGCTTATTGGGGACGAGCCTGAGCGTGGCATGGAGAACCTATTGGAGGTGCAGGTGCCCGAGGATGTGGAGCAGCAGCTGCAGCAGCTGGACCTTCAGGAGCAAGCACAGTGGGAGCAGAAGCCTGGGGAGCAGCAGCTGGCTCCCGGGCCATCAGCAGAGGGCAGCAGGCCCCCTAACTGAGCTCTGTGGGCCTCAGGGCCTGTTGGGGCTGTGCTGAGAGGCAGCCCCTGGACTTCCAGTGGACCCAGGGCCTGGGCGTGGGTGCCAGTGAGCGGGGGCAGGCTGGGATGCCTCCTTCACCCTTTGGCCGCCAGCAGAAGGGAAGCTGCCACAGATGCACGGCAATCCTGAGAGGCCATGGGAGCTTCTCAGCCCGAGTGGCTGTCGGGTCAGGGCATAGGCAGGCAAGGTTTATGTGAGGGCCCCACCGTTGGGGCCTGCCCAGCTGTCCCGCCGGCCCAGCCTCACACCGACCACAGCCTTTCCTGACATGGCCCTGGGTGCTGGCCATCTCTCAGCCTCCACCTTTTTGCCTGACCTGACTCTTGGCTCCAGACCCCTGACCTCTACACAGAAGCCTTCCCGAACCCTGCAGCCTGCTGTTCCCCAAGACCTCCCATCAATCCGCTCCCAGCCCTTTTGATCTCACGAACCTGCTCTCATCAACTCCTGTTGTGTGGCTTCCAGCTGTGCAGCTGCTGAGTTCTGCTCTCAGACCCAAATGACACCAGCCTTGGTACAGAACCAGTGTGGCCCTGCTGCTGGAGGAGCTTGTGTCCCGGGCCTTCTCAGCACCCGCTGCCTAGCTCCCCTGGGTGCTGGGTGTCTCCTGCCTGGCAATATTTGATGGTGTTTTCCCTGTTGCCCTCCCTGAGGTGAACTGCATCTCCACACAATAAATGCTTTATTGTGCCCCATTCAGCACCACCAGTGGATCGGGTAGCCCTGGAAGCCCCAGCTGGGCAGAGGCCATCTCTTGCCTGGGATGGGCCTTCGAGGTTCCAGTTCCTTGGACTGCCATGTGGCAGAGGTGCCACTGCTTCCAGAGTGGCCTTGGGGGCTAAGGGTCTTTTAAGGCTTCATGTTTTGGGGAGTGCAGTGAGCTTCCCTACAGGGTACACAGAGGTAAGGGTTCAGGTGGAGCACAGTGGCTGCTCCCTGGCCAGCCCCCAGATCTCACTCACCTGGCACCAGGCAGGCACAGAGCAGAAGAGGGCATGCTTGACAGGCAGCGGCCAGCGCTCATGGCCATTTACTGAAGACCCAGGTGTGCTCGTGGGAGCAGCTGGAGCAGTCCCTGATCAGGTCTGGCACTGTGGATGATGTCATAGCTGTGTTTGTGGCCTGCCCTTCACCTCCTCCACCCCCACTCTAGAAGACAGCCGGAACCCTGAAGGGCTGGAGGCCTTGGAGGAGCAGAGCAACGATGCAGCCATGGTGTTTGCTGCATCTCTCATTCTAGAGGGGTACTTAGTGACCCGCGGTGAACTGTGGCAGAGACTGAGCCAGACAAGGTTATTAGGGGAAGTGAGTCAGCCCCCAACGTATCAGCCCCCAATGTACAAGGTGGTTGGAGTCTGAAGAAGCAGGTGCATCATTGTGGTGAGAGCAGATGGGGGAGGGGAGTACTTATAACCTAACCTTTCAGCTGACAGTGATGGTTGGTGTCTGATATGGTTCAGGAGGTCGCAGAGCCCCAGAAATGGCACCTCCAGCATTCCACCAACATCCACGATTGCACTTGTAGCTATATGCCTCTGTGTGTATGTGTTGGGGAGGGTGCTGGTGAGGGTCTCACTCCTGGCTCTGCTTAGGGATATTCCTGGTGGAGAACAGAGCTATAATCAGTGCTGGACATCAAATCCACATTGGCCATGTGCAAGGCAGGCACCCTGTTGGCTCTCCTCAGCGCTTATCTAAGCACTGTGTTGATGTGACTTGTGGACTGGGCTCTTGAGTGTGTGTTTCGGTGCTATACCACTGCCCTGCTCAGCATGAGTCCCTGCTCTAGTGTCTCCGTGCCACACCATCTTAGCCATAGACATCTTGGGGACTGGCTGGCACCGTGAGTGCTGGCTGTTCTGCTCATCTTCACACCTGTAGTTCTCTCTGGCTACCCTGCTTCCCTCCTGCTGGCCAGTGCGAACAGTTCATATCAATCACGTCAGGTTGTTTTATAGGTGACACTATGGAGACCCTGTGTGGCTGCTGTCCTGGGAGTGCCTTTGGGTGGGGTGACTGAGTGGCCCTGGGCAGTTGCCCTCTGACAGTGGTGGGTGGCTGTGGGGCCATTGCAGGCAAGGCAGAGGCTGTCCGCAAGGTCTGAGGGAGCAGGACTTGAACTTGCTCTTTCCCTTTCCTCTCCTCATGCAGCGAATCACCCAGAATGCAGGTAACGGGGCCAAGATACCTGGCTTGCTGCTGGCCTGGGGGTGAGGCAAGACCAACTACTGTGGTATCTTTGGCAGTAGGGGCCTTTAGCCGGGCTCATGCAGTTGCCAGATGTGACCTCAGCTCAGGGTGGCATGGGAGAACCTCCCCAACCTCATCTTCCTGGACCATGGGGCATGTAGATATGGCTGGGAGCTAGCATGGCCCCAGAGGCGGGCAGCGGCCAATCTCAGAAAGCTTGTCACCAGGAGGCTGCCCTAGTAGTAGCATAGGAATGAGGGCTGGCCTGACCATGGGGAACTTTGTCTGGTATGCACCTGGAAATGATGTTGCCATGCTGGTCACGTCCCCATTAGCCCCCAAAGTCCATCCATCTGACCTGCTTGGGAAGGATTTGAGGGCTACAGAGACCCTGGACCAGCCCCTTGTCTAAGCAACTCACTCTGGCCTCTGGATTTAATTCATGAAAAAGGAACATCCTTCAATCTTACCCTCAAGGGCCTTGCTGTATGTGCTGCTGAATGCCCATCTGCTTGGGTACCCAAGCTGTCTGCGGACCTCACTGTATGGAGCCAACGCTTATTAGGCCTGGACAAGACCCTCGTGCCACTTCTTTCTTTTGGGGCCCCTCTTGCACTTCCGGAGCTTCTGGGAGGCCCCATACTGCTTCACTTCTGGTCTTTGGCCAGGCTGACTTCAGTACACAGGCTTTGCAAGCCTCCCACATCTGGTCAGATCCCCTGGAGCAGTGCACCTTATCTGTCCATCCAGGACTTTTGTAATGACCCGCCTTTCTCCAGATCCCAGGGGGCAGAGAGCTGCTGGTCTGGGTGCCCCTGCACGTATGTGTATACGTGTACCGGTTTGCCAAGGAGTCATGGGAGTTCTATATTAGGTTTGTGCTCACGTTCGTTCAGGTGAGAGACACAGGGCGCCAGCACCAGCTTCTGCGCCTGTTAGGGAAGGGAGGGACTTCGACGCCCCACGCGACGCCTGGCGTGCGCCTTGCAAGGGCGGAAGGTAGCAAGAGGGGTCGGGGCCGCGCCCGGGAAGCGGCAGCGCGCGCCCTGCACATGCGCAGCGGCTGGCTGCTCCCCGTGGCCCCTGCTGCCGCACCCGAGCCCAACAGTCAGGTGCGGCGGTCACGGGGCGGCCAAGGCGCCTGGAGCGCAGGGCAGAGCCTGCGCACTAGGGCGCGCGGGGAGCAGTGGGCGGGGCGGAGCGCGCGCCGGAGGGAATGCATCTCCCACCAATAGGCGCTGAAAAACGCGCTGGGGCGGGGTCTGGCGGCCGCGCGCCGAGTCGCTATTGGTCGCAGGGCTTCAGGGGTGGGCTCGGCGCACGGCTCCTCCCACTCCGGTGCTCGGCTGGGCGGGAGGGCGGCGCCGGGGCCGCGGCTGCGGCTCCTCAGGTAAACGGTGAGGACGCGCCCACCCCCCGCGAACTCGTTGGGCGCGGCGCCCTCGGGGAGCCTGGGCCGCACGGCGGGGGCTGCCGCCTGGGCCGGGTCGCGTGCACGGTGCAGCGGCCGCGGCTCCCTGCCAAGGTCACCGGGCGAGCGCCGGGAGGCTCCGGGCGTCGTGGCCCGGCGGGCGCTTCTCGCCTCAGGTGCGCCTCGGCGGAACCGCGCCCGCTACGACCCGCTCGGGCGCCGCTCGGGGCCTGTGTCGCGCGGGCGGCGGGGAGGACGTTAGGGGCGCGCACAGCGGCCCCGGAGCGAGGCGGGCGCGCGAGCCGAGGAGGGACGGAGGCGCCGCGGCGGGCGCGGGCGCCGGTCCCGGGTAGCGAGGGGCCGGGGTGGCGCCGGGGGCCGGCTTGTTTCCCCGAACGAGGCCGCGCCGGGGGCCCAGCTGGCGTCTCCCCCTTCCTCGGCTCACCCGCAGAGGGACCCCCGTGGGCCGCGGCCCGGGGTTGCGGCCGGCGCTGCTGTCACCGAGTCCCGCGGCCAGGGGCTCCGCGCCGCGGCGGCTGTCAGCGAGGTGCACGGGGGGCCTGACGCAGTTGGACGAGGAAGGGGAAGTGCCGCGTCCCTCCCTGCCCAGGGCCCGTGCTGGTGAGTCACGAGGGACAGTGGTGGCAGCCAGGCCCTCCCAGCGCCGCCCTGCCCGCCCTGAGCACCTCAGGTCCCTCTCGTCCCCGTCGGCTGCCATCTGGCCTCTCTAAGCTCTGCACTTTGCAGGCTGCGGGACTCGGGACCCTGCCCCTGCCCCTGCCCCTGCCCCTGCCCCTGCCCCTGCCCCTGCCCCTGCCCCTGCCCCTGCCCCTGGATTTGTTTTGAGTCCTGTGGCAAGGTCTGTCTCCTGAAGGGGGCGGCGTTTATGCTGTCGTCGTCTCTGGAATACCTGGGAGCGCAGGCTGCCGGGTGGGGAGGGTAGCGAAGTGGACCTTGCCAGCATGTTGCATTCAGCTGTGTGCACACTTGCTTTTCTACCTGACAGTGGTAGTTTGGACACTTCTTGTCGCTGATGACCTCCTGTGGGTGTCTGGTGTCTGAGAGCTTCAACCAGATCCCGACTGCTCTGACATTTGCAGTCCTGTACACAGGTAGTGGAGCTTCTATAGACTGTGGACAGAAAACCAAGGCCATCACTAGAGTGAACAGGCTGGTAGTGGCACTGGTGGCCGTCCACACTGGGCCACAGCCACAAAACTGTGTGACCCTTTCCCAACAGTCTGCACAGGAGGTGACAGTTATCCCAGATTCCAGGGGCTGGAGCCATCTGGGCTCAGGGAAGGAGCATTCACTACTATATGGCCCCAGTGAACTCACAGGGAACCTCTCCACATGCAGCACATGCTCAACGTGCACAATACATGGTACTCAGTACACACATGTGATACACTGCACATGTGGCATCAGATATTATTTGCACCTCGGCATACATATAACTATACGCACTGCATGTGTGACAGGATACTACATGCACACCATACACAGTCCATGCCACTTATATATCATATGTGTGCTATATGCCTACTGCATGCCCATGGCCTGCATACCATAAGCATACTGCCTGCACATTACACACGCTACATGCCCTTTGACTGCACACCACATGCCTCATGCACATGGTCATCACACATGCTACATACACAAGGTCTGCACGCCATATGTGTGCTATATACCCCTGCCTGCATACCCTAGGCATGCTGCCTACACGTTACACACAGACTGCACACCACATAATGTTATGCAACCTGGATACTACATGCATACTACATTCACAAGGTTTGCACAACACATACATGCTACATGTGCACAGGCCCTGCATACACATGTATGCCTCATGCACACAGCCTGCACGCTATATATATGCTACATGTACACAACCTGCACACTGCTAGCTATCATTATGGCTTGCTGCCTCTTCTTTTTTCCCCCAAAATTTTATTTTATTAAAGTACCATGAATGACAAAGTTATAGCACCTCTTTTTTTTTTTTTGTTTTGTTTTTGTGGTTTTTGGTGTCACACCTGGCAATGCCCAAGGGTTACTCGTGGATCTGCACTTGGGAATTACTCTTGGAAGTGCTTGGGGAACCATATGAGATGCCAGGATTGAACCTGGGTTGGCCTGTGTGTAAGGCAAGCACCCTACTTACAGTACTTTCTGACCCTGTGGTGTCTTTTTTGTTTGTTTTTGGGGCCAGACCTGGTGGTGCTCAGGAATCACTCCTTGTTAGGTTTGGGGGACCATACGTGGTGCAGGGAATCAAAACCAGGTCAACTGTGTGCAAGGCAAGCACCCTACCCACTATTCTATCTCTCTGACCCTTTCTTTTGTTGTTGTTGTATTTTGTTTTGGAGCCACACCCAGTAGTTCTGGCTCTGCACTCAGAAATTACTTGGGTATCATATGGGGTGCCAGGGATCGAACCCAGGTTGGCCATGTGCAAGGCAAGCACTCTACCTGCTGTACTATCTCTCCAGCCCTTGTATAGATTTGCTCGAGCGGGCCCAGTAAGGTCTCCATTGGAGACTTTGTTGTTACTGTGTCTGGCATATCGAATACTCTCGGTAGCTTGCCGGGCTCTCCGAGAGGGGCGGAGGAATCGAACTCGGGTCGGCCATGTTGGCCGCTTGTAAGGCGAACGCCCTACCCGCTGTGCTATCGCTCCAGCCCCTTGTATAGATACGGTCTTAAAATTTTATTCTTATGTTGGGGCCACACTCTGCAGTGCTGGGAGCTACTCCTTGACTCTGTGCTCAGGAGTTGCTGTTGGCAGTGTTCAGAGGACCAGGTGGGGACACTGGTCACTTCTGGTGATACCTGCAAGTCAGGTAAGACGGTTCAGTGCTGCTCCATCCCAGCAATACTTGGGAATCACCAGGTGACCTGCTAGGGGCCTCCAGGACTACATCTGGTGTGCTGGGGCCGTCAGTATTGGGGAATCAAATATGGGTTCTTGGCATACAAGGCATATGCCCCTGACCCTGAGCTATCTCCCTGGCCTTGTTTTTTTGTTTTTGTGGCTTTTGGTATTAGGGATGGGGCACAGGCCTTTAAACATATGAAGCATGTGCCATGCCCCTGAACACTAGCTCTGCCCCCTTGGATAGTTTATTTTTGATATTCAGAAATGTGACTTTTTTTTTCTTTTTGGGTCACACCCAGCGATGGTCAGGGGTTATTCCTGGCTCTGCACTCAGGAATTACTCCTGGCGGTGCTTGGGGGACCGTATGGGATGCCGGGGATCGAACTCAGGTCGGCCGCGTGCAAGGCGGCCTACACGGTGTGCTATCGCTCCAGCCCCCGGAAATGTGATTTTTTAAAAAAAATTTATTTATTGAATCACTGTGGGAAAAGTTACAGAGCTTTCAGGTTTAAGTCTCAGTTATGCAATGATCAAACATATTTCCCTTCAACAGTACTTATTTTTCACCACCAAGAACTCAAATATACCCCCCCGCCACCCCTCCCAAAGCCTGTGAGGCAGATGAATTTTACCTAACACTATCTACTTTGATTACGTTCATTATTCTGACAAAAGGTGCACCATTATTTATAGTTTACACCCAACAATCAGAACTGCTGAAAAGGCATTGTGAAATAATTTGTTTTCTACAGTTAGTTATGAGAACAATTTGGATTTCTGATATTTTACTTATTAAGCCTGGAAGTATTTCTGCCATGAGCCAGATAATTACGAGATTGTTTTCTGTGGCTCTGGAGCCATGGCCGTGCCAGAGAGCCGCTCGTGGGGAGCGACTCGACCTCGATAGGGCGTGAAGGACGAGCCGGGAACACCCCCCTTCCCATGAGGTTTCCGTTTCCCCGTCACCGCTGGCTCATACCTGGCTTTCTAAAAAGCTCCAAGGAGGCCGCCATCTTGCTGTCCAGGGGGGGAAAGACAGAAGGAGCAACACCCTTTCCCTCCTGGGCAGGCTTGGTACCATGGATTAACGCATAGTCCATTCACTTTTCTGCCACAAGCTGCCGGGCTCTGCATTAAGTTCTTGTGCTTCTGGAGCCATGGCCGTGCCGGAGAGCTGCTCGTGGGGGGCAACTCGTGACCTGAAATGTGACTTTTTTGTGTGTCATCAGACTAAATGTCTTGACAGGTCTTTCCTACTCAATCTGTGAACTCTACCTGTGTCTTTTTATATTTACATTTCACTTTCTGTTTCTCACCCTGTCTAGATTTCACTTTCTTTTCTTTCTTTTGCTTTTTGTTTTTGTTTTTGAACCACCCCTGGCAGTGCTCAGGGCTTACTCTTGGTTTTGCACTCAGGGAGCACTCCTGGTGAGGTTTGGGGACTATATTGGGTGTCAAGGATTGAACCCAGTTGACTATGTGCAGGATAAGTTCCTTACCTGCTGTATAATCTCTTCAGCCTCAAGATAGATGTTCTAGGGGCTGGAGTGATAGCACAGCAGTTAGGTCATTTGCCTTGCACGCGGCTGACCTGGGTTTGATTCCGCATCCCATATGGTCCCCCAGCACTGCTGGGAGTAATTCCTGAGTGCAAAGCCAGGAGTAACCCCTGTGCATCGTCGGGTAGGACCCAAAAAGAAAAAAAAAATAGATGTTCTAAGTTTAAGGAAAGATTCAGAGAAAAATTGTTTTTTTTTTCTTTAAATAGCTAGGTGTTAAAATGCTATTTGTGAACAAACCTGTCTATAAGATTTAAAATCCTGTTATTCTTTTTTGGGTCACACCCGGCAACTCACACAGGAGTTACTCCTGGTTCATGCACTCAGGAATTACTCCTGGCGTTGCTCGGGGGACCATATGGGATGCTGGGAATCGAACCTAGGTCAGCTGCATGCAAGGCAAACGCCCTACCCGCTGTGATATTGCTCCAGCCCTACCTGTTATTCTTATATAACACTTTCTTCCTTGTTGGTTTTTATTTCTGGGTTTTTTACCATTCCATTGCTCTCTTTACTTTTTGTTGTTTTTATTTTGTTTGGGGTTCATACCCGGTGATGATAAGGGATAACTCCTGGCTCTGCACTCAGGAAATAGTCCTGGCAGTGCTGAGGAACCATACAGGATGCCAGAGATTGAGGTTGGGTTGTCTGTGTGCAAGGCAAGTGCCCTACCCATTGTACCCCCTTGCCCCACAGATTGTCTAGGAAGCAGCCCTCACTCCTGACTTCTCTTTCAGAGCAAAGTAATGCTGTGACCAAATCTGCCCTGGCCATCAAGGCCTGTGATCACCAAGGCCCCGTGATCATCAAGGCCTGTGACCAGCCTGTGACCACCAAGAGCCTGTGATCATCAAGGCCTCTGATCAGCCTGTAAGCTCCCAGGGCCCGTGACCACCAACCCCCAGTGATCAGCCTTTAACCCATCAAGGGCACGTGATTCACCTGTAGCACAAGTTTTCTGGCCACTGTGACTGCCAGGTACCTGGGGTGGAGGAACTGATCCCTTTGTCCTTCATGGGCAGCTCAGCCAGAACTCAGCAGACACACTCCCCACAATTTCCTTGCACCTAGGTTCAGCACAGAGTGACTCCTGCGAACAGAGGCTGTGAGGCGTGTCGTCTTCCAGGTTTGGGAAGAAGTTGTGAATGTGGAATGGGCAGAGGACGCCAAGACCCAGCAATGACTGAGTCCTGCGTGAAGAGTGAGTGCAGCCAGGACCACAGAGAGAGACAGTGGATAGGGTGCCGGCCTTCCATGTGGCTGACCAGGGTTCAATCCCCGGCACCACATATGGTCCCCCTGAGCTACTGTGTCTCTCAGGATGGTTCTGAGGGCTTTGGACCTTTGGACACAGATGGGGAGGATGCTGGCAGCGTGACTCTGGGAGTGGGCATGTGGTGAGAAGTCTGGTCCTGTGGGACGCAATGTAGAGCACTCTGCTGAGGAGCACTCTCAGAGCTGACAGACACTTGGCCACCATGAGAGGAAGAGACGAGTGAGTATGAGGCTCAGTGCTGTGTACTAAGTGCTCCGGCCCTGTTGCTGCAGAACTGTCCACTATCTTGTTGGATGCCGTCACCGACAAGGACCCAATGGTGCAGGAGCAGGTATGCAGTGCCCTGTGCACCCTGGGCGAAGCCCAGCCCGAGGAGACTCTCCGTGCCTGCGAGGAGTACCTACGGCAACGGGAGAAGGTATTTGTCCCCTGGGTACCTGCCTGCACCACAGCATGCAGGTGCAGGACAAAAGCCAAGCTTGTGTGTGGCTGGTGGGTCTGACCTGTTGACCACAGCCACTCTGAGGCCCAGCAGTGCCATCCTTCATCCACTAGCTGGGGGTGGATAGTGCTCCTTGGGGGCAAAGTTGTATCATAGGAAGGCCTTGATTCTCTACTACGTGGGAGAGTATCTGGGGGCAGAACTCTATGGGAGGCACTTGGGGATCTGCTGGGATTCGCTGTGGGAGGCACTTGTGGTCTGTTGTAGGCGGCACCTGGGGATCCACTTGAGAGGCACCTGGGGATCCGCTGGGATCTGCTGTGGGAGGTCCATTGCCTTTCCCTGCCAGTGCGCAGTGCTGCTCGGGGAGGTGTCTGCTCTGCTTCCTCAGGGTCCTGCTACCCAGGCTTTGCTTCTGTGCTTTTTTTTTTTTTTTCTGTAGGTGAGCCCTTGGGAATGGGAGAAGGCATTAACCATCTCAGAGGCCAATTTCCATCTTGTTTGGCTGAAACCATGTAAAGGAGGTTCCTCTGCAGTGTGCAGCCCCTGTCCCGCATCCTGCTGGAAGCCTTGAGAGGCACCTTTGGTTTTAGTTGTGGGCCACACCTACTGGTACTCAGGGCTTACCCCTGGCTCTGTGCTCAGGGATCACTTCTGACAGGCTTGGGGAACAATATAGGATGCCTGGGATCAAACCCTACCAAAGCAAGTGCCTTTTCTGCTGTACTGTTGCTCTGGCCCTAATGGGTACCTGTGTGTGAGTACAGTCCCTCGCGGCTAGTGGGGAGGCCACTGTTAATGGCTCTTCTCTGTGTGATGCCTTGATGCTGGATTAAGGGTGCAATGGTGAGGGAGAGAAAGTTTGGGCCTCTTTGCTGTGGGAGGAAGTGACCCCAGGATGCCAGTACCCCAAGTGGATGGTGAAAGAGCTGTGCTCTGGCAACTCAGCTCAGGAAGTGCCTCTACCCACATCTCTCTCAGAGTACTTTGGCCCAGTGAGAAGCCTCCCAGGACATGCTCTGTGTAGTGCTGGCTGCTTTTGCCCCTTCCTTGGCTGGATATGCCCTCAAGACCAGGTCCCCTTTTCTGTGCTCTTTTGTCTGCTATGGCGAGGGGTAGCCAGCTGGCCCCCACTCTTCTGCCTGTCGCTGAAGAGGGGGTCCGGGGTGGGTTTGTTTCTATTACATTGAAAGGACCTGGATACAGGAGCACCCCCATTGTGGCCAGGGTCCTGGGTAAGCAGGTCATGGATTTGTGGCCAGTAGACTGTCCGTGTGCAGGGCCCAGCGTCACTGCTCAATGGGCTCATCCAAGGCCTGGAGGTGTGGAGTGCTCTGGCAGGCAGTGGGTATGAGTGCCCTGCCCTCCATGCCAGATTCAGTGTCTTCACAACCCTGGAGCAAGACTTACTTTTTGCCTACCTCGTGTTTGCCCTCAGCTGGCTCATCCCTACCGGACGATGATCCTAAAGGCTATGGAGATGGTGGTTAGAGGTCACATCGGTGAAATGGACAAGGACCTGGCCAGGGCTGTGATCCTCCTGGCTGCCAGTGAGATGACCAGGGTGAAGGTACCTGGGTATGGCCTGGGGAGGGATGATTCTCCCCAGATGGCTTGTGTCCTGCTGCCATTTGGTCCTGTATGATGACTTCCCCCGGGGCAGGGAGTGACACCCCATGATTTCCAGATATGAAAAGGAAATTCCTCATCTCTGCAAGAGAAAGCAGGGTATGGCTTCCCTGGCCCAGGGGATAGGACATATATGGCACTCCTGGGATAGTGGAGGCAGGATCCCTTTCCTGTTGGCTGGGTGTCGACCCCAGTTGTGGACTATAGGAGCTGGTGAGTGACTGGCAGCAGGCCGCCAGTGGTGTGCTGGTGGCCATGGGGCATCGCTTCGTGGGCAAGGTGATGGAAGAGCTGCTGCCCAAGTTCCAACCCGGTGTCCTGCCACACTGCTTTGTGGTGCAGACTCTGGCCAACCTCTCCATCTCGAATGGTAGGTGGAAGGCTGGCTGCAGTGCTGGGACACCCTCTGCAGTGGGGTGGAGGATGATGTAGGGGTGGAGCCTTGGTCACACACCTCCTCTTGCAGTGTTTGGCATGGTGCCCTTCCTGCCGTCCATCCTGAGCGCCTTGCTGCCCATGCTGGGCCTGGCTAAGCACGACTCCACGCGGGTGGTGTTCTGCTGTGGTAAGATAGTAACCGCTCTGTGGCATTTGTGGGGATGTAGGGGCAGGCAGGACTTTCTCAGTTTTACCCCTCTTTCCCCCCACCTACACTGAGGCCTCATCTCTCCTCCCCATAGAAGCTAAGGCTATCCCCAGGCTGCTCAGTGGCACCGGTACCCTCATCTGTGCCTTTCGGGGTGGGGAGATGTTGCCTATGGTTGGGGGGCCTGAGCCTCCCTGGTCTCCACCTTCATTCTACTGCTTTATTTTCATCCCCAGTGTATCCCCCAATATCAGGAGGGCCACAGCCCTGACGTCGGTGGGGCAGGAGAAACAAGGGGGCTGGACTGTCTGAGGCCCCAGGAGGGCAGGATCTTCCTAATCTCCAGTGTAGGGCTTTCTCAAAGGGTTGGGTCACAGAAGCTTCTGGAAGCCCTCTCTCCTTGGCCACCTGAATGAGCTGCCATTGTCTTGGCTTAAGGCAGCCATCTGGAGTGATGTTTGCTTAGACTGGGGCGGGTGGAGGAGCTCTCCAGGTCTGCCAGGCTCAGCGCATCGGTCAGCCCCGTGGAGCACACTGTTCGGATGGAAGTGGAAGAACCGTGTCTCCTGTGCTGATCAGAAATGGAATGCTCAGTAGCCAGGGAAATGAGAAAGAGGCACCTTAGGTTCCAGTTGTGAGTGATTATTGAGGGGCTGGACGTGCAACTCCTCAGAGGAAAGAATGATGACTTTGACATCAAAGATTAAAGAGGGGGCAGAAAGATAGTACAGGGGCAAAGCACTTGCCTTTTATGTGATTGCAGTGGCTGTGACTCTGGTTTGAATCCCTGGTACCACATAAGATTACTCTAGAGGATAGAATCAGGTATAGATCCTGAGCACTGCTGGTGTGACCCAAACCCCACAGTTCCTCCAAACAAAAAATTAAAGAAGGCTGGATAGATAGTATAGGAAGCAAGATGCTTGCCTTGCCTATTGCTGGCCCCTTTTATCTTTGGTGCCATAATGTTCCCTAAGGACCACTGGCATGACTCCTGAGCCCAGAACCAGGAATAGCCTGTAATGTTGGAGACGTGGCCCATCCCAGCCCTCTCTGCTAATAACTTTATAGCTTAAACAGTAGAGCATATGCTTCACAAGTGTGAAGCCCCTGGCTAGGTCTCAGGCACTGCATGACTACTTCTCCTCTTCCTCAGCACCGCTAGGAGTGACCCTTATTATAAAAAAATGAAATAAATTTATCAAAAGATGCGATAGCACAGTGGGTAGGGCGTTCGCCTTACAAGCGGCCAACATGGCCGACCCGAGTTCGATTCCTCCGCCCCTCTCGGAGAGCCCGGCAAGCTACCGAGAGTATTCGATATGCCAGACACAGTAACAACAAAGTCTCCAATGGAGACCTTACTGGGCCCGCTCGAGCCATAAAAAGTATCCACCATTGCCTTAAAAACACCTGCAAAAGGCCTGCTTGAAGGCAGTGTGCAGGTGGTGTGCTTTGGGCTAGGAAACTCCCCACAGGAAGGGTGTTTCCCTGGTGTTGGTGCAGAGAGCACTAGCCTGGGCCTGATGTTGGCCCAGACATCATGGCCCAGACAGCCATGCCTGGAGAGGGCTCCCATGCTCCACAGCCTACTCCCTGCCCTCATTCTTCAGCGCCCTTCTCCTCCCTCTGCCCCACTTCTCTCCTGATCTGCCTCTTGAACCTGCTCTCCCAGCCTGGGCCCCCTTATGGAGGCTCCTAGGCTGCAGGCCTGCAAAGCAGAGCTCTAGCAGGGACTGACAAATTACTGACCTGACAGGGCTTCCCACCTTGGGGTGGGGAGGTGTTGTCTGCACCCATCCCCTGGGGCTGCAGGAACAAAGAAGCTGAGACTGGGACCTTTCAACCACAGATCCAGTGCAGGCCCCTGACATTAGCTCTGGCTGATGTCACCGTGCTGTCTGCCCCTGTGGGCCCACCACGCAGCCTGTCTTATCTTGTAAAGACACCACTTACGGTGTCTTAGGCACTGAGCTCCCTTCCAGCATTCTTCCACCACAGTCCTTCCAGACACATTCTGTGCCCCTTTGGGAGCCTCAGTTCTGTGGTCAGAGCCTGAAGGTTTGCAATTTTTTTTTTTTGTCTTTAGCCCACACTACTCTCAGCTGTTTACTTGGGGCGTTACTCCTGATCTCTGCCATATGAAGTGCCAGGGTTTGGGCCCAGGTCTCCTGCATGCATAGCATGTGTGTGCTTGGCCTGCTGAAGTCTCTCTCTCTCTGGCCCCTGAGAATTTACGTTTTGTAGACATTGTCTGGGCTGGCACGATAGCACAGCATTAGGGCATTTGCCTTACACGTAGCCAACATGGCCGACCCGAGTTCGATTCCTCTGCCCCTCTCGGAGAGCCCGGCAAGCTACTGAGAGTATCTCGCCCGCACGGCAGAGCCTGGCAAGCTACCCAGGTGATGTGATGTATTCAATATGCCAAACACAGTAACAACAGGTCTCACAATGGAGATGTTACTGGGTCCGCTCAAGCAAATCGATGAACAATGGGAAGACAGACATTGTCTATTCCCTTATCTTGCTTTTTATATACGACACATGTGTGGTCTGCTATTTGTCTCTCTCTGAATTTATTTTAGAAGGAACCTGACCTCTTCAAGTTCCATCCATATACTTCATCTTTCCTTATAATTGAGTAGTGTTGTGGGCCACTTCTATTTTAGGAGATAGGGAGACTATTCTCAGTGGTTCTCGGCCAACAGGGCTGGACATTTAATGCAAGGACCCCAGGATATGGTGCCTCTCAGACCCTGCTGTGCCTTTGATTACCCAGTACTCCCTAGGGGTACCCAGGATCTCTGGCACCATACCCATTGGTGTTTGAGGACCTTGAGGTTAGTACTCTGGGAACATGGTGGCAGAGATCAAACCAGGGTTGGCCATATGCAAGACAGGAACCTTACCCCTTATACAATCTCTTCAGCCCCTACACCAACACTTTTTTTTTTTTCCTCCCACGGACACATTTTATTTTTTTCATTTTTTGGATTTTGGGCCCCACCTGGTGGTGCTCAGGGATTATTCCTGGCACTATGTTCAGGGATTGCTCATGTTGGTGATTTGGAGGATCTTATGTGATACTAGGATTCAAACTGATTCAGCTGCATACAGGGCTCACCTCTTGTACTCTCTCTGGTCCTGACCACAGCTTTTTTATTCTTTCATCTGTTGTCAGTACTTGGAAAACTTCCAGATCTTGGCTGTTGTGAATAGCACTGCAGTGACCGCTGATACACGTGTAGCTTTCAGATTAGTATTTTTGTTTTGGGGGGTTAGATATCTAGCAGTGCCATTGGTGGATCCTGTGGAATTTTTAATTTTAGTACTTTTAGAAGTCTCTGGACTGTTACCCTTAGAGTCTCAATCAGACAACAGTTCCACCAATAGTGAAATGAGGGTTCCTTTCTCACCACATTCTTACCAGTATGTCAGAATGAAAAATAACCACTTTTTTTTGGTGGTTGTTGTTGTTTGTTTGTTTTTAAATTGATACAAGCCACTCTACTGGGTGTGAGGTGATATCTACTTATTTTTATTTCCTGTATTTCCCTGATCATTAGTGATGATGAACATTTTTTTCATGTGTTTGTGGGTCTCTGTCCTATTCTAACCCCATCTTAACAAATTGCATTTGCAAAGACTCAGTTTTAAAATAGGTAACATTCTGAGGGTCAGGTAAGAACGTGAAACTGGGGCACAGCATTCATCCCAATGTAGACATGGGGTCCTGTATGACCAGTGTGCTTGGGAGGAGATCTGCAGGCTACAAAGGAAAGTAAGGGGATCCCATAAACCTGTCTGCTCATACCTTGGGCCTTAGCTCTGCAGCGCTTCAGCGAGAGCACCTTGGAGTACCTGGCCAACCTGGACCAGGCCCCAGACCCCACTGTCAGGAAGGATGCCTTTGCTGCTGACATCACCAGCGCCTACGACGTCCTCTTTTACCAGTGGCTGCCGAGTCGCGAGGCTAAGGTACGACCACCTGGGCTTACCTGGTGCACCCTATCCCATCTCTGTAGGCCTCCCATCCTGGTTGGTCAGGCAGAGGGGTGCCCTGGGCAGCTCCCACCGTGAAGCAAGACAGTTTGTTCCCTAGAGCCCAGAACTGTGAGTACCCCAGCACAGCTTGCTGGAGGGTGGAAAGTGATGACCCATGCAGTATCTCTCCTAGTCTGGATGCTGTCCTGTCCATGGCCACTCCTGAGCTGTTTAGGAAGTCCTGGTCTTTCCCCAGAGCTGTCATGTCATCCTGTCTGGCCTGGTCTTCTGTGGGTTGTCTCTGCCTTCACATTGAGCTGCGGTGTGACTGGATGAACTGTTATTTCTATTCCTCAGCTCCGGCTGGCTGTGGTGGAGGCCCTGGGGCCAATGAGCCTCCTGCTGCCCAGTGAGAAGCTGGAGGAGCAGCTCCCTAAGCTCCTGCCCGGGGTGCTGGCACTCTACAAGAAGCACGCTGAGGCCTTCCATGTGTCCAAGGTGCGGTGCTCGTAGCCCCCATCCCTGCTTCAGATGCATGGTGGGTGGGGAGCTGGACAGGAGCCATGGAGCCCTTCTGAGCCCCAGAGGTGGGGGTAGGGCTTCTACACCTGGGTTCCCTGATGGTCCAGTGTGACCAAGGGCCCTGACTTGTGGACTTAGACTGCTGTCCTCTGCCCGAGCAGAGCCTGGGCCAGATCCTGGAGGCAGCTGTGAGTGTAGGCAGCCGGACATTGGACGTCCAGCTTGACGCTCTCCTGGCCGCTCTGCATGCACAGGTAGGTACGGGCCTGGGATGCACGTTCTAGGAGCATGTTGCATGCTGAGGCACCTGGCAGCAGGTAGTCAGGTTGGCAGAATTTTCTGTGAGAGAAGCTAGGCACAGAGCTAGAGGAGGAGGTGGGCGGTGGTTTCTGGAAGAGCAGCCAATTGGGGAGTCCCTGTTTTGTTCTCCAAGGCCACAGCTTTGCCAGTGCCCTCTGTAGGGGGCCGCCTAGCCCCACAGAGTCACTGGAGACCAGCCTTGATAGGGAAGCTCCCAGGCTATGTGCTTGGTACTCTTGGTCTGGGAGGGGAGAGGCTGCAGTGAAGAGTCTGAGCTCTGCTCAGTGTCATGGCCAGCAGCGAGCAGTCTGACCACCAAGAGTCGGGCAGACTTCGAGAGAGTAGAGGACATCAGGACTGGAGGAGGGCCAGAGAGCTTGAATGAACCAGCAAAGAAAGTCAAAGACTTTCCATAACTAGCCCTGTACCAATACAATGAAATCTTTTTGCAGGGAGAAGTGGGTGTTAGGCCACACATGTTGGTGCACAGGTCTTACTCCTGGCTTTTTGTTTAGGGATCATTCCTTGTGCTCGAGGGACCCTATGTGGTGCTTGGGATCAAACCTGGGTTGGTTGAATGCAAGGCGAGCACCAAAACCCCTGTATTGTGGGTCTCTGTTCTACTCTAACCCCATCTTAACTAATTACATATTTGCAAAGTCCTCACTGAAAAATAGGTTACGTTCTGAGGGTCAAGTCAGAACATGAATCTGGGGTGCAGCATTCACCCCAGCATAGTTGTGGGGCCTGTATGACCAGTGTGCTTGGGAGGGGGCCTGCAAGCTCCAGAAGTGAGAGGATGGTTTGCAAATCCCTCCAATTCCCAGTATGGCAGATTCTACCCTGACTCCTCAGTCCTCATCACACTGACACTAGGACACAGTGCTGCTGGGGCCAGAGGCACAGGTGTGACACACTTGCTCCAGACTGGTTTCCCAGCACTGCAGAAGCTCGCCTTGATTAAAGCAGTGGCACTGAATGGATAGACTCAGGTGTCTTGGTTTTCTCACCCTGAAGACTGATGAGCATTTTCTAGCATATTCCCTGACAGTGTGTCTTTAAGAACTTGTTCTGGTTGCTGGAGACAGGGGCAGGGGTGAAAGGAGGCAGGATTTTCAACTCTTCCTTGGAGGTTTGAGAGCCAACAGTGAGTGTGTGTGTGAGAGCCAGCAGTACTCATATGTGCACTGTTCGTGTCTTCATGCTTCTGTTTGTGCACTGTGCGTACTTCTGGGTGTGCATTTGTCAGCATGTGTGTGTCTGAATACTATGTGTGCATGTGGGAGTATGGTGGAGCATGTGTGCACTGTGCATGTGCCTGCATGTTTCTTTGTGTGTGTACACTGTCTTCATGCTTCTGTGTGTGTGAGCACATATGTGCATTGTGAGTGTCTTCATGCTTCTGTGTATCTGTGGGAACATTGTGTGCACTGTGGGTGTGAGACATGGAGGTATATGTGTACACTGCATGCTTCTGTACCTATGGGAGCATATGTGTATGCTGTGTGTATGCTTCTATGTGTGCATGTGGGAACATGTGTGTGCACTATATCCTCATGCTTCTGTGTGTGCATGTGTGTGCACTGTGTATATGCTTCTATGTGTGCATGTGGGAGCATGTGTATGCTGTGTGTCTTCATGCTTCTGTGTATGCATGTGGGAGCTTGTGTGCACTGTATGTCTGCATGCTTCTGTGCGTGTATGTGGGCTTGTGTATGGGGAGTGTGTCTTCATGCTTCTGTGTGCATGTGGGAGAAAGTGTACTGTGTCTGCATGTGCATGTGAGAGTGTATGTGTGCACTGTGTGTCTGCATGCTTGTGTGGGAGTGTGTGTGAGCACTGTGTCTGCATGTTTGTGTGTTCGTGTGAGAGCATGTGTGTGTGTACTGTCTCCATGCTTCTCCATGCTGCTTTGTATGTGGGAGTGAATGTATGCACTGTGTGTCTGCATGCTTGTATATGTGTGTGTGAGAGTAAGTATTTGCATGCTTCTATGTGGGAATATATGTGTATATTTGCATGCTACTTGTGAATGTGGAAGTATATGGGAGCAAATGTATGCACTGTGTGTCTATATGCTTCTGTGAGTGCATATGGGAGTGGGTGTGCACTAAGTATGTGTCTGCATGCATGTGTATGTGTGTGGGAGCATGTATGTACTGTGTATGTGTCTGCATGCTTGCGCATGCATATGGGTGCACTGAATGTGTATCTGCATGCTTGTGTGCATGTGAGAGCATGTGTTTTCACTGTGAGTGTATGCTTCTGCGTGTGAGCATGTGGGAGCATGTGTGTTCACTGTGAATGTATGCTTCTGGGTGTGAGCATGTGGGGACATGTGTGCACTAAGTGTCTGCATGCTTCTGTGTGACGAAAAGTGTGTACATTCTGTCTATGCTTCTATTATGTGCATGTAGGAGCATATGTGTGTTAACTGAGTGTGTTTCTGCATGGTTCTGTGTAGGAGCATTTAGGAGCATGCACGCACTGTTTGCATGCTTGTGTGTGCACTGTGCATGTCTTCATGATTCTGTGTGTGCCTGTGGAAGCGTGTGTGCACTATGTCTTTTGTGTATTTGGGGGGGGGAGCCTATGTGTTCAGTGAGTGTGTGTCTGCATGCTCTGTGTGTGCATGTGTGTGTTAACTGAGTGTCTGCATGCTTTTGTCTGAGTAGCATTTAGGAGCATGTGTGCACTCTTTGCATGCTTGTGTGTACATGTGTGTGCACTGAGCATGTGTCTGCTTGCTTCTGTGTGTCTGCTTGTGCGTTTGTGCATTGTATGGCGTCAAGCTGTTATATCTATGTGTGCATTGTCTGTGCTTATGAGTGGGCATTTATGCACTGTGTCTGCATGCATGTGTGTAGGGGCATGTGTCCAGGCTCTTTGTGTAGATGTGCTCTGTGCATGGGCGTTGTCTCCATTAGGGTGCCTGAAGTCCTGGACCTTGGCAGCTACAGAGTGCCTCCATGCAGCCCTGAGGCCAGGCCAGGAGTGGCCCCTCTTGTAGGTGCCTGTGTGGATGTTGTGGCCAGGTGGAATCTGGGGCCCAGTATCCTTGGGAGTGGACTGGCAGAGGGCCTCTCGGTAACCTCTCATCTATCCTGGAGCAGATATGTGTGCCTGTGGAGTCCTCCAGTCCCCTGGTGATGAGCAACCAGAAGGAGGTGCTACGCTGCCTCACTGTGTTAGGTACGAGACAGCTTGGGGCTAGGCACCCATGTGCCTGCACTCCCACTTTGGAGTGTCATGAGTGGCAGCTGTGGATGGTGGGGACCTCTGCCTCAGTCCCAGGGCACCCATGCTCCTGCACCTTCCCCCGGGGTTCATGGGACTCAGCTCTGGGTAGTGGGGGCCTCTGCCTGGACCTATCTTTGGCTAACACCTGGCCAGGCTAAAGTCCAGGCCTATTCCACTTGGTCTTGGGGTCTGGAGGTGCCCGCAAGCAGATGGTCACAGTTCCTTTACACGTTGCTTACAGCCTGCTGCTCACCTGACCGTTTATTGGCCTTCCTGCTGCCCAAGCTGGACTCAAACAATGAGAGGGCCCGTGTGGGTACCCTTCAAGTCCTGAGGCATGTCATTAATACGGCTGGTGAGTGCCCCTGGTGGGGGGTGGAATTCCTAGGGTTTGGGATCCCCTCCTTCAGTCAGGTTCGTTGAGCAGGCTGGCGTGGAGGCTCCATGGGGTCTGGTAGGAGGTTGCCTCTGTTCAAAAGGTTTTCCCTGAAGGGTTGAGTCACCTTAGGTTTCCTACCTAGTGCCTTCCTCTCAGTTAAGTGGCATAGATCAGAGCCCAGACAGCTCCACCGAATCTGCTGTCCTCGGGACTGCAAGACCAGCAGCAGGATGTGGACACGTGTGCTTGGGAGGTCACATGTCTTATATCTGGCCCTTCTGGGAACAAGTGTGCCAACCCCATCCTATGCCAGTCAGCGTTGGCTCTCAGCATCTATGGACATGGATGTGGCCAGAATCAGGGTGTGGCAGGGGAGAATGGGGACAGTGGAGCCTCTGCTGCTCTAGGGAGACCATCTCATGGAGAGGAAGTGCTGGGCATGTCTCTTCCAGGTCTTGGAAGATGAGGGGAAGAAGATGAGGTGATTTCCAGCAGCAACTCAGGGCTGCCCTGCCCGTCCCCCTGACTGGCTATTGGTAGATGGATCAGAATACCTGGTGGGGTGCTTCCTCCCTATGGTGGGCAGAATCAGAGACAGGGCCAACTTGATGCCTGTGCATTTTTTATCCATTTGTGAGACACCAGGCTAGTTCCCTGTTCTCTCAGGAACTGAATTCTCTGGTAGAGCCAGAGACTATACAGGGCCAGGGGTGGGAGTGGGGAACTTAGCTTGCATGTAGCTGTCTCCAGTGCTCCCTGGTATTGCATATGACCCCCTGAACAGTGCCAGGTGGGCCACCTCACTCCAGTAAAAAGGCTCTTTAAGAAAGCACAATGCAGGCCAGAGCGATAGTACAGAGGGTAGGACATTTGTCTTGCACACAGCCGGGTTCTATCCCTGACATCCCATAGGGTCCCCCAAGCACTGTGAGGAATAATCCCTGAGCATCTCTGGGTGTGACCCAAAAAGCAAAAAAATAAAAAAAAAAAAAAAAGCACAATTCTGGGGTCGGAGCAATTAGTATAGCAGTAGGGCAGTTGCCTTGCACACGACTGAGCCAGGATCAAGCCCCGGCATTCCATATGGTTCTCTGAGCACTGCCAGGAGCAATTCCTGAGTGCAGAGCCAGGAGTAACCCTTGAGCATCACCTGGTTTGACCCAAAAAGCCTAAATACGCACAGCGGTAGGGCGTTTGCCTTACAAGCGGCCAACATGGCCGACCCGAGTTCGATTCCTCCGCCCCTCTCGGAGAGCCCGGCAAGCTACCGAGAGTATCTCGCCCGCACGGCAGAGCCTGGCAAGCTCCCCGTGACGTATTCGATATGCCAGACACAGTAACAACAAAGTCTCCAATGGAGACGTTACTGGGCCCGCTCGAGCAAATCGATGAACAACAGGAGGGCCTTTACTTTTACCTTAAATAAGTAAATAAATAAAAAGTACATCCCCATTCTGGGTCGGTGGCATTTCCACTTGAGATGTAAAATTCCTTTAGCCAACGAGGGGTGTTCTTGGCTCTCTCCCTTCTAGAGAAACCTATTTTTCCTCAGACACGTTTCCTTTTTGGGAAGTGGGGGGCTATACCTGATGATGCTCAGGGGTTACTCCCGGCTCTGCACTCTGGAATCACTCCTGGCATGCTCAGGGGATCATATGGAGTGTTGGGTATCAAATCCAGGTCTGCCGCATGCATGGTAAATACTCTTCCTGCTATACAATCACTACTGCCCTCAGACACATTTCTTTCTCCCTCATGTTTGCTTAAATGAAACTCACTTCTAATAGAGGAAGTTAAAGTCGTTTCATAATAAAAAACCCAGGAAGGGCTCCTGCTCTGTGTTGGGCAGTCTCAGTTGCATTCAGGTACTACTGAGATGGGGTTGTGTCATGGTGGCTCAGTTCTGGCTTCTGGGGCTCCAGGCTCTTTTGTCACATTTTCTGTGTGCCTCGAGAGGCTGAGGGCCATGACTTGGGTTCTCAGTGGGGCCTTCAGAGCAGCCACTGCAGCTCCCCTGGGACAAGAGGACTGCTCAGCTGATCTCCAGAGGTGCATCGGTGTGGGGGCATGAAGCTGCTGCCCCTGAGTGGGGGAAGCCCCCAGAGGGCTGCCTCGGTCTGCCTGACTCAGTTCTTCCTTACCTGCCAGTTTTCCCACTCTTTCAGATCATGTGCTTTGTGACAAAAGCATCTGTCCCCTGGGGAGAGGGAAGCCACTCTAAGCCTGCAGCCCCAGCACCTGGCTGTCACTGATGGCCTGACTGCTCTGTTCTGTGCAGCTCCCCAGATGGAGGTGAAGAAACCCTTTATTCTCTCCTCCATGAGGCTTCCTCTTCTGGATACCAACAGCAAGGTAGGATGCACCCGTGATCTGCAGCCACCACAGCCCCCCACATGCCTTGCTCAGATTGCACAGGGTCCCCTACTTTAGAGCTCGCCTGGGCTCAGAGCTGTGCAGGTATGAGTACAGGTGTGGTGCGATGTAGAGGTGTGGTTGTAGGTATAAGTTACAGGTGCAAGGATGGTACAGGTAAGGTTTGAGTGCGACTGCAGAGTGTGAGTGACTGGCCATGCAGGTGTGTGTGCAGGGAAGTACATATACGGTTTAAGCCTGTGGGCAGGAATCGGCACAGGTGCCGGTATGAGCCTATGCACGGGCACAGGCATGTGTGCAGGTACAGGTGCTATTTTGGGTGCATGCACAGATTAAGGTGTGTGCAGGTAAAGCATGTGTGCAGGTATGAGCACATGCACAGGCTCAGGTGTGTGTGCAGGTGTAGGTACAGCTGCCAGATGTGGGAGCAGGTGAGAATACAAGTGCTGGTGTAGGTGCAGGTGCAGCGATGAGGCTGGGTACAGGGAGGGGTTTATCACAGGCACAGTGGAGGCTGGGGAGAAGCAAGCTTTCGCTCCTATCTGGTTCCTGGCCTGTGCAAGAACACTTCCTAACCTGCCATTCTGTGTAGGTGAAGCGGGCAGTGGTGCAGGTGATCAGCGCCATGGCCCACCACGGCTACTTGGAGCAGCCAGGAGGTGAGACGATGATCGAGTACATCGTGCAGCAGTGTGCGCTGCCCCCTGAGCCGGAGGTAGGGTACTGCAGGCATGTGCTAAGGGGGCCCCTGGTGCTGGGCTGGGCCTCTCACCTGCAGGCTCATGGGAGAAGAGGGCAGCAGACACTTCTCTGGGCTTTCTTGGTTTTGTTCTGGGGCACACCTGACGGTGCTCAGAGTTAACCCCTGGCTCTGTGCTCAGGGATGACTCCTAGTGGGCTTGCGGCTTTCAGAGTCTTGTGGGTATTTGATATGAAGTCCTGTGTATTGTAGAGCTTGCTTTGGCAATTGTTGCTCTCCCTCTAAACATGCCTGTTTCCTGATATGCGCTTGTTTGTCTGAATGGAGGTGACAGCCTCCTTTGGTCCTTACAGCTCTGCCACTTGCCCTGTGCTGTGCTGTTTGTACGCAGCCTTAGAGACCTCACATGGTATGCGATACGCTGGTGAAGTTGCAGAGCGCGGTTGTCACTCTCAGCTGGAAGCTCCCAGTCCCAGTGAGCTTGCTCAGGCTTCTCCACTCCTGGTGCTGTGGCTCTTCTCCAGTGCTTTCCACGAAGTCCCCATTTCCCCCTGCCAGCTCTTAGACAGCAGGGATCAGGCTCTTCACTTCTGGCGTAACCTGCAGGAAGAGCTCACACTTTATTTCCAAGACCAGAACTAAGCCCAGGAGCTGTTTTCTAGCCCCATCTTAGCTCAGCACCTCCCAGACTAGGATGTGTCATGATGACCGGGCAGGATCTGTCCCCACGCCGAGCTCACTGACTGGAACCCTGGGGAAGAGAGTGGTGGTGGCTGCTGGCCCCATGCTCCTGTCTTCTTCCTTCCCCTAGCCTCACAGGCCAGCCCCTGACAGTAGCGAGGACCTCACAGCTGACAGTGTGCGGGACATTAGCATCAACACCCTCTACCTGGTCAGCACCACAGTGGACAGGATGAGCGATGTGAGTATGCAGCCCCTCTGACTCTGGGCCTGGGCTGATGGGAGTCGCAGGGTCGGGGCGACTACCCTGCTGACCAGAGTGCTGTCCTCAGGTGCTCTGGCCTTACCTGCTGGAGTTCCTCACCCCTGTGCGCTTCACTGGTGCTCTGACCCCACTCTGCCGGAGCCTCGTGCACCTGGCTCAGAAAAGGCAGGAGGAAGCACCCCATACATTCCTCATCCAGTACGATGCTCATGGTGGGTATGCCCCATCTCCTGCACAGGAGCAGCCCCTCGCGCCCTCTCTCTTAGGCCCTGACTGGGGTTGAACATGTCCCCTCATTTTCAGTGAGCCTTCCGACCCCCTACGCCATCATCACCCGACTTCTGGTAAGCAGACGGGGGCGTGCAGTACTCATTCCCTGAGAAGTGCTTAGGGAGTTGTGGGCTACTGCCCTGCCCATGTGCCCACCCTGTGCCAGCCCCTTCTCCTCCTGTAGGCTGTGTCCTGTCGCCCCTACCTGGGTGATGGCCGTGGGGCTGCCTCACTGCGTCTCCTGAACGTTCTGCATCAGAACATCCACCCTGCACTGGGCCAGCGCTGGGAGACCACCATACCCTTGCTGCTGGGGTACCTGGACGGTAAGCAGAACCTGCCCCCAGGAACCCACATTTGCTGGTGGGAACAAGCTGACCCCTCGCACCCTCGGTTTTATGACTGGGGAAAAAATGACTTAATCTGAGTGCAAGAAAGGGTTTAACCCTGTGCTTCCTGCTGGATCTTGTCTGGGATCTCCTGGTGCATGTAGTGCTGAGGCTTTACTAGGGAAGCAAGGCCTCCCCTGGCCAGCGGGCTCAGGGTGGGCATGTAGGTGCTCTGTCAGGGTCATGCTGGCTAAGTGGGCCCCTGGCTATTTCAGAACACACCGAGGAAAGTCTGTTTCAGAAGGAGTGGGAGGAGAAGTTGCTGATGGTAAGATGCAGAGACCCAGTAAAACTGCACTGGGAGGTGGCTGGGGTGCCCTGTCTGGCTGCCATGGCTGAGGGAGGGCAGGGCAGTGCCTCAAGGACAGCTCCTGTCACAGTTCCTTCGAGATGCTCTGACTGTCGTGTCTGACAACACATGGACCTGCCAGCTGAGCCTGGAGATGTGCAAGCAGCTGCCCAGCTACAACGGGATGCCACAGGAGAAGGTGTGCATGGGGGGATGTTCAGGAGGAGGGGTGTGCATAGGGGATGTCCTGGAAGGAGGTGTGTGCATGGGAGAATGCTCTGGGAGGAGGTGTGTGCATGGGGGATGTCCAGGAAGGAGGTGTGTGCATGGGGGACACTTGTTGAGGGTCCCAGTTTTGCCTTTCCGTGGTCCTATGGCCCATGTATGAGGGCTGAGTGGGAAGGGAGGCCTTGTATGCCCTCATTTGAGGGAATATGGGGCTGGGAGGGCAGGAGCCCATCACACCCTCTTGGTGCTCAGACTTCAGGTTCAGGGGTGCTGGGCCTCTCCTTTGTTGCAGAACTTCCTGTACAAGTGCATTGGGACAGCCCTGGGTGCTGCCTCCAGCCCAGAGGTGATCAGAAAGCAGCTGCAGGAGCTGCTGGAGATGGCCAGATACCAAGAGGAGGAGGAGTGCGAGGTGCCCCCCGCCTGTCCCCATAGCCCTGCAGTCCCCACCCCCTGTGGAGTGTGCCTGTCCTGGGTGTGAGGTGTCTTGTCTTGCCAGGGCCTGGCCTGCTGCTTTGGGATCTGTGCTGTCTCCCACCTGGATGACACTCTGGCCCAGCTGGAAGACTTCATCAAGTCAGATGTGTTTCGAAAGTCTGCTGGCATTTTCAGCCTGTTTAAGGTGTGGTGGTCAGATACTGGTGGTGGAGTGGAGGCCGGGAGGACTGCTCCAGACTGGCAGCTGTGTGGGGAGGCACCAGGGGTGCTTCCTAGACTCATGGGACTCTAGTCAGGGGGTGCCCAGTAGCCTGTTTCCCCTTTGGCAGAGCTTCTCCCAGCTGCTGATGTCAGATGATTTGGGCTGCCCAGGTGGCTGGGGAAGGCTGTACCTGATTTGGAAAGGGGCGTCCTTGCTGTGCACCCCGCCCCCCCGCCCCCTATTCCTCAGGTTTCTGTCTCTGGTGACTGCTCTGGAGCAGAATATCAGAGCTGCCTGCTGTGCGTGTCCTCCCCGCGCCCCCATTGGAGCCAGGCCATGCCCTTTCTCATCTCCTCTCCTCCCCTGCTGTGCCCTACATGGCACTCTCCCTATTCCTGGGGTGGGGTGGTGTCGTCCACTGACCAGCAGTGCCTGGGACATGGCTGCTGAGGACACCTGGCATTCAGTGCAGGCTGCTCAGGGGTGGACTGACCTTCCTCTGCTGAGGCCTGCGGCACACTCCCCCTCAGGACCGAAGTGAGAACGATGTGGAGAGAGTGAAGGGGGCGCTGATTCTTTGCTACGGGCACGTGGCGGCGCTGGCACCCCGGGAGCTGGTGCTGCCCAAGGTGGAGTCAGATATCCTCAGGAACATGTTCCAGTACTTCAACACCAAGGTGGGCAGGACAGTGGCGGGGAGGGACCAGATCCCCCTCCACATTGTAACTCACCTCACTTTCTGTCGTTCAGGTTCTGGGAATAAAGGTAGAGACCAAGGTACAGTGTGTAGGAGCTAAGACGGAACCTGCTTTTTCTTTCCTTTGGGCTGGGCTCTGAGCTGCAGGGAAGAAGCCAGGGACAGGCGCAGGACATGCTTTTTCCAGGCCCCCACGCCTGGGCATTTCCTCTCTGGGAGCCAGAGTGGGGTCCAGGGGTTCCTGCCCTGGATGGGGGTTGGGGGAACCAGCCAGGGCAGGCATCTTGGGCCATAGCTTCCCACCTGCCCCTGCCCCCAGATGCTCTGACATGCTTGGGAGAGGGTGAGTTCCAAATCAGGACTTGGCGTTGGCCACACTAACCATTTCCCTTCTGGTAACTTGGCACTAACTAAGGCGTCTCATGGCCCGTCTGGGAGCAGGCTGTGTTCCCCCGGGATGTTTGCACCCATCTCCTCTTTCGCCTCCACAGGGCTTGACTGTGGGACAGGCAGGGAGCCCCACTCAGCTGGGGCTCTTCTCAGGGGGCTCCCCTCCTTCCCACCACCAGGGCAGGGGCACAGGAGAACTAGCCCTGTGTGGTCCCTGCAGCTCTGACAGGCACTGGGGCGCTGGCTGGAGGTCGCTTTGCAGGCAGGGCTGAGGGCTATCCATGGGTGGGGGAGTACCTGGGCCCTGTTGGCGGCCTCCAGCCCAGTGTCTCCCCAGGACCCAGCCCTGAAGCTCTGCCTGGTTCAGAGTGTCTGCATGGTCAGTCAGGCCATCTCCAGCAGCGCCCAGGCCTCTTCCTTCCACTTCTCTCGGAAAGCGGAGCTGGTAGCACAGATGATGGTGAGAGCAGGCAGCCCGGCTGCCCCAAAGGGGGCCTCGGATCCCTGAAGGCTGGGGCAAAGGCTGAGTCCAGGACTGCCTTTTGCAGGAGTTCATTAAGGCCGAGCCCCCGGACTCCCTGCGAACCCCCATTCGGAAGAAGGCCCTGCTGGCTTGTACTTACCTGGTGTATCCTGTCCTAGTGGGTCTGGAGGGTATGCAGGGGTGCATGGGGCGGTGAAAGCCCTGCTGACCTCACTGACCCGGGGTATCCTGTCCTGGTGAGTCTGGGGGTATGCAGGGGTGCATGGGGGGGCGTGAAGGCTCTGCTTGCCTCACTGACCCGGGATATGCTGACCTGGTGAGTCTGGGGGTATGCAGGGGTGCACAAGGCAGTGAAGGCCCTGCTGACCTGCACTGACCCAGGGTATCTTGACCTGGTGGGTCTGGGGGTATGTAGGGGTGCATGGGGAAGGGGGAGGTAAGGCCCTGCTTTGCCTCACTGACTTGGGGGTATCCTGTCCTTGCAGGTGGGGGGCAGTGCAGGGGCGTGTCGGGGAGCTGCTGGCCTTCACTTACTTGGGCTGCCTTATCTAGGTATCTGTGGGGTACAGGGGGCTAAAGACTCCCCTACCCCCTTAACTTGCTACTCAGCTCCCTGGAGCCAGCTCTGGAAGAGATGGTGCGGGCAGACTTGATCCATGTCTGTCTGCAAAGTGTCCTTGCTGTGCTGCCTGAGCCTGATGGGGATGACTCTGGTGGCCAGGAGGTAGGGTGATCTGTGTGTGAGTGTGTTTGTGTATATGTGTCTCTGTGTGTATGTCTCTGTGTGTCTGTGTGTGTCTGTGTATGTGTGTTAGAGGTAAGGCTGTATGTGTGCCCATGTGTGCAGGACTGTCCTGGGCCCTCTGTCTCTGCAGTCCCTATACCTGGACACCATGAATGCCCTGGAGAATTTGCTGACGAGTCTCCTGCAGCAGGACTTGAGCCCACAGAGTCTGCAGGTCATGGTGGAGGTGGGTGCCCTGCCTGTCAGTTTGGTCTCCCTGCCCCAAGGCACCCCCAGGTACCACAAGGGCCGTTGGATGCTGTCTTACACAGGCCAATGAGCAGGCGGTAGCAACCCTCCTGGCAGGTGTGTTTGTGGCTGGGATAGGCCATGTGAGCCCCTGTCTGTTGGGGGAATCAGGATGGCGGGTTGCAGCAGGCAGCAGGTCTTCTAAAGCCCAGCTCTGGGTCCCCTGGCATACTCCTTGTGTCTAGTGAGGCCAGTAATGAGGGGGTGGCGACATGGCAGGCATGAGCTGCCGTGGTGCAGGGCCACGGCTCCCCATGCAGGCTGCAGCCTGTGTGAAGCCCTCCTCTTCCCCAGCACCTGAGTCCGTGGATCAAGTCCCCTCTGAGCCACGAGCGGGCCCGGGCGCTGGGCCTGAGTGCCCACCTGCTGCAGCACTTCTTGGAGCACTTGCGTGTCAGCGTGAGTTCAGTTGTGGGACTGTCCTCAAAACACCTTCACAGCCTGGGAATCCTCGCTGCACAGGAAGCTGGGTGTGCAGGGGGAGGGGCAGCCTGGCCAAGTGGGGAGGCTCAGTTAACTCGCCTCCAAGTTTCCCTCTGGTCTTCTAAGCAGTGCTGGGAGCAAGTGGGCAGGGGTCACTGCCACTGCTGCCCAGCCTGTCCATGCAGGCCTGATGAATACTCGGGATGCTGTGGAGCCAAGGCTTGAACTTGGACCTCGTGTACCCCAAGCCTGTGCTCTAGCCCTCTAAGCCGTCTCACTGGCCCAGGATCTGGAAATTGCCCAGACTGATGAACTTTCAGACTGCTGGTGGTTCCTTTCTGTGGCCAGCTCTGCTGCATCTGTTTCCCAGGGTTCATCTTTCTCGCAGGCTCCAAGGCCTGCTCCCCACAGGGGCCCGTGGCACGGAAACACCCTGGGTCCCACGTGTCAACTGGCTGGAGCAAGGGAGAAGCAGCCCTGTCCTGTGCCCTCACTGCTATTCTACCCCCTCTGTGCCTTGGACTTGTTTCCACCTGAGCTGGGGGCTCTGAAGGGTGGGGTGTACTGCTCCCTGGGAAGGCCCCCATGGGCTCAGCTGTGAGATGGGGAGCTCAGCATTTGAGGATAGCAGGTGGGACTCTCTCAGTAGAGAGTGCCTCCTCACTACAGGGCTCTCTGCTTTCCTGGGAGGGTCTGAGTCTACAGAGCCCCGCAACTTGCTGTATATACCCACCAGCCCCTCAGGGGCCCACACCCGGGCAAGAATTCACTGGCCATGGGGGCGGGGCCATGCAAGCCTCAGCCCTGGGAATGAAACTTTTGCTGGCCACTTTCTTTGCACCCCTGGGTTCCTTCTCTGATCACCCCCGAGTTCCCCCTGCACCCCTGGCCCCCTCTTTAGTCATCTCCAGAGTCCCCTGCAGACCCCTTAGCCCACTGCCTCTCCAGGCCCTGGTGTCCTTCCACAACCTGGGCCTCCTCATCGGCCTGTTTGCTCCCCGGTGCACGGACCTGTGCCCCGCCACCCGCCAGGAAGCCGTGAGCTGTGTCTACTCACTGCTCTATCTGCAGCTGGGCTATGAGGGTGAGGCTTGTGGGCTGAGGCCGCGGGAGGAGGCCCAGCAGTGGGGAGCTGCTGGGAGCCCCCAAGCAGCGCTGCCGTCTCCTGCCACACAGGCTTCTCCCGAGACTACCAGGATGAAGTAGCTGAGGGGCTCCTCACGCTCAAGGAGGCCCTTGCACATACTGAGCCGGCTGACCCCAGCCTCCTCTTCCATACCTCCCACAGCATCGCCCAGGTATTTGCCAGCATGGCAGCAGGCACCCCTCCCCAGCTCAGTATCCCGTAGGGCTCAGAAGGCTGTTCCTGGCACCCCGCAAGCCAGGGTTGAGCTGTGGCTTATTTGATTCCGGGGTGCATGGGAGTGATTGGGGGTGAGTGCGTGGGGCCCCTTGGGGGCTGGGCACTTAGGCACCATGAAGCAAGGCCCTAGCCCTGGGTGAGTCAGGGAGAATGTGACTGCATGAAGGATCCAATTTCCTTGGAGGAACTTGTGTCCAGTTTGAGCAGTCTTCCTGGCCAGGCTGCTCCAGCGTAGACATCCCATCCCACTGGGCTGTTCTGCTAGGGGGTGGGGGCTTTCCTTCCCTGATGGACAGGAAGTGGGCATTGATGGGGGCCATCTGGCTGCCTGGGGACTACCCTCCCGGCCCTGGGATGCTGGACTGGAAGGGAGACTGAGTCCCCACCCTCTCTGTGAAGATCATCGCGAAGCGCCTCCCTCCCGATCAGCTCATCAGTCTCCTGCTCACCTTATTCGAGAGCCTGGGGGACCCCGACAAGAACTGCTCACGAGGAGCCGCAGTCATGGTCAGCTGCCTGCTGAAGGAGCGGGGCGGAGTGCTTCTGGAGAAGGTGCGGGGTGAACCTGGCTAGGGAGTGGTGCCCCACATCATCTGGGCTGCCCTCACTTGGGCCCTGGGCTCTGGGGCTTACCTGTGCAGGACTGGGCCTTGTGGTACCATGCCAGGGCAATGGGCAGGTCCAGCTTGACTCCATGGGTGGCCTGCAGGCCTGTCTCCCTGACACCATCTGTCCCTTTCTGTGCATCAGGGTTTTATTGGCATGTCTCGGGTTGTTTCCTGAAGGCGGACACTTCCATGGCTTCTGGCTGTGGGACCCAGCACTGGGTTGCCTGGGTGTCAGTGGGTTGCCTGTCCTTCTGACTGATGGGCTCCAGGTGTGAGGCTCTGAGAGAGGTGGCCACTGTTTGCTAATGGAGAAGAGTGGGGCAAGGGCAGGTATTTGGGGCCCAGTGAGGCAGGGGTGGAACAGCTGTTGCTATACTTCTTGGCTCCTGGTATGGAGGCGGTGCCTGTGTTTCACATGGGAGGGTGACATGGGTGAGCATGTCCTTCATGGGCAACATACAGGGGAGTGGGATGGCATGCCCACCTGTTGGTGTGAATTTCTGGAGCACTTCCAAGTGCGTCCCGTCGCTGCTAAGCCGCTTCCTTCTTCCAGTTGTCCCTGGAATCCTGTTTCTCCAGTCTCACTTGCTGTTGTTTTTTTATAGTTAGCCACCCCCTTTTTTTTTGTGGGCCACACCCGGCTGTGCCCAGGCTTACTCCTGGCTCTGTGCTCAGGGATCACTCCTGGTGGGCTTGGGGGACCATATGGGATGCCGGGGATTGAAACTGCCAGCCACACACGAGGCAAGAGTCCTCCCCGCTGTGCTGTCTCTCTGGCCTTGACAGTAGGCACCCTGATGGAAGTGAGGTTTTGATTTGTGTTTCCCTGATGATCAGGGATGTTGAGGCTCCTCATGGGCTGGACTCCGTCTGTCTCACCTGTTTCTAGTCAGGCCATGTGCTTGGCTGTATCTGAGTAGCAGGTTCTTTGATTCGGATAGTAGCCCTGTCAGAACCTTGTAGATGGGCCCGGTCTCTACGCCCTTCTCTGGCTGCACTGTCCTTGGGTTTGTGCAAGCCCTGCTGCTCTGTTCTTTTTGCATCTTTCCATGGCATCAAAGTCAAGACCCTGGGTGTGGAGGAGTCATGAAACCTTTCCCATTTCTTTCTAGGAGTTTCCATATTTGAAGATAGGGGCCCAGGAGATTAATGCAGAGATTAAGGCACTTGCCTTACATGTGGCTGACCCTGGTTTCAACCCCAGAACCATGCATGCTCCCCTGAGTCCCAATCTGTGTGACATCACAGTTTCCACCACTCCCCATGCCCGATTGAACTTAGGGGTCACCGTTCTCTTTCCCTGCTGAGGCTCCAGCCCAAGCCTCAGCCATGTGGTACACATGCTTTCCGTCACGAGCCCTGTTACTGCCCAGCCCGTCCCTGGAACTGCCTGCCGTGCTGTCCCTTGGCTCATCAGCTCCCTCAGGCCTACAGGGCTGAGACTTGTGGCCCTTTAATCCCCAGGGGTTAGAGCAGGTGCTGTGGAGTCCCTGAGGCCAGTCAAGCAGGGGTTCCACCCACCCCCACATTTGGTGACTCGGTGGCAGAGGGGCTGTCTCTGTAGGGTGAAGGCAGTTCTCTGGAGCTGGCTGGCTGGCCAAAGGGTGCTCATCCTGCCAGCCTAGATCCCTGAAACCTGCTGAGAGATCCACTTGGATTGAGTGGCTGAGTGGCATTCCCAGGGGCCAGTCACCCTGAAGGGAGGGCCCAGGGCCAGTGGACACAGCCTCTGGCCTAAATGCATGGATCCTGCTGGCTAGTTGGGGCAGTGATGGCTAGTGTTGGTGCCGGGAGCCAACAGTCCCAGGCTGTGCGCTTCCAGAGACCATCAGATGCTCTCGACCCAGAGGTCGCAGCTCCTGGGACTTGAGCTGAAAGCTACAGAGAAAGCTGAAAGTCCTGGAGAAAGTCAGAACTTCTGCTGACAGGACAGGAATCACTTCCCCCTCCACCCCAGCAACCATCTGGAAAGAGAAGTACAATGGAAGAGACTGGGCTGCGGGTCGGGGCAGGACCCAGTACCCCACAGGCATCTCTCCCAGTGATGTGATGTCGGAGATTGCTCCCTGGTGAGCAATCCTGCTCCTCTGGGAACTGCCCTGGCCCGAGGCCCCAGGGATTAAGGAACTGCTGCTTCTGCCTCCAAGCCCATCATACACCTTCCAGTTGCTGTGAGCTGAGGGCCAGCACCCTACCCAGTCCTCCTCACACTGAACTCCCCAGAGTGAGGACCACTGTGACTTCTGCAAGAGGCTGGGGACAGGAGGTGCCTGGCTTTGTAAGGCGGGGCTGGGATCACCAGGTATGGGAAGCATTGGGCAGGCCTGACTTCCCTTTGGCTAGGTTGGTGAGGACCAGCCTCCTTCAGGAGACCCCAGCCTTGGCATGTGGCATTGCCTGTCCCTGCCACACTGAGGGGCTCTGCCCACAGGTGCCTGAGATTGTGACTGTGCTGCGTGCCAAGCTGCAGGAGACCCAGGAGGAGCACGTCCTGCAGGCTGCCCAGCACAGTGTGTACCTGCTGGCGTCCCAGCACCACACTGCCGTGGTGTCCAGCCTTCTGGGAAGCCCCCTGCCCTTCGACAGGTACCAGAACCCCCTAGGCCAACTGGAAACCTGAAACTCAGGGTCTTAGACTGGGGAGGCCACTAGCGCTCCCTGCCTGTCGCCCCCTCACAGGTCCTGCCTGAGCCACCTGCGACGCTGGCTTTTGCTGCAGTCCTGGTGCTTAAGATCATGCCTGGGGCTCCTGCCATGAGGTGTGGGGGCTGTGCTGCCCCCCACCTTACCCTCCGCTTTGCGTCTTCCTGCCTGGGTGCAGGTTGGCTGTGTGCCGATGGGTTCAGGGTCTGTGGTGACCTGCGCATTCCCATCCCTACACTCTACCCTTCCCACTTCACTCACAGCTCCCATTCATCTTGCTGGGACCTGTGGCACTCCTGGAAGCTGCCTAGGGCACGGGGGGGGGGGGGGGGGGGGGAGGGGGGGCGCCTAGCTAGAGGCGTCTCCATCCCTGCCCGCTCACTTCCTCTGCGCCTTCTGTGTATCTTGCTGCTCCTGTTATCAGCCTGTGCCTAGCTCTGCTCCCATTCTCTCCCCAAAGAGCCTCATTCTTCCTGCTTCAGACAGTTTTTTGTTGTTGTTTGGGTCACACCCGGCAATGCACAGGGGTTACTCCTGGCTCTGCACTCAGGAATTACTCTTGGAGGTGCTCAGGGGACCATATGGGATGCTAGGAATTGAATCTGGGTCGGCCGCGTGCAAAGCAAACACCCTATCCGCTGTGCTATCACTCCAGCCCCTTCAGGCACCTGTTAGTGCCTCAGGTCAGGCCTCCATGTGGCCTGACCCTCCAGTTTCTACCTTTGCTTCTCACATTGGGGATTAGAGCGAAGTGAGTTTGGAGGGACCAGAGTGATGGTACAGCCAGGAGGGAGCTTGCCTTGTACATGGCCAACCCAGTCCAGTCCCCAACATCCCATATGGTTCCCTGAGCCGTAGCAAGGAGCAGACCCTGAGCACCTCTGGGTGTGACCCCAAAGCAAAAACACTTTGGATCTGAGTCAGGGGGCTCTTTCTGTGGGCTGGAGCTGTGGGAGCCTCAGGAGGGCACAGCCCCAGGTAACATGTCGCCCCCAGTCATACCTGCACCCTATGGCGTGCCATGGCTGTGGAGCCCGGCCTAACTGCCCAGGTGCTGGGGCTGCTGCTGGAGAAGATGGGCAGGGATGTCCCCTTCAAGGAGAGCCGCACCTTCCTGCTGAGTGCCTCCCCCGACCGTGTGGCGACGCTGCTGCCTCTCGCTGTGAGTGGGGCCTGGGCACTGGGATGCCTCCCAGGTGGCCATGCTGAAAGGCCAGTGGCAGCATGCTGGGAGCCTGGCTCGTAAAGGCCTGCAGGTGCAGGTCCCAGGGAGAACACTTGTTTTATCCTGGGGGAGAGCAGCCCCCCTCCTGTGGAGCTGCCAGGAGCAGATGTTGGGCCCCAGCCCCACAGGCCACCCCCATCCCTTCCCCAGTGGACGGCCACACCTTCTGTCTGTCCACAGCGCAAATGTGCCGGAGGTCTGGGTGGGACTCCGGGCATGTTGTGTCTGCTGGCCGGCCCAACACCTTAGAGACGGTCTCTTCCCAGGCTACCTGTGCACTGCATGAGATCGCGTCCACCCCGGGATCCAGACCAGGAGTCCTGGAGTTGTACCCCCAGCTGTTTGCCACACTCTTGCTGCGTATCAGCTGTACTGTGGGTGTCCAGCTGCCCCGAAACCTGCAGGCCAAGGAGAGGCGGAGCACCAGTCTGGGTCCAGCAGCCAGAAGCCTGGACCCATGCGGGTAATATTCCACTTATGGACAGTGAGGGAGAGGCCATGGGGTCCAGAAGTGGTCCGTGGGGCTGGAGTCACAGGGTTCTTGCATGCGGCCACCTGGGTTTGATCCCCGGCATCCCATATGGTCCCTTGAGCTTCTGCTAGGATTAACTCCTGAGTGCAGAGACAAGAGTAAGCCCTGAGTGCCACCAGCTGTGGTCCCAAAACAAACAAAAAAAGGTGATAGGAGATGCATGCTGCTCCCACTGGAGTGTGGTCTTCCTGGCTGTCCCAGGACGAAGGAGGCAGCTGCAAGTGTGCAGTCAGAACTGGGTTTAGGGCGACCAGCAGGCTTGTAGGCGAGCTATTGGGAGCATTTGGGGTACAGGTGAACCAAGTTCCAGCTCTACTTCCACCAGCAGACAGAACAAGACTGCTGCCCGCCACACCTCCTGCCTCTACAGGGGCTCCCCATCACATACGGGTGAGGGAGGCTGCTGGGTCCCCAGCGTGCAACAGCAGGGCAGAATCAGAGCTGCTGTGGCTGGCTTGGGACATAGCGTTGTGGAACTCCGTGCTGCCACGTGTGAGCAGAGGAAGCTAAGACAATGCCACTACCCCTAGCTCCTCACTCTCCTGGGCCGGGTTTGACTCCCTCCGGCAGTTGCCTGCTGTACTCAGTCTGAGTGGACACATGAGCCCACAGTTCCTCCCTAGGAACGCACTGCTCCATTGGTGACCAGTCAGGTCTGGGCAGCAGCACAGGCCTTCACCTATGAGGAGCGGGATGCAGCCTGGGCCTCATCACTGCTCTCATACAGGAGCCCAGAGCCTGCTGCCCCCAGTGCTGGGCCTCTGCTCTCATACCTTCCTGGGTAGTGAGAAGGGAGCTAGAAGGCGGGGTGGGGGCCTGGCCACCCAGTGAGGGCAGACACCATGTGCTGCTGGCTGGCAGGGGGCAGGGTGGGGCCCGGTGGGTGTCAGCGTCTACCTCCTGTGGCTCTTCTGGCTGTGCCCTTCAGTGAGCCCCGGGACCCTGCCCCAAGTGCCCCTCACTCAGGCATTTCCTGGTAATGGGCTGTTGGGAGTCCCAAACAAGGCTGTTGCTCCCAAGAGCTTGAAACCCCCATGTGAATCTCCACCACCCCGCTGACTAACCCTGTGTCAGGGCCCCGGGGCTCCCTCCTTTGTCCTGGGGACAAAGCCTAGCAGCTCGCAGCTACAGACTGGCGAGACCGTCTCACAACGGCCTGCATCTCCCTTGAACAGGCTCTGGACCAGTGACCTCCCTCTACAGGAGGGCAGGCCACTGCCGGTGGCCCCTGGTGAGAACAGGGCCGGGGGGCAGGGCCTAGTGCAGTGCATCCTTGACATGGCAGGAGCACATGCAGTGCAGAGCCCCACACTGAGGCGGGGAGAGCCGAAGGACAGTCCCTCCAGTGCCCCTCACAAGCCATGACAGCTGGAGCCAGGCATGATGCTTAGCCCTGGCACCTGTCCTTGCAGCTTGGCGGTGAACGCTCTGCAAGCTGTGCTGCTCAGAGCAGGCAATGAGGACGTGGTGCAGAGCCTGGAGCAGGATGGGGGCTGGGGGCTGCTCCAGACCCCGGGGGGTCACGAGGAGGGTGTCGCTCATCTGGCCAGGTGAGTCTGCTGACAATGGAGGCCCCTCTGCCCCCAGTCCTGTTTTACCTAGTTCCGGGGAGACCAGGTGGGCAGATCAGGACCCCAAGGAGAGGAGGGTGTGTGTGTATGCGCATGTGCCTCCTACCCTGGTCCCAAGGTTGGGGAGGTGGTACAGTGGCTGGGGTAGCCCTGTGTGATCTCCTTCCTAGTGCCATGGCGAAGTTCGCTGGCCCCCGGCTGCCCTTGGTGATCAAGGCGCTGCTAAGCACGCAGAACAGTGTGTACGAGGCCCAGAGGATTGCCTCCACGGCGTTTCTGGCCCAGGTAGGGGAACTGCTACCTAGGGGGCCTGCGAGCTAGCCCAGGGCCAGGGGAGCTGGTGGTTAGAGCACCTCTGCCTCCAGCTGCTTGGCAGCAATGTGGCGAAGGATCTGATGCTCCTGGACTCACTGCTGGACAGCCTGGTGGCCCGGCAAAAAGACCTGTGCGCTGGGGTGCGGCGGCTGGTGCTCCGAGGCCTGGCCAATATGGCCTCCTGCCCTGTGGAACAGGTGAGTCCACACCTCCCTGGCAGTCGGGGCAGGGACAGGAGGCTGTGTGCTGGGGACAGCTGGGGCAGGGGCTGGTCGCAGCTGAGTACCATGTTTCCAGGTGCAGGCCCACGGTTCCCAGCTCCTGACGGCCATGATCAGTGGGCTGGATGACAGGGACGACCCCCACAGCCTGGTGGCTCTGGAGGCCATGGTGGGCCTGGCAAGGCTCCTGGCCCTGCTGGCACCAGGGGACCTGCGCTGTGTGCTGCTGCATGTCGCCATCCGCATCCGGCCCTTCTTTGACAGTGTAGGTGGGGCCGGGCTCACTTCACTCTTCCTTGCTAGCCTCTGTGGCAGTCCCAGGTCCCACAGGACAGCACCTAATCCCTGGGGAGTGACTGTCACCCCCACCCCCCATCCCCCAGGAGAAGATGGAGTTTCGGGCTGCAGCCATCCGTCTATTTGGGCATCTCAACGAGGCCTGCCACGGGGACTGTGAAGATGTCTTCCTAGAGCAGGTGGTGGGCGGGCTGGTGCCCCTGCTGCTTCACCTGCAGGACCCCCAAGCCCCTGTGGTCAGCGTGAGTAGCCAGCAGTGGCTGGGGAACCTGGTGGGGCGCTGGCAGGCTCAGGGCTCAGCGCTGCACTCCACAGGCCTGCAAGTTTGCCCTGCGCATGTGCAGCTCCAACCTGGAGTGTGAGGAGCTGGCAGAAGCCTTTCAGAAGCACCTGCAGGAGGGCCGAGGTCTGCACTTTGGAGAGTTCCTCAATACTACCTGCAAGCACCTGGTGAGAGTGGGCAGGGGAAGGGTGCGGCAGAACGGCGGGCTGGGCAGTCCGCGTCGCTAACGGCCACTCTCTAGATGCACCACTTCCCGGATCTACTGCCCCGCCTGCTGAGCACCAGCCTCTTTTACTTTAAGAGCTGCTGGGAGGACGTCCGCGCAGCCGCCCCCATGCTCACGGGTGAGCAAGCCCCACCCTGCACCAGACCCCGCCCCTGACCCCGCCCCGCCCCTGACCCCGCCCTCTCCCCCCGCAGGGTTCCTGGTGCTGCACGTGGAGCCAGAGCACCAGCCCCAGGTGGATCTGGAGCAGCTGGTTCTGGGTGAGCCCCTCCCAGCCAGTCCCCGCCCCCAGGTCAGGACCCCCTAGCTGTGCCGTCCAGGCCCGCTGACCCTGTGGGGTACCAGGAAGACTAAGTGATTTTCCTGGATTTCAAGGATTTTTCCCTGTCACTGGTGACCTCATCGTCTCTAGTAATTCACGGAAACTTCTTAACTGTTCCAAGTGCTTAAAAAACACTAAAAAAGGAAAAACTATCTTTCCGTTGGCTCCTGAGCCCTCCCATCAGAGGCCTGTCTTAGGAGGTGGCGGGCGGGCGGCCTCACATGCAGGGCCAGCCCAGCAGCTCCTGAGTGGGGAAATGAGCAGGAGGGACCCCAGCTCAGGCCCAGCGCCGGGGGAGGGGGGGCTGACTGGGCATCACACAGGCAGCCACTGCCTCTCCCTCAGCACTGCAGCTCCTCCTGAGGGACCCGGCCCCCACCGTGCGTGTGAAGGCTGCTGAGACTCTGGGCCGCCTGGTGAAGTTCGCCTGAGGCACAGGGACCCCTACAACAAATACCAGCAGATCTGCCCCCCGCCCCCCCAGGCCATGCCTGCCCTTCCAGAGGACACAGCTGGGGGCCGGAGGAAGCAAGCCGGTGTGCCCCCACCTACTTCCAATAAAGCCATCTGTGCCCCACGTGGGGTTATGGGGTACCCCCAGTGACATGGCCTCTCTTTCTGGGCGGTTAGTGGGGTGCCCTAATGGATGAAGGGGTAATGGAAGCCGATTCAAGACGTCTGCTCAGGCTACAGCAACAGAGAAACAGCTGTATTGCCCCAGATCCCCAGGGCTAACTGAAGAGGCGCACAGTGCCATCGGCTCCAGAGGAGAAGACCCAAGGCTGTGTGGGGTGGAAGGCCACGTCCAGCACTCCCAGGTCCCGGGTCAGCACATGGCCCCTCAGCACCTTAACAGGCACAAGCAGCGGGTTTTGCAGCAAATCGCTGTGGAGAGGGAGAGGGCAAGGATGACATCAGTAAGGGAGGGACCGGGAGGGGCACTGGGGGGCCATAAGAGGGCAGACCCAGGAGAGGACACGGTCCCCCTGTGGGTGCAGGACGGCGGCAGGGCCTGGAGTCACAGCCTTACTCACTTGTACACTGTCCCATGACAGACGATGACACTGCCGTCGTCTGAGCCAGAGGCAAAGAGGGGGTACCTGGGGTGGAACGCCACAGCGCGCAGGGCCTTCTTGTGGTGCCTGGGGAGGAGGCGGGTGTCAGGTGGAGCGGGCCTTGAGGAGGGGAGAGTGGCCCAGCAGGCCCCAAGCAGTGCCTCACCTAAGCACTCTGTAAGGCTTGGTGGAAAGGTCCAGATCAAACCACACCAGCTTGCTGTCATAGCTGCCACAGATGATGTTGTCACCTGGGGACAGACATGGTGGTGGGCACCTGGCAGTGCATCTCCATGCCCTCCCGGGGACACCACATCCCCTATCTCACCTGCGGGGTGCACTGCCAGGCTGGACACCCACTTGCAGTTGGGCGTCAGCTTCTTTGTGAGCTCCTGGCGCAGCAGATGGTAGAGGCGGACGCTGCGCTGCGAGGCCACGAACAGGAACGGCCGCAGTGGGTGGAAGGCCACTCGCTGCACCTGTCCATGGCTACGGCGGAAGGGGCTCTGGCTGCGGCGCCGGCTCAGCTGGTGGAGCAGCACCTGGCTGTGGCCTGGGGTGGCCAGCACCACGGCCAAGTAGTCTCCACGCCCATGCCAAGTCACCTGGGTCACTGGCTGCAGGAGACAGGGACAGCTAAGCTGCCGCCCTCACCCCCCTGGCCCCCAGCCCTGGCTCCTATACCCTCCAGACCTTGCCGTGGCAGATCCGAAGCCTCAGGCCCCTCTGGTGTTCCTCCTCTGAGACCTCCAGCCAGTCGGCCGGCTGCTGGATGGGCTCCTCGGGCACAGTGAAGGTGCCAAGCAGCTGGTCTGTGCTGCCCACCACCAGCCGGTCCCCTAAGGCCGGGTTCAGTAGCAGCACAGTCTCTCCCCTACAGGCCAGAGACAGACACAGCCCCTCAGGCACTGCGCCCCCCCCACCCCCACAGGCTACTACTTGGGTCTCCCAAGAAGCCCCAAACTCACACAGCCACGGCCACCAAGCAGATGGTGGGTTGGGGGTTCCAGGCCACACTCTTCACCACGCCCCCCACAGGTAGAGTCTTCATGCATCGGGCAGTGGCCACTTCCCAGAGCCGCACAGAGCCATCATCTGAACCTGGACCCGGGTGACAAGGCCCTCAGCACCTGACCCCCCGCCCCTGTCGTCACCCCACTCCCGCAGGGCAGTCCCACCTTAGGCCCACCTGAAGCCAGCCACTGGCCCTCGGGAGAGACACTCAGACAGCGGACAAGGTCACTGTGGCCTCTGTAGACCTGCAGACCAGGCCAGTGAAGAGGGGCACCCCGTGTACACCCCTGCCTGCCTGCCCCACCCCCCGCTCACCCCCTCACCAGGGCCTGGTGCGTGGGGAAGGGCTGTAGGTCTCGTGGTCGTGGCAGCTTGGGGATGAGGGCCTCAGGGTCCACGTTCACCTGTGACAGGACAGCACCAGTCACCTTTCTGCCTCGTCCCCTGCCACGGACCCAGGCACTGCCCTCCACGCACCCGCATCTTGCGCTGCCGAGGGCACAGATAGAGGTCAAGGCAGCGCTCAAAGCGCTCCTGGATGAAGCGACCATAGGCTGGCACGGACCGCAGGTTCGGGAATGCTTTCGGCAGGAAATTCAGCTTCCTTTCCCCTGGCTCCTGCTGCTCCCATGCCAGGCGCTGTGGAGACACGGGTGAGCAGGGAACCCAGCCCACCTTGCCTGGATCCCCATGGCACTGGGCTCACCTCCTCCTCGCTTGGCAGGTACTCAGGTGGTGGGTTGTAGGACTCCGCGTGGCCAGGCAGTGCCAGCTTCGGGGCAGGCACATGCATCTTGTGCCGACCTAGCACAGCATTGGGATCCTCCTGAGCCCACAGGTCATAGAAGGTGGGGGCCGAGTCTCGGGGCCGGCGTGGCTGGATCCAGCCCATCTTGATGGCGTGCACCAGGCGAGAGACCTGCAGAGGGGCCAGAGTAAGCGTGGGTGGCATTGGGGCCATGAGGAGACAGTGGGGTCAGACGCACCTTCTCCTTCTCCACCAGCGACGGGATGAAGCTGCGCTTGTCTGCAGGGCGGTTGGTCACTGGGTGGATCATGAGCTCTCCACTGAAGAAGTCCACTGCAGGCTGTGGGCGGAAGCACAGGTCAGGGCGCTCAAGCCCTCATGAGCCCAGGACCTGGGGGAATGGCTGCTGCCTCCTACCTCATATGGGTCGAAGTTCACGTCCCCAAACTGGCCCCTCTGCAACCGCTGCACCAAGGCCACCTGCTCATCAGTCAGCTTCACGTCGCGCCCGGTCATCCGGTCCTGAACAGTGCGCCTGCGGGCCCGCAGCACCTAAGCATCTGCACCTGAGCCCCCTAGCGACTCCCTGCCCCCACCCTGCCCCCACCCAGGCCCCACCAGTAGTCGGGGTCGTCCATTCTGTCCAGAAACTGGTCCAGCTCATCTCGCGTGCGCAGGGGCTTGTAGATGCGCCTTCCATCCAGGTCATAGCCCACGTGCGGGAAATCATCATACCACTCCAGGGGCACATTGCCCACCGTGTTCCGGATGTCCTGCCGCAGGCATCAGGCGCGCGTCAGCATGGGACCCCTGCCCCAGGCCCCGGGACATCTGCCTTCTCCCCAGGGTGTGACGTGGCAAGGAGGCCTGCTGCCCCCACCCCCGTCCTCAGAGGCGCCGGAGCTGCCCCTTCATTCACATTTTCCACTGAAGCAGTGCCAGCCCCAGAGCCTCCCCCTGGATTCCTTGGCCATGGCTCTGGGCAGCCACAGACAAGGGTGACCTCATCGCCCGTGGGCTCCCTCCCCTGGCAGGCCTTAGGCGTGAGTGGGCAACCACACGTGGGCTCACGCCCCCCCCCCCCACTGCAGGGACAGGTAGCGGAGGTGGTCTTGTGAGGTCCTTCCAGCCCGTCGAGCCTGCCCCCTGGGCAGAGCAACCACATTCCTGGACACACATTCCTGGTCAAGGGCCCTGCCAGCCGCCACCCTCCCTCCACCCATCAAGGACTGCTGCCCAGGCGGCTGCTGCCCACAACAGTAGCCACAGGGGGAGGAGCCAGGGCGCACTGGGAGCGGGTGCCTGCTCGCCCCTGTCCCTGCCGCACACGCTAGCCCCAAGGCAGGGCAGGCTGAGCCCCGTGTGTCCCCAGGGGCTGGGGAAGAAAGAAGGGCAGCCGGCTGGTCTGGCTGGGGTCCCCGGGGGCAAGGTGCCGGCAGGCCCTGGAGGCTGGGCTCCCCAGCCCGGGCTCCTGAGGCCCAGGAGGGCACACTCGGCAGGCGTAGGACTGGCAGGGTGCGGCCCGACGTCCCCGCCAGGGCAGCTGCGTTCACTTGGTCATGCCGGGGCAGAAGCGGGGGGCCCCTCGGCGCGGCCGGCCCGCTCCCCCGCTCGCTGAGCGCGGCCTCCAGGGGCTGGCGGCGGCGGGCGGGGAGGGGGAGGAGGCGGGCCAGCGCGGGGGAGGGGCCGCCGCCGCTATAAAGGCCGGGCCGGCCGCGCTGCTCCAGCCCGGGACGCACACGTGCGCGCGGCGCCGCAGCCGCCTCCGCGGGCACCGAGACCCGCCCCCACCGGCCCGGGCACCCCGGCCCGCGCCGGCGGCGGCATGCGCTGCGCGCGGCGGAGCTGACGCCGCGCCCCCGGCCCCATGTCGTTCGCCATGCTGCGCTCGGCGCCGCCGGGCCGCTACCTGTACCCCGAGGTGAGCGCGCTGTCGGAGGACGAGGACCGCGGCAGCGAGAGCTCCGGCTCCGACGAGAAGCCCTGCCGCGTGCACGCGGCGCGCTGCGGCCTCCAGGGCGCCCGGCGGCGGGCCGGGGGCCGGCGCGTCGGGGCCGGCGGCGCGGGGCCCGGGGGGCGCGCGGGCCGCGAGCCTCGGCAGCGGCACACGGCGAACGCGCGCGAGCGGGACCGCACCAACAGCGTGAACACGGCCTTCACGGCGCTGCGCACGCTCATCCCCACCGAGCCCGCCGACCGCAAGCTCTCCAAGATCGAGACGCTGCGCCTGGCGTCCAGCTACATCTCGCACCTGGGCAACGTGCTGCTGCTGGGCGAGGCGTGCGGGGACGGGCAGCCCTGCCACTCGGGCCCCGCCTTCTTCCACGCACCGCGCGACGGCAGCCCCCCGCTGCCCCCCGCACGCGACTCGGAGAACGCGCAGCCCAAACAGATCTGCACCTTCTGCCTCAGCAACCAGAGGAAGTTGGTGAGTGTGGGAGCGCCCGTCCCACCTGGTCATCTGTGGCCAGCCGCAGGGTCTGGAAGGGCCCAGGCACAGAGACTCACCTGGGCACAGCCGGGAGGGCCAGGCCAGGGCTGGGTTCATCAAGGGTCAGCACCTGGGGCCCTGGCCCCTGCACTCTGATCCTGCCAGGCCTCCCCTGCCCCCGGGAGACTCCTGGCAGAGGGGCCGGGGCCCTAAGCGGTGGCACCAGAAGACCGAGGTAGGCAGGATAAAGGGGTCTCTGGACAGCACGCACGGGGGCTCTTGGGCCCCGCCAGCCGGGGAATTTTACAATTCTGGCTGCGCACTCACCTCCCAAGACGCAGGGGGAACTGGGGTGAACACGGAGGGGATACTTCCAGAGCTGGCCCCTCAAGACGGCCTCACTGGGGAAGCAGACGTGTGGACAGCTGCTGGGTCCCCTGTCCAGGCCTGACCCTACCCCCCCTCTCCACAGAGCAAGGACCGCGACAGGAAGACAGCGATCCGGAGCTAGAGGCGTCACCCCTGCCCCACGCGGCCCCCATGGACCCCAGGGAGGGGCCACAGTCTCTGGGGATCCCAACATGAGGCCAGCCCCGCCTCTGGCTACGTGGGGCCGATGGACAGCCAGGCGGCGGCGGACTCTGACTGGCCCCAGCACTCGCCCAGGCCTGCTGGAACTTTCCATGCTGGCTTCTGACTTGGGCTTTCTACTCACTACGTGCTGGCATCTTGTGTCTCTGATGTGATAATATAAAGGCTGGAAGTTTTGTATGATTAAAGTCAAAGTAACAACTACCCGTGTGGGTACACACTGTCCTGCGCGACCCTGGGCTGAGCCCTGTGCCCTGACCCCGGGTTCAAGGGCTCCATTTTCTGCGTTTGGACCGATCACCGGCCCACCTGCCCAAATGTGCTTCACTCAGAAGGGCTGGGGGTGAGAAAGTGGGTGCAGAGTGCGTGAGGGAGGGGCGTGTGGGCAGGAGGGAGCTGAAGAAGGGTGTTGGACCAGGGGTCCATAGGGCCCCACCACTCCCAGCTCCAACTACCCCTAACTCCCCACAGGTCCCCCACTCCCAGCTCCCCCAGGACCCCGAGGAGGAGGCTGCCAGGACTCGTAGCTGGTGTGGCCTCAAAGTCCTGCAGGTGACAATCAGGGTTTCCCGGCGAGAGCTGGCGGCACCGCTGGAGGGGGGCGGGAGGCGCTAAGGGGCTGGGTGTGTGTGCAGTCATCCTCCACTTCCGGCCCAGAGTACCCTGGGCGGGCTCAAGGTCCCAGGGGGAAGCCAGGTGGTGGGGCCCACATGGACACCCCCACAGGGCAGGGCCAAGCAGGGACGGGCTCCAGGGAAGCTGAAGCAGGAAGTGGTGGTGTAATTTTGGAGGAAATTCTCAAAGCCAGAGCCATTAAGGGCTGGGGGCTGAGTCCGATCTGATAGAAATATAACAGGATAAAGTCACGGCCCAGGTTCCACTCAGAGAAATTCAACCCCGAATTTCCTCTCCTTAATCCTGCAGGAGCCGCAGCTGGCCAGGGGAGGGGAGGGCGGGCAGCCACTGCAGACCTCCACCCCCGCCAGCCCGGCCAGGAAAGACCCTCCGCCTGGGCACAGGAGGGGAGGTGGCTCAGGGGGCTCCACCTGCAGCACATGCCACAAGATGTGGGCACCCACATCCCAACCTCTCGCCTGCTGCGCTCAGTTTCTAGACGGAGTGTGCAAGCCCCTAGGAGCCCTGCCCAAGCCCACTTCCTGAGCACCAGGTCCCGGGGGTAGGCTGGGCAGAGGAGGGCGAGGAAGGGGTGTGCAGAGTGGACAGTGTGTGGACAGTACGGAGTGAACAGTGCAGCATGGACAGTACGTGGATAGTGCAGAGTGAACAATGCACTGTGGATGCTGTGTGGATGGTGCAGAGTGGACAGTGTGGAGTGGACGGTGCACAGTGGCTAGTGTAGTACACACGGTATATAGATGGTGCAGAGGGAACAGTATGGAGCGAACTATATGAAACGCTGCACCATGGACAGTGGACAGTGATGTGGGTAGGACAGTACAGACGGCGTGTGAACCCTGCAGAGTGAACAGTGCAGTGTGGACAGAGGACAGGCAGCTCTCTCAGGCGCTGCAGCCCAACTGCCCCCACTCCCCGGGCTCCCCAAGCTGCATCAGTAGCAGGAAGGGGGTGGGTGGCAGTGCCTGACACCCTCTGCAGCCAGATCCAAACCTGACTTCGGGACGCCCTGGGCCCCAGCGATCCTCTGGGAGTCTCCTGGCTGGGGAGAGGGCAGGCAGACCCTGCCCATCATCCGCCTGCCAAGGCAAGCCAAGCCGGGGCTCCGTGAGAGTGCCCCATAGAGGCGGCTGGAAGAGGGGCCAGCAGCCGCCTCTGTGGCCAAGCGGGGTTGGAAGCACTCGGCTGGCCTGGGCTGTCAGCTCCTGTCCCTGGGCGGCTGGTGGAACGAGCTGCTGGCGGCCCCACATGATTCATCACCAGCCACCCGCCCGCCCCCTGCGGCCCAGCCCAGCCCCCCGCCCCACGCCGCACCTGCAGGCTGCCAGGAAGCACATGTGACCCCCGGCAAGCGCCCGCCGACCCCCGGGTCAGGCATGGTGAGAGGGGGCCGGCACCCTCAGGGGGCGGCAGGGGTCCCCGCCCCCCAGACTGCAGGGTCCACGCCGATGTGCGGCTGGCCAGCCGGCGGGGATTTTTCCGCCCGCCCCTCCCCCGCCCCAAAGTGGCTGCAGCTGTCAGGACGCAGATTGGAAGTGCAGGTACGGCCTGGCCGGCTGCCACCTCCCTCCCGTGTCTGTCTGCTCGAGAGGAAGCCGGCCCACCTCTGGAATCCTTCACTCGCTCCTCGTTCCGCCTCTCCCACCTGTCCCGGGGGAGCGCAGGGTCAGCCGCCCTCGCTCACTCTCTCCCGGCTCTCCGATTACAATGCCGGCAGTGTTCCCGCCCCCCGCCGCAGCTCCTCTCCCCACAGACACAGAGGCGGCCGCCTGGCCAGGCTGCTCACCTGCCGAATCGCACCCAGAGGCGTCAGCGGGCAAAGCTGGGCAATGGGCAAGCTCCTCCACGCCCGCCTCCAACTCTGCGTGGACCCCAACCCAAGAGGGCTCATTCCTCACCGCCAGCACCTCTGGGAGGCTCCCTCGGAAGGCACACAGGCCTGGAGCCGGCACCGAGTAGCCCAGGCAGATCCTGAACTCACAGCCCAAGGCACCGAGGCCGTCTCCTACTCCTGCACCCCAGACCGCAGCAGGGCACCCCCAGTAACCCAAGTCCACTTTCTGCTCAGCAGTGTCCAGCAGAACCCTAATCCACAGCATGAGGCAGCCCTTCTGGGTGCAGGGCGTGGGGTGCCCCCCCACCTGGGCAGCTGGGGCACCTGCAGGACTGCTGCCAGGAGAGGCAGCGGGTGGGTGCTGGGGGGGGGGGGCGGTGCAGCCCAGACACGAGCGGGCCAGGAGCCGGGCGCTCTCCACAAACAGCCGAAACCTGAGCCGCCAGGCCGCCTGCCAGCAGCGACGCAAGAGCCCGAGTGCGCGGGCGGCCAGGACGGCGGGGGCGGGCGCCCCGGAGGAGCGGAGGCCGCCAGCCGGAGCAGCTGCCGATCGGTAGCGGTAGCTGGGAGAAGCCGTTCCCGGCGCCTGGCCCGGGAGCAGAGGGGCCGCCCCACCCTGGGGGCCAAGGGCCAGCATGTGCTGACCCAACTGAGCCATGGGCTGCTGGACCAGCTGCCACGGGCTTGCTGAGCAGCCTCAGTTTCCCCGCAGCAGACAGGAACAACGGCGAGCTGGGCCCTCTCAGTCCCCAGCTCCCTGGGGGTCCTGGCCGCGGCATGACATCACGTCTGGGAGGTGCGGTGGGATCCAGCGAGTGGCCGTGTGGGGGTGGGGTGGAGGCACCGGCCACTCCGCACTGGTCCCAGCACAAATGGGAACAGGACCCCCTCCCCAGACTCCGCTTTCCTGGTTTCCCCCTCCACAGCCATCTATGCACCCTCTGGGTGGGAGAAAGGGATGCCGCCCCCCAGGTGTGCACCTGAGAGAAGCATCTGCCACTGGCCTGGAGGGGCTCCCGAAAGTCGAGCTTGTCCCCTCCAGCCGCAGGCGGCGGCGGCGCTGGCAGAGGCAAGGCGAGGGCGGCCGCCCTGTCACTCAGGACATATGGGATAGTCATTGCCGGAGGAAGTGGCCCCCGCGGCCAGGACCAGGAGCCCCCCGTGGGCAGCCAAGGCCCCTCCCCGGCCTCTGTGCTCCATTTACAATCACCGTCGATTTCTCAAAATACCAAATTTAAAAAAGTAGCCGACAGGATGTGGCTGCCGACAGCCGCAGCCCCGGGAGGGGGCCGAGCGGCCGCGCTGCCCCTCCCGAGCGCGCCCGCTGCTCCGGCCAGGAAACCAATTTATTTTGTTTTGTCTCTGTTCTCTGAACGCGGAGACCGGAGCGGGCTGGCCGCCAAGGCTCCTGCAGTCGCTGCCAAGAGTGCGGGCTGGGGGCGGGGCTGCACCGGGAGGGGGGGGGGGCGCTGACAGGCGGCCGGGGACAGGTCGGCCCTCTACGGCCTCAGCATGGCCGGGACTGGTGTGGTGCAGGGGGCCGCCCCTCTGTACAGCCAGGATGGGTTTGGGGTCCACGGGGCCCCTGGGCACAGCTGGGCAGCCCCAAGCACCTCGCAGGGCTCTATCCCAGCCCATGGTAAGCGCAGGCAAGGTTACCCAGGGCCCACCTCCCTCTCGTCCCCAGGATGGCCCCCACACTGTGGCAGTTACCGGCCGGGACCCAAAAATCACTCTTCCAGACCTAAGCGTGGCCCCAGGCCAGCCCCCCTCCCCCACCCCTGCCTGCCCGGCCCACCTCTTCATCGGAGCTGTCCTGCGCATACTCGTCCTGGGCCTCGGGCATGCCCGCCGGCCCCGCCATGCTCCCCGGGGCAGAGGCGGCCTGCAGGGAGAAGGACAGTGATCAGGCTCAGCAGAGTACAGGCATCCACGCTCGGGTCTGAGTCTCTTGGGGCTCTGTCAGGGGCTGGGTGCGGACTGGCACCCCCACACCTGCGGCAGCAAGCAGAGCCCAGGCCTCACTGCACCTGGCCAGCAAGCAGAGTGCCTGAGGAAAGGTGCTCCCCGCAGGGGGGTGTGGGGGCACAGGTGGCGCCCCCCCAGCTGCTCCCTCCAGAGCAGACCAGGAAGAAACCCTGAGCACCATTGGCACAGCCCCAAAAACTAAACTAAGTCACTGTTGAGGCCAGGAAGAGGGTTCAGGGGTTAAAGCCCCAGCCTGGCACATGGCTGACTCTGGTCCCATCCCACGTGGTCCCCCCCGCACTGCCAGAAGTGGCCCCTGAGCACCTCCAGGTGGTCCCCCTCCCCGTGCCAGAGAACGAAATGGTCTTCTTGCCCTTCCTGCTCCTGGGGCTGTGGACCTGAGTGGGTCAGCGCTGCCACGAGGGGGCCAGGGGCACAGTGGGCTGGGGCGAGAGCCCAGAGCAGGGCTGAGCTGCAGGCTGCACAGCCCCCACCAGAGGGCGGCACAGCAGAGCCTGGGTCCCTGAGACACACTCAGGCCCACACATAGGCACTCAGGCCCTCCGGCCCACCGCACCCAGGGCCCAGCCCGCCCCCACTCTCCCAAAGCCCACGAAGGGGCAAAGGCTTTCACGGCACCAAGAAAAGGCCTCTCAGGGCCACTGGATCCCCCAGCAGGGCGGAGACAGGGAGACACAGCCAGAGACAGGAAAGAGCAAGACTCAAGGGGTGAACAGGGGCTGGGGTCCAGTGTAGAGGGTCCAGACCACTGCAGGGCGGGGCGCACAGATCTAGTCCATGGCCCCAGACCGCAAGGCCACGGCAGAGATGGGTACACCCTGGGTGCACACAGCAAGTACCAGTGAGGCAGGCAAAGTCAGGCAGACTGAGACCCGGTCCCCCAGGAAGGGCAGCCGCCAACCCAGGTGCCTGGGAGCAGGGACTGTCCCTGTTAGTCATTGGCGTCCCAATGGGATCCAGAAAGCTAAATGTGGCCCCGGTGAGGGCGACCACAGGGACAGACAGGGCACACAGGGGTCACACATGCAGGCCCATGTGGCAACAACAGAACATGCAGAGACGCACAAGGATGTGTGGAGACACAGGGCACAGGCTCCCAGCCCCACCCCCCACGTCCCTCCCCTTTTCCTATCCCTCAACCCCCTGCTCCAGCCTGTCCTGCAGCCAAAAGGAACCAGCCTCAACAGGAAGCCTCCAGCCACCCTGGGAAGCTAGTCCACAGAGCAGTGAGAAGCAGCTGAGCTGAGGGGAGGCTGCTCAGGCACATCGACAAGACGCAGTGGGACCTGGCCTCCCGGCAATTGACAGGGTGGGGGGTTTGGATCCTAGGTCCCTGCAGTTGTCCCCAGACACACAGGCACAGCTGCAACGACAGTTGGGCTAAGGAGTCAGAGACGACCTGCTGAGGACTGTGGGCAGGGAGCTGGAAGCTCAAAGAGCTGGTCAGGGCTGGGGGGGAGGGGCTGGGGGCGGGGCAGGGCAGGGGGCTGGGCTAAACTGGGCTGGGTTGTGGCAGGACGGGGCTGGGCTAGGGGCGGGGCTGGGCTGGGCAGCAGGCGTTGCACAGGCACAAATCTATGCAGCTGACAGGCAGGGAGGTGCCCAGAGCCTGCCAGGCTCCTTGGAGCAGGAACCAAGCCTAAGGGGTTCCAGGAGCACTGAGAAACAGTAGCCGGGGGGGATGGAGGCTGTGGCTCCCGGGAGGGGGTTGGAAGAGCTGAGTACAGCTGTGCATGGGCTCAGCCCTGAGTACCTGAGACCCCCCCCAGAGCCACGTCTCGCACCTTCCAAGCTTAAGTCCAGAAATCTTCAGGCTTTCACGGGGCTGGGGATGGACTTCCACCCCATCTTCCTGTACTACTGGAAGCCTGGAGGCCACACACACACCCCAAAGCCACTACCCAGGCAAACACTTAACTCCAGCTCTACCACCCTGTGAAAAATTTTGGCCATCCTGCAGACCACAGTCACATCTGCAGCCACGCGACATTCCAAACTCTCCAACCAGGAGAACAGCAGACTGGAGGGGGTGGAACGCAGAGGGCACGGGTGAGTAGGGCATCAATACAGAAGGCTTAGTCTAGAACAAACCTCAGTGATCTCTCATACAAGGGCTTAACGGCTCCATGGTGAGGGGCTGGAGTGATAGCACAGTGGGGAGGGCATCTGCATTGCATGCGGCCGACCCGCTTCAATTCCCAGCATCCCATATGGTCCCCTGAGCACCGCCAGGAGTAATTCCTAAGTGCATGAGCCAAGGGTAACCCTTGTGCAACACCGGGTGTGACCCAAAAAGGAAGAAAGAAAAAAAAAGGGCTCCACGGTGAGATACAACAATCTCCACTTTCTTCTAAGGAAACTTTGATCATTCTGTTAGAAATTATTGATTACAAGCAACATAAAATAAACTACCGAGGACCTGCTAATGAGGGCCACTTAAAGAGCGCTTGGGAAATGTTTAAGTGCAGTGGGAAAATTAAAAAAAAAAAAAAAGGAAAGAAACTTGGGTCCAGCCCCCAGCGCTTCCTGAGCAGCTGCCTCAACTGAGACGCCTACACCCAGTGACAGGTAGCCCCCTCAGGAGAACCCCTGACCACAGGGAAAAGAGGAAAGGCCAAAAAGAACAGACAGCTCCACACTTGCTCTCCACCAGCCCCCACTGAGGGCTGCAATGCAGAGAGGAGGGAACCATGCACTGAGCGTGGCCTCCTCCTAGGGTGGGGGGGTGGCAGAACTGCTTTTGGGGAGGGTTATATACCTCCCCAGACACCATCTGCAGCCCCCGTCATTGCAGAGGGGCCTCCCCATATGGGGCAGTGGCTGCTGTCACCCCAGGTAAGGTAGTCCAGCGGAATGTGAGCAGGGACAGAACGTGGGGCCTCCCGCCCTGCGAGCCCCTCCAGCCTGGGTGGCCTGGACTGGAGAAGTCACACGGTGGGTGCTGTGCCCACGCTCCCGGTGAACTGAGCCCAGGTCTCACGCATGCACTTTGCTATCAAGCCACATCCTCCACCTTAAACAAAAACAAACGTAGGAGATGTAGTGACGGTGCAGCTGATAGGACTTGCCTTGTACAAGGCAGAACTGAGTTCAAATCCTGGCGCCCCATATCGTCCCCTGAGCCCTGTTGGGAGAGATCCCTAAACACCGAGCCAGGAGTAAGCCCTGAGCACCACCGGGTGTGGCCGCCAGACAGAAAATCAAACAAAAATAAACAAAGCACTGCACTGCACTATCCTGTTGTTCAGCGATTTGCTCGAGCGGGCCAAGTAACATCTCCATCGTGAGACTTGTTACTGTGTCTGGCATATGGAATACGTCATGGGGAGCTTGCCAAGCTTTGCCGTGCGGGCGAGATACTCTCGGTAGCTTGCCAGGCTTTCCGAGAGGGGCGGGAGGAAGCGAACTCGGGAGGGCCAGGTCAGCTGCGTGCAAGGCAACTGCCCTACCCGCTGTGCTATCGCTCCGGCCCCAAAAATAAACAAAATGAGATAAAAAACAGCATTGTAAGGACCACGGTCTGGGGTCCTTGTAGAAACCGTAAGCCCTGTGGCCTCCCTGAGGGCCTCCAGCCCCGCGAGGTGCCCACCTACTGACCTGTGTCCCGCCAAGCTTGTCCCGGTGCTCATGCTCGGCCTCGTCCGTGTCCTCGCTGCTGTCGCTTCCCGAGTCCTCCAGGCCAGAGAACAGGCTGTCATCACTGTCGCTGCTGGACAGGAGGTGAGTGCTGTCGGGGCCCGGGCTGGACGCAGAGCCCACGAGGAGCAGAGGCTGCGAGGGTGCAGAGCGGAAAAGCTGAGCCAGGCTTCCCCTGGCCAGCCCACGCGCAGGGCATCGGAGCCCCCGCCGGAGCCCGGCCTGGAAAGACAGTCCCGGAACGGGGAGCCGCAGCTGCTGGCTCAAGGGGCTCAGAGGAGCAGCGGACGGCGGCTCCATTCTGCTCCCTCCCGGCATCCTGGCGGGGCTCCCTCCACCCTTGCACCCTCTCTATTCCTGATGCACACCCCAACCCCTGACCTCCTCCCCTCCTGACCCCGGCTCAATCCCCGTGGGCTGGTCCTGCCTCCTCGGAGGCACAAGCCCCCCGACCTGAAGCCACACAGGGGTCGGATTAAGGGACCCAATGTCCTCCGGACCGAGCCAGTGCTGGCCTGCGGCCCGCGCCCCCGGCGCTCCATCAGGCAGAACCAGCGGCCGCACACGCGGGACTCGGAGCTCGGGCGACGGGTGCACACAGCACGTGGGGCCGCCCGCGCCCCCAGCGCCCGCTCGTGCCCGGCCCCGCAGGCACCTCCTCCGTGTCCGGCCGCTGCCCCGGCGCCGCCCGCCGCCGCCCGCAGCCCCGCGCGCCCGCCATGCGCCCGGCTGCCGGCGTCCGCCGCTTCCGGCACGTCCGGGCCGCGTGGGCCGGGGGCGGGCCCGCGGGGGTCAGAGGCCGCGCGCGGGCCAATCGGCGCGGGCGCCGCCGGGGGGGGCGGGGCGGGGCGGCCGCGAGTGCGCGCGGACGGGCGGCGCCGGCGGGAGCGCGCGCGTCGAAGATGGCGGCGGCCATGCGAGGCCCCGCGGCCGCGAGTGCGCAGCGGGCGGCGGCTGCGCGGCCCGGGCGGCAGGCGCGGCGGCGGCGCTAGCCCGAGCCCGGCCCCCGGCCCCTCGCGCGCGCCCCCTGCGCCCCCCGCGGCCCCGCCGCCATGGACCTGCCCGTGGCGCCTGGCGCGCCGGGGCCCAGCAACGTCCCGGCCTTCCTCACCAAGCTGTGGACCCTCGTGAGCGACCCCGACACGGACGCGCTCATCTGCTGGAGCCCGGTGAGCGCGGGGGCGCGTGGGCCCGGGAGCCCGCACCCTGGGGTGCTCGCGGCCCAGGGGGTCCCGGGGGGCCGCGTGTGCGTGGGAGCGGGGCTGCGCGGCGGGGGGCGGGGCGGCGAGTCCCGTGGGCTCCTCCCGGGAGCGCCCTGGCCTGGGGGCAGGCGGCAGCGACGGGCGGGGCTGGACCGGGACCGGCTCCGGCTCGGGCCTCTCGGCTCGTTGCTGGGCAGCGGCTTGTTTACCTGGCGTGGCCGCCGTGGGAGAGGCCGCGGAGCTGGAGGTCAGGCCCGCCCGCCGAGCCACCCGCGGATTGGGTCTGAAATCGGACCCGACTAGTCCCTAGCGGCGCCGCGAGGTGGTCCCGAGTAGGTTCTGGTTCGTCTGGCCACCCCGGGACGCCCTGTGAGCTGGGCCCCTCTCTCCCTTTCTGCCTGGGCATGTGTCCCCGCATTGCCCGCCCTTGCCCGACCCGCGCCTTTCCCGCTATCCAGGGTTGCTGGGCATCGGCCTTGCTCCCTGGGGCCAGCAGGACAGCCCCCGTCTGCGCTTGTCTGAGGGTCCTTGCGCCACCCACCTACCCACCAGCTTGTCTTTTCCTCGCCAGGGACTCCCCGGGGCCTCTGGGGGATCAGGGTTCCCTGGACACCTCTGAACCGCCTTCACGGGGGTCACACCTGCTGGTGGTGGAGAGGCCAAGTGGGGCCCCTGGGCACAGCCCCGACAGTACTCCACTGAGGGTCCCCGGTGGTGACACGCCCCAGTGGAAGGCCCAAACCCGTGTGTGTGTATGTTTTAAGTGATTGAAGGGCAGGAGACTGATATCTCAAGTGGTAGAACATGGGCCTGAGTTTGTCCCCCCCACACGGCTGTCAGGGCCCCTGACGGTCTGCTGAGTCTGAGTGGGGGCGAGGCTCGTTTCCCTGTTGCCAGGGGTCCCGTGGCCCTGCCCTGTGCCCATATCCCTACCCTGCCTTCCTTCCTCGCTGCTTTGTGCACTGCCAACCCTTTTCCCGGTCTGCGTTCAGACCTGAGCTCTCAGCCTTCCTGCCCTCTCCAGGACATGTCCTGGCACACTAGGACTGCCCTCTCGGAAAAGCTCAGTGGGGTCATGGAGTCAGGCCGTGTCAGGAACAGTGGTACACGGCTGGGCATGTGCAGAAGAAGGTGCTAGGCAGGGTGTGGCCAGGGCCACTCAGGAGCGGTGCCAGGGATCATGATGGGCGAATAGATGCCTTCAAAGGAAAGGAAGGAGAAGCCAGGTAGATGGTGGAGGCCCTGCGTTTGGGGTCCCCCCAACTCTGCATGAGCCCTAGAACACTGCCAGCGTGACCCTCCCTCCTCCCCGGCACCACCATTAGTGGGGAAAAAGGGGGGAAATGACAAAACAAGGAAGAAAATTGCAGTGGAAATCTGAGATGGGGCCAGAGAGTCTCTCCAAGGGTGGTGGTGTTTGCCTTGGCTGTGTCTGACACGGGTTCTGTTCCTGGCACCACACATGGTCCCTTGAGCACCACCAGGCATAAGCCCCAAGCACTGAGTGACCCAACAAGCCTAATGAGGAAAATAAATCTGAAATTGGAAATTGTAAGAAAAAATAATTCAAAGTTTAATTTTCAGATGGATAGAATTGGTCGGTTCTCAAACCCACACCTAAAGGGTTCTTACAAGTTTTCCAATGACAAAGTGAGAGGAGGGCAGGGTTGTTGGCATCGAGAAGGAGTGGGGGCAGCCTCAGTCACTGCCACACAGGCGGGGCAGTAAGGAACCACTTCAGACAGCGGGCGAGTGAGGCGATCAAGTAGCCTTAGCTTGACCTGGTAACTCCTTGTTGAAGGGACCACTTTCCTCGTGATAAATTTTGCCTGAAGGGGACAGCGGGGGCTGTGGGGGCCAAGCTCATGCTTCCGTGTGGAGGGCCAGGGCCCAAGCACAACCCCTCATGGACCCCCTCCCCCCCAGACCAAGCCAGGAGCATCCTCTCAGCAGGCACTGCCAGTAGACAACAGAACGAACAAGGAGCCCGCGGGACCCGCGACTTCATGGGTGTTTTCAGATGTGGCCAGAAGAGTTAGTACCCATCACAGGCTCTCCTGGAGTCGAGAGCAGCCCCAGATAGCTATAGATCAGTAGCCTTCATTCCTCCCCCTGTGCAGTCTGGGATTTGGGAGCACAGTGGCCTCTGGGGGCACATCCAGCACCTGCTACCATGGGCTCCGTCTTGGAGCAGCCCAATCTTAGAGCTGACTGCGGCCGTGTCCAATGCCCTGGTGCCCTTCTGCGCACTCTCATCTCTGTGGTACAAGAATGAGTGGCTAGAGGGGGCGATGAACAGCACAGTAGGAAGGGCATTTGCCTTGCATGCAGCCAGCCCACGTTTGATCCTTGCCACCCCAAGTCATCCCCCAAGCCTGCCTGAGTGTGACCAGTTGTGGCCCAAAACTTTAAAAAAAAAACCTCCCCAAATGTGTGATTTGAGTCCAGGTGTAGTGTTGGAGAGTAAGAAGCGCAGTGGACCTGTGGGTAACAGGATCGGCCATGTAGAAAGCCAGGAAGTACACAAAAGCGCACCTTTCATGTGGCAGCCCCAGTTCCATCCCCGACACCCCGTGTGGTCCTCTGAGCACTGCTGGTGTGGCCCCAAAACAAACGAAAACCCACACAACTAAAGGGTTCTTACAAGTTTTCTACATAGGAGAGAACTCCCCAGATCTCCAACAGTGGGAATGGGCTCTAGAAACTGCATGCACCACACGCGGGAAAGCTCAGCTGAGTCCGAGGATCTTGCTCTGCGTCCCCGGGAAGCTGTGCACCAGGGCATTGGGTCAACCTCTGGCCTCCCTGCCCACAGCCCTTCCAGCTGCTGTTCTGCTTGCACCTGCGGTTTCCCCCACACCGCACCCCACTCCCCAGGTGGAGCTTTGTTACATTAGGGCGCGAGGCCTCTTCAGCTTAGTACCTGACCTGTCGCAACTGGCTCAGGCTTGGAATGTGTACCCGACGCTCAGCTCCCTCTAGCTGACATGCCCCAGAACCCAGCTTCTCAAAGCACAGTCATCACCTTACATGAGTCATGTCACTTTTGAAAGTGTATTTTAGGGACTGAAGCCATAGTACAGCGGGGAGGGCACTGACCTCACCTGTAGGCAGCTGACCCGGGTTCGATCCCCAGCATCTCTGATGGTCCCCCAGTCCACCAGGAATGATTCCTGAGTGCAGAGCCCAGAGTGAGCCTTGAGCACCACTGGGGGTGACCCCGCCCTGGGCAGCAGTGGACGAGTTCTGTGCCCATCCCTGAGCAGTGAGTCCCAGCGTGGGTGCCAGGGGCTCTGACCTGGCGGTTGATGTGACCCGGGGGGTCTCTTAGCTGTCCTTGTTCCTTATGAGGGCTGCTGGGGACCAGGCCACTCCCAGCAGCTCAGGGGATGGGTCAGCCCCCGCCTGTTCCTCTGCTCACTTGGGAGACAGTTCCCTCTGCACTCACCTCCCATCTGGGCCTCTCACCTCAGCTTGCCTCTCCTGGCCTGGCCACTGGAGAAAGGAGGCCCCTCCCTGCCCCGTCGGTTCCCCGCAGTGCCGTGCGGTGAGGAGGGCAGGTACGGGGCTGGGCAGGTGTGGAGATGGGCAGGTGCACAGTGAGGATGGCTGCAGGGTGAGTGGTGTGGCTGGGCGCTGTGGTGGCCCAGGAGGGTCTCTTGGATGGATGTTTTCTCAAGAGTTGAGCCCGAACGTGCTGGGACCTCAGGACTCTGTGGCATGTGACTTGGTGGGATGAGGATAGGCAGGTCCCCTTCCCATGCTCTCTGCATCTCTGCGGTTTGGGAGCCACCAGGGCGGCGCTCAAGTCATTCACTGGAACTTGGGGCATGCAATGCCCAGATGGAGCCAGCACCTCCCGTGTGTGCTCAGAGACCAGAGTCTCTTTTCTCCTCGTGGATTTTGCAGCCATGCTTAGTGCTGCAGAGCATGTGCCTCCCTCCAGGCTGTTGCTGGTCACACGACTGAGCCCCCTCTGCTGGAGCTTTACTGTAATGGGGAGGGCGTTCGCCTTGCACACAGGTTCCACCCCACATGGTCCCCTGAGCACTACCAGGGGTGGTGCTGCTCTCTGAGTTTTCCTGGGCATGTCCCCTGGCACTGGCTAGAGCTGGTGGCCAAGCCCCTAGGACAGCCTGGATTGGGGCCTGCACAAGGCTGTGGGGCACCCCATGGGACTATGTCTGGGACACAGTGGGGGCTCCCACTTTCTCAGCTGCTTTTCAGGGTCCTGGTCCACCCCCAAGGTGTGGGATGTGGGGTGGGGTGTCGGGCCGAGGGAGCCTCGCCCTGTGTGACGGCCCCGTGTCCCGCAGAGTGGGAACAGCTTCCACGTGCTGGACCAGGGCCAGTTTGCCAAAGAGGTGCTGCCCAAGTACTTCAAGCACAACAACATGGCCAGTTTCGTTCGCCAGCTCAACATGTGTGAGTGCCTGGCGCTGGGGCAGGGGGCGCCCTCTGCTGGGGCAGCATGGGCGGCCCGCAGCACTCTGTCTTCCCCCATCCTGTGCAGACGGCTTCCGGAAGGTGGTGCACATCGAGCAGGGTGGCCTGGTCAAGCCTGAGCGCGACGACACCGAGTTCCAGCACCCCTGCTTCCTGCGCGGCCAGGAGCAGCTGCTGGAGAACATCAAGAGGAAGGTGACCAGTGTGAGTCCAGCGTCTGCCCCACCCTGACAGGCCCGACCTGGATCACAGGGACCCCCCAGGCTCCCAGGCATCTCCACGCTAACCTCAGATGTCCCCTCACTGACTCCAGTCATCCCCTCACTGACCACAAGCGTCCCCTCACTAACCCAGATGTCTCCTCACTGACTCCAGGTGTCCACCCTGAAGAGTGAGGACATCAAACTTCGCCAGGACAGCGTCACGAGACTGCTGACGGATGTACAGCTGATGAAGGGAAAGCAGGAAAGCATGGACTCCAAGCTCCTGGCCATGAAGCAGTAGGTGGCAGCCTCTGGGAGGTGTCCTCAGTTCTGTATGCCTCAGCCACACCTCCAGGGTGACCACATGGGTCTCTTCGGGCTGCTCGGGCCTGGGCAGAGGTCCCTGGGGCTGGAGCAGGTGCATGACCCATGGCCCTCACCTCCCTTTGGGGTTCAGCCCCCGGGCAACCGACCGAGAACTGTGGGTCTCGGCTGAGCAGGCCCCAGCCCCGCGACTGCCCGCACTGCTCAGCCCTCGCCTCACCGTCCCTGGCGTGCCCTTGGAGCCCACCTCGCTGGGCCCTGCAATGACGCCCCCTCTCTCCCACAGCGAGAATGAGGCGCTGTGGCGGGAGGTGGCCAGCCTGCGGCAGAAGCACGCCCAGCAGCAGAAAGTCGTGAACAAGGTGCCTCCGGCATCAGGCCCTGGGGCGCAGGATGGGGGCAGCGCTGTGCACCCACTGACCCGCCCTCTCACCCACCCACAGCTCATCCAGTTCCTCATCTCGCTGGTGCAGTCAAACCGCATCCTGGGGGTGAAGAGAAAGATGTGAGGCCCAGGGCGCCCCTCGGCACAGCCCAGCCTCGGCCCGGGGCCTGCTGGGGCCTGGGGAGGCCGCTAACCGCCCCCTTCCCGCAGCCCCCTGATGCTGAACGATGGCAGCTCGGCGCACCCCATGCCCAAGTACAGCCGCCAGTTCTCTCTGGAGCACATCCACGGCCCCAGCGCCTACTCGGTGAGCGCCAAGCCGGTGCAGGGCTGCGGGGGCCGGGGCTCACAGCCCACCCACCACCTCCCTCCGCCGCAGGCGTCCTCCCCCGCCTACAGTGGCTCCAGCCTCTACTCCCCAGACGCGGTGGCCAGCTCCGGGCCCATCATCTCCGACATCACCGAGCTGGCCCCCAGCAGCCCCCTGGCCTCCCCAGGCAGGAGCCTAGAGCAGAGGTGAGGCCGCACCCCCTCAGTCGGGAGAAGGGGGTTCCCGGGCACCTGCTGACACCCACCCTGTGTGCAGGGCCGGGATGCGGGTCAAGGTGGAGCCCCCCAGCCCGCCACGGAGCCCACGGGTGGAGGAAGCCAGCCCCAGGCGCCCGCCCTCTGTCGTGGAGACGCCCCTGTCCCCAACCACCTTCATCGACTCCATCCTGCGCGAGAGCGAGCCGGCCCCCACCGCCTCGGCTGCCCCCCTCCCAGAGGCCCGCTCGCCTGCACCCACCTCGGCCCCCGAGAAGTGCCTCAGTGTCGCCTGTCTGGACAAGTGAGTGGATGACACCCACCAGGGTGCCCGTGGGGATGGAGTGGCCTCAGTGCCCACCCTGCGGCCCGCAAGCCCACAGACTAACCCTCCACTACCCGTCTCTCCGCATGTGGGCACCCGAATGACTCCTGCCCCTCTGCTTCCCATGCTAAGACCAGAACTTCTGAGTGAGCAGGGGCCCCAGGTGCACACACACACCCCGCCCCGGGAGGGGCATGTAGGCCAGTGGCAGGAACTCTGCTCTGGGAAAGTAGGGGGGATACCTGGACACTCCCTTACTGGTTGTCCACACTGGCCAGGACGGAGCTCAGTGACCACTTGGATGCCATGGACACCAACTTGGACAACCTGCAGACCATGCTAACGAGCCACGGCTTCAGCGTGGACACCAGCGCCCTGCTGGATGTGAGTCCCACCCCGCCACCCCAGCCCAGCCTGGCCCTGCTGAGCCTGACTCTCCTCCCCCCTCCCCCCCCAGCTGTTCAGCCCCTCGGTGACTGTGCCCGACATGACCCTGCCTGACCTCGACAGCAGCCTGGCCAGCGTGCGTAGGCGGGGGGTGGGGTGGGGGGCGTCGGCCTGCAGGCCGCTCACTGTGTCCCTCCTGCCTGCAGATCCAGGAGCTCCTCTCTCCGCAGGACCCCCCACGGCCCCTGGAGGCCGACCACAGCAGCCCTGACTCAGGTGAGCCAAGCTACCACCCACCCTCTCTGCCCCCACCATCTCCTCTGACATGTGTCCCCCCACAGGGAAGCAGCTGGTGCATTACACGGCACAGCCCCTGTTCCTGGTGGACCCCAGCTCCGTGGACGTGGGGAGCAGTGAGCTGCCGGTGCTCTTTGAACTGGGAGAGGGCTCGTACTTCTCGGAGGGGGATGACTACACGGATGACCCCACCATCTCCCTGCTGACAGGCTCCGAACCCCCTAAGGCCAAGGACCCCACTATCTCCTAGAGGCTCCAGAGAAGGGCTAGTGGTGCCGGCTGGGTTTGGTGGCAGCTGGAGACTGGATGCCCCCAGTCAGCTGCAAGGGCCCAGCCTTGTGCCACCCCTGGCTGCCCAAAGCTCCACAGCCACACATGGACCGAGTAGGATGCAGCTGTTCAGAGGATCGGATTTTGGGTTTTTCCACAGCTTCCCCTTCCCCTGTAGAGACGCGTGGACCGATGGGACAGGCAGCGATCTATAAAGAATGGGCTTAGCACTCTGGTCTGTGTCTTCCTCCCATCCCGTGCTGTGTTGGAGGCCTGGCCATGCATGCATGCACAGATACACTCCCCTTAACCTCAAACGCACGTGCGCTTGCATGCGCACGCGTATGCGCGCACACACGCACACACCCTGTGCTGCTAGGGTTGTGCTGCATGCACACACATATCCTGAGCTTCTAAGGTTGTGCCACACACCCACACTCCAGGCTGCCAGGGTTGTGCGCCACACCTGTGAAGATGGCAGATGCCATCTCCCAGACACACAGAACTCTACTGCAGGGCCAGCTTTAGGGCAGAGTAGCCCCAGCCAGGTGTGAGGCTGCAAGGCACTGCTCTCCTGAGGGCCCGTGGCCCAGACCCCATTGCTACATGGCGCACAGGCCCTGGATCCCCACCTCCTGGCAGCCCATTCACCAGCCAGCAGGCTCAGGTGGTCACTCTGGACAGCACTTTATTGACGCGGTGGCTACATCGCAAGGATCAGCCACGACTCCCAGGACCTTGGCACCTCCCCCAGGACGAGCTGCCATCACAGGGTTAGGAGGGCGCCCCATAGGGGCAGAGAGGCTGTGCCAGGCCAAGAGGAGGAGCCTCAGGCCCCCGTGGCCGGGGCCTCATAGTTGAGCACGTAGTAGTCATGGACATACATGAGCACTGCCACTGGCTGCCCAATGATAAGCGTCAGCCACATAGCCGCGTTGCCGTAGTTGCCCCGGAAGAAGCGGCTGACTATCCAGGCCAGTGGGATCTGAGGACACAGCAGGAACACTGTTGGTCAGCGGGCACAGATGAATAAGGTGACACGGGCAGGGTCAGCAAGTGCGGCCAGAGACTGGACTCACCTGTGCCATCATGCCTGTGAAGGCCCACAGGCGGAACATGCGCAGCGGGATGCTCACCAGGTACTGCAGGCACAAGGGACAGGTCAGGGCCTGGCCAGCACCCACCCTGGGAGGAGCACCAGGGAGAAAGCACTGACCTCGTGGAAGAAGGCCGAAGCCAGGAAGACTCCAATCTGTGCCACCCACTTGCTGCTGCCACGGCGGAGCATGGGTTTGTAGAAGTGTCTGCAGAGGGAGAAGCCGCAGGTCTATTACCAAGTGTTCCCCAACGGCACGTGCAGGCACACTCACCCACACGCCCTGCCACGCCATGCCCACCTGGAACACCACTTGTGTACGGGGATGTTCCAGTTCTGCCAGAAGTAGAAGACGGATTCCGAGTTCCTGGAGGTGACACAGAGGAAATGAGATCATGCCCTGGCACCCCGGCCCTGGCCATAACCACCCCAAGCCCGCCCCAGCCTGGCCCTACCCGCCACTCACCACCAGTCCCGGTAGAACTCTCGGTCTCCAAACTGCATAAGCTCAGCCACGGCATTAAGACACGAGTGGAACAGCCAGTAGAAGAAGATGAGCCAGATGAGGTGGTTAGGGATCTGTGAGAGAGGCAGCCTCGGTTCACACACACACGCAGCATGGGCCTCCTTACACATACTGCCCTCAGTGCCCCCTTAGACACTGTACCCCTTATCACACCCCCAACACTCACCGCCAGCTTCAGGAGTCGCTCAATGATGCGTGAGTAATCCATGTCCTATGGAGACAGGGCTCAGCTGGAGCGGCGGAGACGCTCTCCCCCTCCGCCCCCCCCCCCCCCCCGCGCCCCCAGGTGGGAGCCTGAGACTCACCTTGAAAGGCTTCATGGAGTTCTGGATGGTGGGGACCATCCACTGCAAAGGAGGGTTCCGTGTCAGAGCAAGCACTGACCCCCCCTCCCCGCCCCCCTGCCCCCTGCCCCTCACCTGCTGGATCAGCCCCACCAGGAGCTGGGTAAAGAAGAGCTGGGAAGGAAGCAAGAACATAAAGCTGAGCCTCCAGAGGCCCATGGCGGCCTGCAGCCCCCAGTGCCCCCTCGGCTCACCATCTCCAGGAGTCTCCTCAGCAGGAAACGCTTCCGGATGCGCGGGGAGCGGGGAAAGTTGAGCTCGTAGCACAGGGTGGGGGCGAAGAGGAAGTAGTAGAGGTCTGCAACGGGAGCATGGGCTGAGGGGTGGCACAGGCCCACACCATGGGCTAACAGGAGCCCTGCTGCTTCACCGGGGCCTCACCTCGGTAGTTCAGGTTGTCAGGGTAGTCCACGGTGTGCTGAGCACTGCCCCCATTGGCCTTCTTGCTGGCAGCAGCTGTGAACAAGTGGAGAGGGGATTGAGGCTGGTGGGCACAGCGGGATGCCCGCCCCTCCTGGCCCCAGGCAGCCCCTCACCAGCCTTGGCCTTGCCCTGTGTCCTGCTCTCACGGCACCACAGGTTTACTTGTCGGTAGGAGAAGAGCTTGAGGAAGAGGACGGTGTAGACCAGCAGCGCCAGCACAGAGCCCACTGCAGAGGGGGCAGAGGAGGCTCAGCCCTGGCCCCCACAGCACCCATGGGAGCACTGGGGAAGTGAGGGGGCCATACCTGGAGTGATGGACTCGAGCAGGAAGGCCACGGCAGCCGGGAAGCAGAGGATGATGGCCAGGTTGGCCGTGTGCAGCAGCAGCCCCACCTGCTCTGTCAGGGCTCCCTGGGGAGGGCAGTCCATGTTCAGGCCTGGCGTGCCCCCTCCCGCAGAGGGACACCTGGGCTGGGGCAGGGGGACACCTGGCCCTGCTTACCACAGCCAGAAGCTTCTCCACCTGGAACGCGGCCACGGCAAAGACATTGGCCACTGGGGACATAAGCACCGGCAGCAAGCTCAGGCCCGGCTCAGCCGCAGGCCCCACCCCAGCCCCCCACGGCCCCCCACTCACCAAGGACCAGGCACAGAGCAGGCCAGCTGTAGGGGTTCTTCAGAAAGAGAGACAGCACCTGGATCGGGTCCACCAATATGCCGTACCTGCAGGGAGCGGGTGGGTTCAGGCCGGGGAGGGGCCTGGAGCGGGCAGGGCAGGGCAGGCCTGGCGAAGACACTCACTTGATGAGGTTCTCTAGAAACAACCGTGCATTGCTCAGGATCTGGGAGGGAGAGGGGTCCCCGTCAGTGCTGCCCCCCACCCGCACGCCGAGCCCACACAGATGCTGCCTCAGCGTGGACAGCCGTCCCTGCCATGCAGGCCTGCCCCAGAGCCAGAGACCAAATCCGCAACTGGACACTGCCCACCCAGGGCCCACAAGTGCAGACACAGACCCCAGCCAGAAGCAGCTGCCACACACCAAGGACACCACTGCCCCTGCCAGCTGTGTGCCCCTGGCCACCCCTCCACCCTCTGAGGTTAAAGACACAGGGAACCTGGACCACAGGCAAGCATGGGGGTGCCTAGGGCCTGTCCACTTGGGACGCAGCAGGAGCAGGTCAAAGGGCTGAAGGCCTCCTGCCACATCAGCAGCAGGAGGTGGTGGCATTCGCCCCACCCACAGCCTGTCCCTGGAGCACTCCCATGACTCACCTGGGCTCAGGAAGCCTGTAGAGACCCCAAAAAGCCTAGGACTCTGTCACAAAACCAGTCCATGGTGGAGCCAAGCCTAGGCCCGGGGTGCGCTCAGACTTACCAGCATCACCACACACCAGTTCAAGATGCCACGGTAGTTGCTAAAGCCACTATCAGAGCTGAACAGCGAGTCCTGCAGCCGGTGGCACCTGGCAAGGCAGAGAGGCCGTGAGCAGGGCAGAGACAGTGGCCATGAGCAGGGCAGGCCTGCGCCCTGCCACCCTGGCCTGAGCCACCGTGGGCAAACACCACACCCATACTGGGCTCATAGGAAATGCCCCACCCAGACCTGAGGTCCCCAGTATTTGTGTGGAGTATAGCCAGCTACCCAGTGAGCAGACATCCCCTCCCCAAGCCACACAGACCCAAGCAAGCTCAGGGTCGAAGGCTACTAGCAGCTCAGTGCCCATCAACCCCCAGGCCCAGGGACCCCTGCCTGTACCCACTGGGGCTCCCACCGGTGCTGGACAGGGGAACAGTAGCGGCCCCACAGCAGGAGCGAGGGCCAGGCCCCGCCCTGGCCACCACTGCCACCAGGAAGCCCCACTGCATTGAGCAAGGCCCCAGGGTTGGTAAGCAGGTTCCCTCCGAGGACACATCTGCACCTGGCCGGGGTAAAACACCCACACTTGCTGGGGATGACGGTGGCAGGGGCCCTGTGAGGGGCACACCCTCCACTGCCAGGGCCAGCTGGGACACAGGGTGGGTGGCTCTGGTCTTTCTCCTGCCCCTACCCATCTGGTGCCACCCCACCAACCTCTTTCCCAGTCTGTGGCAGTTAGGCCAGGAGACCACCGGAGACCACCCAGTGCCTCCAGCGAGGATGCTGCCCGGGTCCACACCCTGACCCCAGCTCCGTGGAGGCTGGCTGGCTCTCACTGGGAGCCCTGCACTGCTCCTACAAGCATCTCACAGCACGAGGAAAGCAACCCAAGCTGGATACCGGGCTGCGGTCAGTCATTCCGCCAGACACAGACCCCTCCCATGGGACAGAGGACTCCTACAGCATGGGGGGGCATGCCACCCTGCACTTCCTCCCTGCACTCCAGAGAGGGCCGGGCCAAGGCGCCAGTGTGGGAGGGAGTCCGAGAGAGGCCTGCCCAAGACACCTGTGCTGCAAACTCATAAGATGCCCCCTCCCTCCTAGAAGGACAAGGGGCTAGCAGGGGCAACCCTCTGGGGGAGTGCGGGGACCTCCGCCCTCAGCTGCCCTTTGCTCAGCTACTGCTTGCGGCTGGGATTATCTTATCTCCTCAGGTGGACTCTGAGCACCCCGCAAGGAAGCTCCTGAATCCCAGAGCAAAAGCCCGTGCCAGGGCGACCCGTCACCCACTTCCTCCTGGGTCTGCTGCGTCCGTCCGGGCAGCCGCCCCCGCCTCTGCCCCGGCCCCAGCCCTGTCCGCCGCATCCCGGGTAGCCTCCCCGGGCCAGGGCCCCGGCCCCGGACAGCCGCCCCCTGACCCGTCCCCGAACTCGGGACAGCCGCCCCCGCCCCGACCCCCGGTCCAGGACAGCCGCCTCCCGCCCCGACCCCCCGCCCAGGACGGCGCTCGGGGTGCTCCTCGCCCCCCGCGGGCCGGTGCAGGGCGGCCGCCGCGACCCTCCGCGCTCCCCGGTGACCTTGGCCGGCGCACCTCGGGCCCCCAGCCCCCGCGTCCCGGCCGGGGCCACACCCGGGCTCAGCTACCTCAGGTCCCAGTGGCCGCCGCCCTTGTCCGCGTCCGCAGCCGGCGCGTCGCCCCCGGCGCCCGCGTCCCGCTCCTCGGCCGCCGCGGGCCGCGACCCCGTCCTCCGGCGCCGGGAGCCGGCCGCGCCGCCGCGCTCGCCCATGCTTCGGCCCCGCCCCCGCCTCCGGACCCCGGCCAACGGCAGCCGCCGCCCCCTGCCGGCCGCCGTAGATCGCTCCCCGCCGAGCGCCCGGGTACCTCCCGGGTCCGCTAACTGGCCCGGGGCCGCGCTGCGCGGCCATTTGTAAGCACGGGCGCGCGGGGCACGCTGGGAGTCGTAGTCCTCGCGGCCGCGCGGCGCCCTGGGAGTTGTAGTCTCAGGGCCCGCGAAAGGCACCGTGGGAATCGTGGCGTGCGAGCTAGTCGGTGCCCGGCGGCGAGACTCGGGGGCCCGGGGGCCCCGCGGGCCCCGCGGGCTTTGCTCGGACTCCCAGCCCACAGCCTTCGCGCCTCGTCGAGCCGGGCTACCGCGCGGGAGCGGGGATGAGAGGCGGGGGCTGGCCTGAGATGCACATCCCAGGGGCTGGAGGAGAGGCCGCCGCGTGTCTGGAGAAATTTGCACCGGGGTTAAGGCGCTGGCCGAGCACCTGCACCGGGCTGACCACTGAGTCCATCTTGGGCCGCTCCCGAGTCCCGCCAGGAGCCTTCCGTGAGCGCAGAGCCAGGAGTCAGCCCCGAGCACTACGAGGAAAATAATTTGAATGTCACCTCTGGAGGGCCCGAGAGATAGTACGAGAGCCAAGTCAAGGCGCTTGTCCTGCACGTGGCTGACCCGGATTCCATCTGGGGATCCCATATGTTCCCCCTGGAGCATCACCAGGGGTGATTCCCGAGTACAGAGCCAGGAGTAATCCCTGAGTAAAACCTGATCATCGCCAAGTGTGTTCATCCCCAAATAAAATAAATTCTGGCGGGCTGGAGAGATAGCACAGCGGGTAGGGTGTTTGCCTTGCACGCGGCCGACCTGGGTTCGATTCCCAGCATCCCATATGGTCCCCTGAGCACTGCCAGGAGTGATTCCTGAGTGCAAAGCCAGGAGTAACCCCTGTGCATTGCCAGGTGTGACCCAAAAAGCAAAAAAAAAGAAAAAAATTCTGGGGGCTGGAGCAATAGCACAGCGGATAGGGTGTTTGCCTTGCACGCGGCCGACCCGGGTTCGATTCCCAGCATCCCATATGATCCCCTGAGCACTGTCAGGAGTGACCCCTATGCATCACCAGGTGTGACCCAAAAAGCAAAATGCAAAAATATATTATAATCAATTCTGGATTATTATCTCCCACAGTCTTTCCATATAACCAGGAGTGACTCCTGGGTGGCGGCTCATTAGCCTCTGATGAGTAGCACCCCAGAAACACGGTGTAGCCTTCACTCCCCCCCAAAAAAAAATCACCTGGGGAGCTGGGACTGCACTGTCCCGTGAGGGAACATGTGCCCTGCAGGTTAAAGGTCAGCACACACGTGATCGCACATCTGAGGCTACTCCTCACCCCAGCTTGCTGTAACTGGGATACTCTTGCCAGAAAGTGGGATGCCACATAGCGGGCACCAGAGGTCAAGGCCACTGGGTCATCACTCATCCAGTCCTGATGAAGCAATTGTGCCTTAAAAGCTGTCCTAGCCACACCTTGCACCAGCTGTGGAATGGGAGTGCCCTGGGTCTTGGGAGCAAGACCTGGTTTGTGCATGGGTTAGGGTTAGGGTTTTACAGCCAAACCAAACACCACCTCACAAGAGAGTGTCCGCCTGAGTCAGCGGTGTCCCCTAGGCACCTGTCAGCTCCAACCAAGCTGACAGTTCCCTGCAGCTCCAACCAAGGCTCCCAGTGCGGGACCTCTGGGTGACACATTCCTGCAACCAACGGCCATCTTGAGTAGAGGTCAGCCTGACATCTGTACTGGTGACCTGGGGCCACCTGCCCAGTGCTTTGAGCAGCTGGTGGAGCTCGCCTGACTGGCCAGAAGAGCCCGTCCCACATGCCCACACTAGCCTCAGCTCTTCCTGACAGCATTTCTCTACTGTCAGGTAGGTCTGGGCCAGACAGCCAGAGGCATTTCTGAGCACTAAAGCAGGTGGTGATGAAGGGCCTGCAGGGAGCCCAGGGGCCCTGGCACAGAATAGCCAGAGACTGACCAGTTCATGTGTATTTCCTGCTGCTCCCTCTAGCAGGGAGCAGGAAGGAGAGGAGGGGGCCAGGCCTGGCCTGGGAGCTCCCCAGTGGACCTGAAGATACTGAGAGAGGTAGCCTGTGAGAAGGAAGGAAGGAAAGTGCTGGCTGCTTGGCAGGCAGCAGTGATCAGAAGCAGGGATCATCCAGGAGATAGGTCAGGCCGTAGGCAAGGAGGGAAGAAACCAACTTCCCTTCATGAGAATTGGGGGCTGGGACGTGACCATGAGCTGAAGGGTAACAGCGCTGTGAACACCCCTCTAAGGACCAGAGACCATTCAGGTTATGAGCCTGTGCATGAGGATGGGATTGAGGGGGCCAGTGCCGGCAAGGCCTATACCAATCCCTTATAAGTCAGGACAGGAACTGAGGTTCATTGTTGCTCAGGGCCTCCAGGAAGAGACAATAGGTCCAGGGGCTGGAGAGATAGCACAGCAGTAGGGCGTTTGCCTTGCACGTGGCCGACCCAGGTTCGATTCCCAGCATCCCATATGGTCCCCTGAGCACTGCCAAGAGTAATTCCTGAGTGCAGAGCCAGGAGTAACCCCTGTGCAATGCCGGATGTGACCCAAAGGAAAAAAAAGAGACACAATAGGTCCAGGTAGGAGGTCAGAGAAGTGGGTAGGGCCTAAGCCCTGAGCATGGCTGGGTGTGGCCCAAAAATTTAAAAAAAAAAAGGTGGTCTAGGGTTTGGTGGGCATGTAGGTGTGCAAGGAGCAGCCAAGTGCTCTGTGTGTACCTTCCAGGAACCACCAATCCACAGGGCTCCAGAAAGGAAGGGCTGCGAGGGTGGGACGGTCAGAAAACGCCTCAGATTGAGCCCAAAACAGAAGCACCACTGGCATGCGTGGGGGCCTAGGGATCCAGCCAGCAGAGACAGTTCATGGGACAGAGAGGTGAGCCGCCTGTGCCACTTGTTTCTGAACTAATACTGTCCAGGGACACCATTAGAGAATGACAGGGGGTTGGGGGGTGATTCCTGGCACATGATCCTTAGAGCCTCTTCGGAGCTGCTGTCTTCAGCCTACTGCGTGCTGGCACCCTTCGGCTCCCTGGTCCTGGCGCAGAAGCAACCCAAGCCAGGAGTAGCACCGGAAGCACTGCCAGGGGTGCACCCACCACCACAACAAAGTGTGGTAAGTCCAGAAACATTCGTCCTTCCTGCCCAGGTGCGGATCTAGGTACAGGGTGACCGCATATGAGGCCAGGGTTGCTCTGGAACCAGCAACGGTAAGGCTTCGAGACTGTGTCTGCCAGCTGGACCCTGGTGCCTGCCCAGGCTTGGAACAGTGAAAGAGAATGGTCCTGGGCAAAGGATGGATGCTAGCTAGCACTGAGCTCTAAGCTAGCTTCTCTGAGGCTTCTGATGAGAATTCTCCGTGAAAGGCAGCTCACCAGAAGCAAGCACCACCCTGAGCTGCAGGACCCCTGGCTGGGAGCCTGCAGCCTGCCTGACCGGCCCATCTGATGAAGCCTGCCTGGGCTTCTGGCCTGGCAGAGAGCTGGCCTGGTCCAATGAAACGCTCGAAGGCCATGAGGTTCTCCCTCACACCTGCCCACTCGAGAGCCAGGAAACACTGCTGGACAGGTGGGGTGGGGGTGGGGCTGCAGCACAGTCCGGCCCTCATCTCCTCCCCTCAGCCCATCCCACCCACACAAGGCTCCTAAACTGCCCCTCTCACAGCACCTGCCACCTGGGAAAAGCAACACAGCCAAGCACTGCCAGCAACACCTCAGATTCCTGATGCCTGACTCTGATTACAATGATGGTCAGTTGTATGTTCAGAAGCAGTTGCCAATTTTTTCATGACCTTCCCCCATTCAGTTATGCCAGCCAGTCTGGAGTCAGGCTCCAGCTAACAAAACTAGGCTTTGGGGCTAGAGAGACAGACTGCATGTACCACACGGAGTCCCCCAGTCCAGCCAGTGGTGACCCTCTGAAGGCAGAGCCAGGAGTAAGCCCCCAGCATCACCAGGTGTGCCCTCTGATGAAAGCCAGAGCCTGTTGTTGTTGGTCCGTCTCTTGTGCCAGCCCAGGAAACGCCAGCAGCACCCCCAACTGCTGCCCCACCCTGATTTCCAACAGCACCAGAGAGGGCTTGCTAGTGGCTCAGGGGCTGCAGGGGGCATGGGGATACTGGGCCAGAGGTCAACAGTCCTTCAGCCCTTCTGGGCCTCTGCGCAGCTGCTCTCTTTGGCCTCACTGCGGGCTGACACTCTTCGGTTCCCTGGTCCTGGCGCAGAGCCCACTCACCTGACACCAGAGAAATGCCAACTGCTCTGCTGTGTTGGGGTGGGCGTAAGGGTAGCCCGGGGCACCCCAAGCAGGACCTGGGCCCCCCCACGTGTCCCCCACATCACAGCCCGGCCCTGGACACATGAGCTGGACACTCGGAGTTCTATCAAGAGTGGCATTTATTCTCCTCGTGGAGGTGCGGCGCTCCGGGGAGCTGGTGCTATTGTGCTTAGGAAGGAGGTCTGTCCGTCCGTCCGTCTGTCCGGCCGGCCCGGCCCCAAATGGGGGCGGGAGAGGGGCGCGGCCCGAGTAAAAATCCCGGCCTGTTCCGGGTGGGACTATGTACAAGGCGGCGGGGCGCAGGCGGGGGTGGGGGCAGGGCAGGCCGGCGGCCCGCCCCCACCCGAGGGCCCTCGCGTCTCGGGCCCTACTCGTAGAATCAGTACAAAATAGGTGCTACCTAAACGTTCCTTCTACCTGAATTCGCTAAGTCGGTTATTGTGCTGCTTAGTTATGGGGGCGGGAGGGGGCCCATGGCTTTCCACGGCGGCAGGGTGGGGAGAAGCGGGGGACCCTGGCCGGCCCACGGCCCTCCGGCCTTCTCCTTAGGTAGGTAGACAGACGTGTGCGTGTGCATGCGGGGATGTCCAGCATGGGCGGTGGCCCCGGGGGACTGTTTGGGCACCCAGCCGGGGCTGTAGGGGCTGGGGCCCCAGCCTGCAGCCTGGAGCGTGGAGCCCAAGGGACAGGGTGGGGGTGGGGCTGGTCTGGAGCCCTGGCCTGAGTGGCCCGGTGAGCCAAGTGGCCACGTAAAGGAAGGGCAGAACTGGGCTTAGTCTGGGCAGCCTAGTGGCTCTGTGCTGGGGGGGCCTGGTCTTTCCCACCTGCGCCGAGAGCACAAAGCCCCTGACAGGGACAGAGCAGGCCTGTGCCCTGCCTGGCACCCAGGCTAGGGTTGGGGGTGACCGGCACTGGGCTGCGTCTCGGGACCAGGCCACCCTCTGCGTTTTCAGAGGCGGTCCTTGGCCCACCCGAGCCTGTGCGGATCTTGCCACCAAAATGCAGGCCCCAGCCCCCCATATGGCCTGACAGGTCTCCGCTGGCCTGGTCAGCAGCAGGCCTGGCCCGTGGTGGGCGCCCAGTGAACTGTGGGAGGGGGCGGACGGCGGGAGGAGGGTCTTGGGTGCAAATGTCACGTCCCCTGCCCCTGGGACCGTTGCACCCGCCGGGCTCTGCCGTGGGGGGGCGAGGGGGGGGGTAAAGTCCACGCGGCCGGCCCCGCGCAGCGTCCCTGATCTAGGGGCCTATGGGGTGGGTCGGGCAGGGGGATACCTGATTCTCAGTAACTCTAGAGGCGGCGGCAGCTTCGCATGCAGTGCGCATTATTGCTCTATAGTCGGCATCGGACGAACTAAGAGGGACGGGGACGGGCAGCCCCGGGAGAGCACGGGAGGAGGGCTGGGACTGCATGCAGTGACGTCACAAGGCGGCGGCCAATGGGCGGGCCCTGGGGGCGGGGTCACCGCCGAGGCTTTGGCATAGACGGGCGAGTTGGCAACCGAGGGGGCGGGACCCGGGCTCCGGGGGCGGGGCGGGGCGGGGCCGGGCGGGACGCGGGCCTGGGCATCCCCGGCCCCAGGCGTCGGCGGGCAGCCTGGGGGGCCTCGGCGCCCCTCCCCGGACCCGAGTGCAATCCGTTCATAAATAAAACATACAAATACAGAAAGAAAGAAACCCGACGCGTCCGCAACCCCCCCAGGGGGCTTTACCCGCAAAGCGAATACAGAGGTGTGAAGAGGGTCGCGCCCAGGAATCCGGCCTCCATCACCAAACGCCCGGCTCGGGGGAGGGGGCCCGGGGCAGGGCGGGAGCGGGGGTCTGAGGAGGTCGGAGAAGTCCATGCGAGTCGATATGCGTCATTATTATTCGTTATGGAGGACAGCGCCCGGGGAGGCTGGGCTGGAAGAATTCGGATCTGGCGGGGGGCGGGGGCGGGGGGTCTTAGCGCGGCTCGGCTGAGGCCCCAGAAGGAACCCGAGGGAGAGGATTGCCGCCATCCGCCCCCTCTCTGAACCCCGCAAACGCGGGCTGCGCCAAGGCCGAGGCGCAGGGCCGCCGGGGACGACTCGCTCCCTGGACTGGAGGCCACAGGCTTGGCCTGGAAGGCGTGGGAAGGGGCGGGGGAGACCTGAGCCTCTGCGACGGTTCCGGGGGCGCGGGGAGGGCGGAGGAGGGCGCCGCACACCTCGGGTCCGGCCCCGTCTGCGGAGACTTACTCGGAGATGAGGTTCGGTTCTGGATCTCACGGACCCTATTGCTGGGAGAAAGCCGGGGGCACCCTGGAGGGGAAGGGCGGGACTAGGGTGGGTCTCCCCTCGGGACCCTATTGCTTGAAGGGGGCCGGCGAGACCCCGGGAGGGCGGGCGGGGCGGGGCCGGGCCCCTCCCCCTATTGCTGCAGGAGGGCCCGCCCTCCGGCCCCCCGCCCGCCCGGGCGCGGCGGAGACTTCCCCGGGGCCCGTATTGCTGAGAGCCGGCCCGGCGCCCTAGGCCTGCACGGGGCTGAGCTGCGGCGGCGCGGCGGGCGCCGGGGTCGCGGGGCCGCTGCCGCCGGCCCCGCCCTTAAAGCAGGCCGACTCGTAGTGCTTGTTGAGATAGGACTTGAGCGCGAAGCTCTTCTTGCAGCGCTTGCACTGGAAGTGCTTGAAGGCCGAGTGCGTCTGCATGTGCGCGCGCAGGTTGGAGCGGTCGGCGAAGGCCTTGCCGCAGTGCGCGCAGCCGAAGGGCTTCTCGCCGGTGTGCGAGCGCATGTGGCCCTGCAGCAGCCAGGGCCGCGAGAAGGCCTTGCCGCACACGCCGCACTTGTGGCGCAGGTCGTGCGTGAGCAGGTGCATTGCCATGGCCGGCATGGACACGTACACCTTGCCGCACGTCGGGCAGCGTCGCGCCAGCTGGCTGTCCAGACTGCGGTGCGTCTGCTTGTGGCGGCTCAGGTTCGACGACGTGGCGTACGTCTTGCCGCACTCGCCGCACGCGTGCCGGCCGGCCGGGCCACCGGCCCCGGCCCCCGCGCGCGCCTCGGCGCTTGCACCCCCGCGCGCGCCCGCGCGCCCTGCGGCCCCGGCGCCGCGCGCGCCCGCGCCGGGCCCGCCGCCGCCGCCGCCATCGTCGCCGTCGGGGGCGGCGGCCGTGGCGGCCGAGGGGGCGGCCGCGGCGTGGCCGTGCGCGGCCTTGCGGCGCGAGCGCCCGTCGGTGATGAAGAAGGCGTCTGCCGCGTAGCCCTCGCTGACGGCCGCGTCGCCGTTGATGTAGCCGCCCGCGGCCGTGGCCAGCTCCGGGCGCGGGGTGGGCGGCGGCGCCGAGCCCGCGGCCGCCGGGCCCAGCTCTCCCCGCACGGCCGCGGCGTACATGGGCTCCGGGGACGGCCCCTTGAGCAGGCCCGCGTCGGCGTCGCCATCGTAGACGGACGCGGGCCCCGCGTAGTCGCTGAGGTATCCTGCGGGGAGGTGCAGGGACAGACAGGCGGACGGTGGGGTCAGGGACGAGGACAAAGGAGCGGGGGCCGCAGCCGGGGGGGTGGGGAGAGGAGGACGGGCCGGGAGGGGAGAGAGAGAGAGACAGAGCAGAGATGAGACCCGCAGGCCGGCTCCGCCCCCGCCTCGGAGCGCCCCACCCGCGCAGGGGAGGCAGAGGCGCATCTCCGTCCGCGGGCGCGGCTGCCCCTCTTCCGCGGAGCCTCAAGGTCAGGGGGGAGGGGCGGCGCTGCCTCGCCCTCCCTCCCCTCCCCCTTCTTCCCACTTCAGCAGTTTTTCCTAGCTTATGCAACACACTGCGGACCGCGGCGCACAAAGCCAAGACCGCGCGCCCGTCCGGGACCCCTTGCCTCCTGTCCCGCCCGCCTCCGCCGCCTTCCCGGGCGGCCCAGCGGCTCCTCATGTAGGCCCCCCGGCCGTGCTGCGGTCTTCTCGCTGGTCCTCTCGCTGTCCCCTCCACCCAGCCCGGAGACTTCTGCCGCAGCAGCCTCCCCGGTCCCCCGGATCGCTCCCCACCCCCAGCCCCGACCCCCCTCCTCCCAGCCGGCTCCAGGCTCCCTGCGGTCCCCCTGCTCCGCTCCGCAGAGCCCTCGGCCCTCTCAGCATCCATGGGACGGAAGGCCCGGGAAGCGCCTTGCTGGGGACGCTGCCAGGCGCTCGGAAGGCCAGGCGCAGGGGCAGCCACGCCTGAACAGGCTTCAGGTGGGCTAGTGAGTGACTTGTTCTCGGGGCACGAGCAGGGCTCACGCGTCCGGGTCACAAATGCACACTCTGCACTCAGGCTCGGGCTTTGCAGGGCCACACGGGCTGCTGCCCCTCCCGGCCGTGGACACACATGCAGCGCTTCCGACGGGGTCTCAGGCAGTGGTCCCGTGCAGTGGCACACAGGAGGCGCATACCATACAGGGTCACACACAAGCACAGTCACATGGTCACACGCAGTCACATGGGCTCGCCCAGGCTCACACACAGGCTCCTGCTCCTGCAGGTCACACTTTCTCTGCCCACCTCGCCCGGTGGGCACGGGGCCCAGGGCCGCACGCTCGCGGCTGCCTTTGAACTTGGCGCCCCTACACAAAGAGACGCCCCCTGCCTGGGGCATCCTGGACCTCCTCACCGCGGCCCACCTGCCCACACCCTCCTCCCTGAGAGTAGCAGCCCTGCTGCCTCTGCTGAAAGCCGGGCAGCCCGTGCCTTCAGTCTGAAGCCCCACCAGGCCCTCGGAGAGGGTCCCAGAGGCACAGCCTGAGGCAGAGGAGGCAGGCCCCGCTGGCATTTGGGTGCGGGTCTGCAGAATGGCCCGCATCATCAGCAGGTGTCCACGCCGCCTCTGCTCACGCATGGGTCGCGGGCGGGCTATCCCTCTCCCGAGCTCCCCTCCCCTGCTCGCTCCTGCATTCGCACAGTGGCCTCTGACAGTCTTGGCCCTGTTCGGGCCAGCCTCCTCTTCCCACCTCCCCATCTCCGTCCCCTCCATGGTCCAGTCCCAGCCACCACCCCCTGCTAGCAGGCGCCCCTCGGCCCTCCTTCCCCTCCGCCCCCACTCGCTGCCCCGGGCACCTCGCCGCCCCCACCTCAGCCCAGCGCGCACCTTTCTCATGCAGCCGCACGCCGAGGTCGCTGCGGGCGCGCCCGTACGAGCTGTCGAGGTCCGCCGAGGAGAATGTGTCAAGTTTGACCTTCTTGACCAGGAAGGACCTGGGCATGATTCCTGCCGGGATCCGGGGGGCTGCGGCCGCGGCGGGGCCCCGTCACCATCCGAGGAGCAGCGGAGGCAGCGCGGTCCTCACTCTGGCCTCTGGATGCTGCCGCAACAGTGCCGCCCTTCGAGTCCTCCTCTGCTCCTCCGGCTCTCCCGCTTCCTTCCTTCCTTCCTTCCTTTCTTCCTTCCTTCCTTCCTTTCTTCCTTCCTTCCTCCTTCCCTCCTTCCCTCCTTCCTTCCTCCGCTCCGCTCGCTCCGCGCCTCCTCGCGGCTCTTCCTTCCGTCCGTCCTTCCTTCCTTCCTTCCTTCCTTCCCTCCTCTGGTCCCGGCTTCCCAGCCCGCAGTGCCGCCCCTGGACAGGCGGGGGAGGAGGCTGGGGGGCGGGGAGGGGGGGAGCAGCTCCGTCCCGGGCCCGGAGGCTGCGAGTGGGTGCAGGGCTGGCCCGGCTCCGCGGCCCCCTACCCCTCCCCCCCGGCGCCGCGGCGGAACCTCAGTCAGCGACCCCCCATGCCCCCGCTGGCGGCGGCGCCGGGCCCGGAGAACGCGGCGGCGGCAGCTTCAGCACCGCGGCCAGCGCCGGCCCGGCCAGCACCTCGGCCAGCGCCCGGGCGCGCTCAGCCGGCGCCGGCGGCGCGGGGCGGGGCGGGGGTCCGCGGCGGGGGTCTCTGCGAGGCTGGCTTTATTGTTCTGCAGCCCGAGCTGGCGGCAGCGGCGGCGGGGGGCGGGGGTCCTCGGTGGGGAGGGGTGCGCGGGGGGCGGGATGAGGGCGGGGCGCGGGGCGGGGCTGCGCTCGGCCGCTCGGGCCGCCTCTGCCCGCGGCCGGCCGGGCCTCGGGCTTTTAAAGTCCCCGAGCGGCGGGCGGGGCGCAGCGGGGCGCGGCGGGCCGGGGTCTCCCGGGAGGGTCTCGGGACGCCGCCGCCCCTGTCCCCGCCCGCGGGCGGCTCGGCCCGGCGCGCCGCCGCACTGGAGGCCGCGGGGGAAGCGGCGGGCGCATGGTGGGGCCCCGCGAGCCCTGCCCCGGCGCGGGATTCTGCGGGGGGCGGACGCCGGGTGCGGGGCCGAGGCTGGTACGGGGGCGGTCGCGGTGCAAGTGCTGAGGCAGCGAAAGCGCCGCAAGGAGCCGCGCGCGCTCGGTGCCGCAGCGTCTCCTGCCGCTCGGTCACCCGGGCTGACCCCGGCCCCCCCCCCGCTCCCCCGGGGACGCGCACCGAGGGCGGCGACGACGCAGTGAGCGGGCGCGGAGGGGCCCGGGCCGGGCTTCCCGGGGACTGCTCCGCCCGCCCGCGCGGGCCCGCGGCCCGGGAACCAGGCGCACGGCCCTGCGCGTCGCCGCCCGCCCCACTCGCGGCCGATGACGTCAGGCCGGGCGGCCAATGGCAGGCGCGGGGAGAGGGGTCCCGGCCGCACAATGGCCGCGCGCGGGGACATATGTCCCCAATTAGAGCCGGCGCTGCCATTGTCTCCCGCCCGCCCCGCGCCGAGCTCCGGCTGGCCGCTTTCTCAGAGCGCCCCCGCCAAGCCCCCGGTGCGCTCGCCGGGACCGAGGTCGCGTCCGCGAGGCCGGGGAGGGTCCGGGGCGGGGACGCGCACGCGTCCCCGGCGCGGCACGCGGTGACCTTGTGCGGGACCGCGGGGTGGGCCCGGGTGGTGCGCGTGCCGCGCGGGGGCGCGGGGCCTTCCTGCTGCCGGGTAGGTGTTCCCGGGGGAGCGGGGCGCGGCCGTCCCCTTATCGCCGGGACTCAGCCAGGCGAGGTCCGGCATGGGGGCGGGGAAAGGGATCCCCCTCCGTCGAGCCGCTGGTCCCCTGCTCGTTCCCAGGGGCCGGCGGAGGCGCAGCCGGAGGCGCGAGGCCAATTAGCATTTTGATTGCGGGGCTGGGCGGCCCATCTGCACCTAGGCCTAATTACCGGGCGAACCCTGGGGGCTGGCAGGACGTGCCAGGCACAGTCCCCCTACCGCCCCTCCTGCCTGTCCCTGTCTGTCCCATCCCTCATTCCCTGGTCTTGCGCCTTCTCTCTGCGGGTGGCCCACCGCCAGGGTGCGGTGGTGACCTGCCCCTGTTTGATGGACGGCGCATCAGAGCCCAGACACATGTGTTCTGCTCAGGGGTTCCCCAGGGGACGTGGGCAGCCGTGTCCATTTGCCTTAAGGTGGCACCTCGACCTGGCCTGTGAGGAGAGGCAGCTGAGCCCAGACCTGGGCCATCAGCCGCTGCCCACACACGCGCGCCCGCCCGCATCAGTCACCTTCCCCTGTGTCTGGCGGTCAAAAGCTGCCATTTTTTGCTTCTCAAGCTTTTATGGACCTTCCAGGCCACCCATCTCTCCTATCCAGAGCTGGACTTTGGGGGCTTTGCTGTCCCAGAGGACACATTCCTGGCAGGGCTGCCTTGGCCTTGAGAGAGACCTGCGGGAAGGTCCAGGCTTGGTCCACTGGATCTGGGAAGGGAGGGACATCTGTTCCCTGCTGCTGGCCACCCTTGTCTGTGGGGGTGTGGAAGGAGCAATGTTGTTGTGTCCACCTCCAGCCGCATGTGTCCAAAATATTTAAAGGGGAGATGGTGGGGTCCTGTTCCCAGCAGGCAGGCATGCCAGACTCAGTGAGGCCCGAGGTCACCTTCCCTCGCTCTCCCTCCACCCCCAAGCAGCTCCAGCCCCTCCTGAAGGCTCACCCCTCTGGGCATCCGGCCCACCGACCAACCAACCAACCGAGGAACCAGGCTGGTCTGGGAACTTCCTTTGCTCTTTCTCCAGACCCCTCTACTACAGAGAGTGATGAATGGCATGCCCGCCACTGGGGTCTCCTCTAGCACTTCTAGTTGTCCCCGTGGGCTGACTGGCTCAAACCCAGATCCTCCCTGAGGAGGGCCATGTCCCTGCTGGCACACAAGACTTCCTGTTTCAGGGCTTCCTGGGAACCAGGGCAGGGGTGGGTGCAGTAACCCAGGACCCTTACCTAGTAACTCTGGGATCCTGTCTGCCTTTTTCCCACACACCTGTGTTGAGCAGTGCTCTGCTCTGCAGATCCTTCCTGTGGGCCCAGGACTTTGCAGCAGAACCAGACCATGCACACACAATGCACATTCATGCTCACACTCGTGCGCAAGCGCATCCACGTATATATGTAGTGAGCACACTAGCTCACTACATGCACATGTGCAGGCACATGTTCACTAACTCATGCGCGCGCACATACATCCACGCATACATGCATATGTGCATGCACATACACTAGCGGATGCACCTGCGCATACACATAGTAGCTCATGTATGCACACACATGCTAATGTACATACACATGCTCACCTGCTCAGACATGCATTGATATACTAGCTCACGCATGTACATGATGCACATGTGCATAAACATGTTCGCTTTCTTCATCCTCTTTTTGTCTTTTGGGGGCCACATCTGGCGATGTTCAGAACTTCCTCCTGGCTCTGCATTCAGGAATTTCCTGGCAGTGCTCAGGGAACCCTATGAGATGCCAGGGATCGAACCCAGGCCAACCATGTGCAAGGCAAGAACCCTACCTGCTGTATTATCATTTTGGCCCACATGTTCACCTTCGCCCATGTGCTCACTAGCTCGCACACTCTCACATATATGCTCACTAGCTCGTTCACATGCACATGCTCACTATCTCACGCTCACATCCATGCACATGCTCACTAGCTTGCATGCATACATATGCCCACTGCTCATGCATGCACACATGCATACACAGGCTCACTGGTTCTCACATACTGGACTGAGAGGTGCCCGAGGTGCACACATGCACAGACACATGCTCACTAGTTTGCACACGTATAAGCACACGTGCAAGTGCAAGTGCACACTAGCTTGCATGCATTTGCGCATGTATACATAAGCACATGCTAACACACATGCACACACTCTAGCTCACACATGCATGCACATGTGCATGTACACATATGCACACTTTTATCAGGTGCATGTGTACACATGACATACACATTAGTTCTCATACACACTGTATACAAGTAAGCACACACATGTGCGTACAGCACGAGTAGGAGGATGCCTGAGAAGGAGCCTTGGGGCTCAGATTTAAGGGGAAGGACCTGCCAAAAGACTGAGCCTTGAGAGAGGTGTTCGTGTAAACATGGGCCTGGTGGCTGTGGACATGGCCCCTCTCTGCCCAAGGATGTGGGAGTTGGCCTCTGGGACCCTCGAGGAGACCAGTGGGGTGAACTTGGGCTTAGGTATTTGTCAGGTGAGCTGTGGCCAGGCGTCCAAGCTGGGGTGCAGGGGAAGGGTTCTGCGGGATGGGTGTTTGGAAGAGGTCCTGATCTGAAGTACTGGGGGGCTGGGGGAGGCAGAGGTCAAGGTCATGGCAGTCATGGGCACCAGGAGAGGTGGCCAGGACAGGGAGAGGAGTTGTTGGCCCACATCTCCCCTCTCCTACACCATCCGGATCATCTGGTCTGCCTGACCTGAGGGGCTACTCAGGGACTTGGGTCTGGGCCAGTGGAGTGCAGGGGGTCAGGAGTGGAGGTGGAGGATCCCATTCTGGGAGCATTTCCTGAGGTTCAGGGAGCTGCAGGACCAGCTTGAATGCACAGGAAGAACTGGTCTGAATAGTGACCCCATGCCCTACTTGGGACAGTATCCGGCTGCAGGGTGCTGTGACAGAGTCCTGCGAAGCATCTGGACTCCAGGGTGTCTTGTCCCCCCCTCCCCCCATATATACTCTAGCAGCATGCCTTGGAAGCACCTAGACACTAAGCCCATTGTCCATCTTCTGGAGATCCAGATGACCCTGCTACCCCTCTGAGTGGATATTCCCTCTCCCAGCCCCTCCTGTTGGGTACTTGCTTTGGGACTGGAGTTCCCAGACTTTCGCAGCCAACACAGAATCCTTGACGACATGTGTCTAGCCCCAGCCCTGGGTCCCAGCCACCTCGGGCACCTCTCAGTCCAGCCTCCCCGATCCTGGGGTCCTACCTGGTGGCCTGCCTGCCTGCAGGCCCAGGGACTCCATCCCTGCTTCAGGGATGAGTTCACTTCCTGCTCTTGCACCCATCAGCTTCTGCCCCAGGAAGGGCATGCGAGCACCTCAGGAGCATGAAAGTGGACCCACCACACACAGCTCCAGCTTCAGGAGAACACTGTGCAGACAGGTGGGATGTGGGCGCTGTCCAGGATCTCTGAGCCCGCGGCAGCATAGGGGTCAAGAGAGAAGCCTGGGGACCTGTCCTCAGCACCTCAGGCCTTG